TTTACATGGCCTCTGAGCACCGCATCACCCTTTCAACCATATACTCGATCACTCCACTAACCCCATACATTTCTTTTTTTTTTTAAGTCAATACTTTGCGAAATAATAAGTGTTTTATATTAAATTAATCACCTGTACGAATAAAAATTAAATCATTAAAACGTATAGAGTTCAAAATATTTCCTATATGTTTATTTAAAGCTGCTTCAAACTGAAGGAATCTTCTCTACTTAGACGTACTCATATTATTCTCCATATAAATTATACCAAATATGAAATTAAAACAATATTCCACTATAGCTTTTTTTGTCCTATATACCAATACATTCCATTTAAAATAATGTGTATAATTACTAATCTAACCTCTTAGTTATGATCAATGAAATAAAAAAATTGAATTATAATGGTTATTATATGAGTGCATGTTGCCATAGCTATGCTGGTACGATTATTGTATGGTTTCGAGAAGTGAAATGTTGTTAAATCATGTTAAATAGTTTATAAACAAAATAAAAATATTAACTACAAATTTAACAGGGCAATGAATTGTATACGGTCGGCCAATAGCAGGGCAATAATAAACCAGAACTCTGCAGATTTATTTATTTATTTTTTTACAAATTAAATTGAAATATTTATCATAACATCGCGCAAACACATTTGTTACGTATGATGATGAATTATTGTTAATTCATCTTAATTCTTATTTATTATTAATTACTTTTCTGAAGACATTTAGTAGTATCGAATATTTGCGTACAATCAACAATAATTTTGGTACCCGTGGTAATGGAAAGACGGAGTATAATAAAATATAAACTGCTGGTTGGGGCAGGCAGGCAGACTACAAGACAGATGGATGCAACGGGTGTATATACAAAGTATATACCTACTCAATATGAAAACTAAAAATATAAAATAAGTCAAATTTTTATGACTTACCAACTATAAAATAAATTATAAGCAAGAAAATTATTTACACATTAATAAGAATATTAATATTGCATAAAAAATACAATAATATTGTTGATGTACATATTTATGTGTATTTCGATTCTTAAACTCTGATCAGAACAAAAATGTACTGGTTTTAATATAAGATAAATTTTGAGAAGAAATCTGAAAAAGCCATTTATGTCGAATTTTTCCAGAAAATAAAGAAAATCGCATGGTATTGTGTCCGTTGTATATGTGTGTGTCTGTGTCTGTGTCTGTGTCTGTGTGTCTGTGTCTGTGTGTCTGTGTGTCTGTGTATGTGTAATGTGTATATACCTTTTTCTCAGTACTTTTGGACACTTTTAGAGGCTCATAGTCGGGAATTAAAGTTTTTTTTACATAGAGGATTGAAGTGATCAAATTTTGATTGAATTTCAATTCAAACTTCAACGCGGAAGGGGAGTGTTTGTTTATCTTTTTAAACCCCCAACAGATTCCTGAAATGAAGCCAGGGATTAATTGTTACTTATACATAGTTTATGTATCAAGGATGTGTCTTTTGGGATTTCGGCTTTCAACCTCCTCCCCAACCATTTTTTGCTCTCATTTTATATTTTAAAGAAAATACCGAGTTTTAAATACCCTCACAGACTCATCAAAGAAAGCAACAAGGTTAACATGTGTATATATAAACAGTATGGTTGTTGAGGACGTACCTTTAGAAGGTTTCAACTTCCAATCCTCGCCTCCAACGTTTCTTGTGTTGGTAAAAATCTCGAGAACTACTTTACCTATTTTGATGAAACTTATTTTGTTCGATTTTCTTAACATTATCGGGAATTCATTTGATACTTTTTATACCTAAAAGAAAAGGGGGTAGTAAACCATGAAACAAGATAGCGGGAGGTAGTAAACACGGTAAATAGGTGTCTAGTGAATATAAAATCATAAATAAACACAAACATAATTTAATTAATTATTTAATATAATATTATTTGGGTTTTTAACTCAGGCAACCAGGACTATTTTAGATCAATTAGGTATACAGAAAAATGTAACAGCAACAAGTCGACTGAATGAAAATTAGACTCTACTAACGGAGGTAAAAAATTTTATCGATTTTTTTAACTATTTACAGATATTTCATATTTTCAAGTATTTATAGTTTATATTTTTGATTTTACGTAGACAAAATTGTTTGAGCGAACAGAAATGTTTGAAAATTTAATACGAAATTGACAAGATTCATTATGAGTTGTATTTAGTGGTGAAAAAAAGTTAAACGTAATATAGTGGTTTTTTTATGAGTGTTTTTTACCAGTTCAAATTTTGATAACAATTATGACGTTTCAAAACGTATATAAAATCGAACTTTACTCAGAATCGTATTTTATTAGAAATAATTTATCGTTACGTTTGTGTATAAATCAAATAAATGTATGTATCTTACCTCCCCAACTTCCTTGCTACAGTGTCCGGCACACCCATCAGTAATATCAACTCTTTTTTTTTTTTTGTTTTATTTTATTGATTAAATATATGTTAATACATTTATTATTAAATTTGTGGTCTTAACTCACTCATTAAAACATATTGTAAGAAGTATAGATATGTTTAATGAATTGTCTATTTATATCATTATTATAAGATTCATATATTAATAACTATTGATTAAACGCGCTTAACCGAAATTAAAATTAATGAAGATATACTATAAGTTATAATATATTAAAAAAATAAAAGTATAGATACATTAATCCTCGCATTATTCTACCAAATAAGTGATGCTTTGTTATGCATTACACCTAGTGTCTTTTTTTTTTTTTTTTTTAATGCGGTTTTAATACTTAAATTCGCTAAAAATCTATTCGTGAAAATTACTCTCTGTTAAAAACATTAGTTTCTTCATAATTAGTATAACGGTAAAAATCAGTTTGATCAAATGTGTGGGTATATAATAAGTCTGCAAAAAAAATACAATACAAAAAAGTTTAACTTCGACACTTAGGGATTTGTACAAAAAAATATATTTCAAATACGCTAAATCACAAGATCTCCACGGACTACACCGTATATTGTGAAAGTTTAAACTGCACATGTCAGTCCTACTAAAAATCGGAAAGGACAAAGAACATTTGATAAATGTAACATTATATCGCTAACAACATATCAACGTAGATACACAAATTATATTTTTGGTTGCAAATAAAATTGTAATATTATGTAATCACCTGCGCTTTAATTTCAAAATACGTTATTATAATAATTAATAATGCAGCGATAATAAGCTATCAAAATTAAAAGCCACATACGTTATAAGATATATAACGATTGGCCAACCTTAAAGCAGTATTTGTGATATTTTTTTTCTTAAAAGTTTCCGAATCCAAATTATGAAAACAATTGAATCACTTATATCAGAAATCCCCTAATCACTAGAATAAAAAAAAAAAAAAAATTAAAAATCGAATAATTCACGTTTAATCGTTAATCTGAAAGTAGGAACACTGCAATATACAACGGGAATTCCATTGAGAACTAGTTCTCCTATTTTCTATGGCCTGAAAATTTTCGTTCACCACACCAAGCCCCAGCTCCCTTCCGCTAGCGCCCCACTTTAAAATTTTGAATTGAAAATTATGACGCGAATTGGTTAATAATTAGTTCTTATTTTTTACCCGAAATTCGGGATTTGTAATCACATTTGAACAACACATATTTATTTCCGGGAGCCGGGGCAAGATTACCCCAGCATTTCTCAGTCCGTGGTAACCATCTATTAACCAAAATAGATAACCGTAAACTTAATAGCTAAACTGTTTACTAGACCAAAATGCGCGTAATGGTAATATTATACCTATTATACATTAAATAAATTGTATATTTGAGATTTTTTGACACTTTTATTTAATTATGTATAAAAAAAAAAATGTTTGTATAAAAAATACATTCACACAAAGCGTTAATAAGTTTTATTCACGCAACTGCTTAGTTTCATCAGGTCGCTGATAAACAATGTTATATAATGGCTTACATAAAACAATTCAAAAAAGGAACCATATAATATCAAACAGGTGAATAAATATTATATAATATCATATAAATAAATATAAAACAAATAAAAATGTGTAATTCCAAATGCATTATCGGCTGTTGTATTTATTTTTTTAATTTGTAAATTACCACTTACTTACCGAGTAATATTTGAAATGTGGTGTATGAAATTTGTGGGAGCGAAGCACCCCGCGGGTTAGGTTTAATTCAAAATTGTAAGGGACGCTAATTATTTTTAAGTCTCAAAGTCTCTTCTTTTGTCTTTCCAATTCGAGCACTATAAAGAGTGTATTACCAAAAAATAAATGGAACTGTTGTTAAATATTGGATTTTTTTTTTTTTACATTCATTTGCCTTGACTAAATCATGTTAATTATTTGCAGTACTTGCCCACTATAGCATGGTACTTATTGACGACGATTTAATACTACGATTAAGTGTAGGTACGGATAGCAAAATTACTTTATTTTGATTTTTTTATTTTTCTTGTCAACAGCGTTTCGTTTTTCGACGGTGTACGCACTGTGGATTTCTGGATTTCGCACGCGATACACATGTACAAAACGGAAATTTCAAAAAACCGCGAACGGATCCACGGGCGCAAGGACGGCGCGAACGGCTCAAGACATCGGACGAGCGCGCGTACTTCTGCAGCAACGGACTGATACTATAGATGCGACGACGAGACGACCGTAACAACCGACGGACGCGCGTGGACTGAGCCGGCACGGCGACTAGCGTGCGTGCTCGCGTGCGTGGTGCCGGCGCGTCGCGTCCGGCCGACGCGTCATGTTTCACCGCACGGACCGTCATCATTGTCATAGCTCGTAATAAATTCCGCCGCCGCGCTGTCACGTACGGCCGTCTCTGCACCGGCTTTGATCGTACAATAATAAAGGCAACGACTTTATTATGTTGTTTTACTTGTATTATCATATTATGGACGACCGCGCTCGCGAAACCTAATGCACGTGCGACGACGTTCGGCGACAACCCCGTTTCTCGGGAGGCGATTGTTAAGCCCCGAACACCGAATTTAGACTGACTGGGAACTCTTTCATGCAAGACGTTAGAAAATACTTCGGCATAAGGAGCATTGTTCCTAGCGATGTCCAAAATCTGCTCTACAGCTCAGAAAACATCACATCCCAGGATTCTGGCCGAGCTACACATGATCAAATCGCGGCAGCTTCCTTTCGCGTCTTCCAGTCTTTCTATTGCACGGTAGAGGACATACAGTGCCGCAAGGTACAAGACGAGAGAATAAGGGAGACTGAGGCAAGGGCTAACCAGCTGCCATACGAATAACTCACTCATCAGTCCCGGACATCAAAGACAACATTCAGGAAGATTCAAGCTCATGTACAGGTTAGGTTAAGTTAACACTCTGTTAGGAGGTAACGTGGTCCCACCGCTCACCTCTCATTCTAGTTTAATTAGTATAGTTAACAATGTGAGCCTGTCCCGCGAAGGGAAAAACAGGATTTTAATTATACCCATACCATAATGAAAGATGGCAGTAGTGGAGTGGTAATATGAAAAACTGATTCACCACTGGCCAATGATGTCGGTTAATTAAAAAAAAAAAAAATCGTATCATTTCTTTCTTATAAACATATTATTTCGTCAATTGCTTCAAAACGTTTTATGTTATGTAACAGTTTGTCACTTACGACCAAACCGACACCTGCTCGAAGATCCAGACCTCCACTAAAAGTAGATCCAATTATTTGTGTTTACGTCTCCTTGCCCTAGCCATCTTATTTCTTGAATCGCAGCTGAATCCAGTTGATACCGTTCAAGATTCGATATCACTGTCGTCAAATGTCCGGTCCTATATTACGATCGTATTACGAATGCATCAATGAATCATCATAAATGTTTTATATTACATAATATATTGTTGACCGTTTTTTCACCCAACTTAAAAGGAAAGTATAACCAAAACATTAGTTCCTTCAATGCCAGAAACAAGAACAAATTTTTGTCTAGATTTTCCGTGTTCAATAGAAGCACCAGATTTCTATGATAACAAATCAAAAATTTAAATTTACCTAATGATAATATAATAATTTATAAGTTATTTTCAATTATTTAAAATACTATTTTATAAATTGTTAATTTTTTTTTTGTATAAAATTAAAAAACTAGGTTCCTACACTACACTTACCAGCTTAAAAGTCTGCAACTTATTAACTTAAGCATAAATTATTTTATAAATTAGTTTTTGCTTAATTAATTTTCACATTTTTTCTTATAAATATAAATTATATAATTATTATATTATTTTTATTAATTATATATATTATTTTTTTATTTGCATGTAAATTTAAAAATTCATAGAATGAATTATTTAATACAAAATTAGTATATTGGCGTTTATTTAAGGATTATATGTTAAATATGCTTGACGCATAGATAAATTGTGGGTCTAAAACTGTTCAGTCGATTTCCCAACATTTTGGTTAAATGGAGTTACTGGTTTTTCGCTTAGTACAGTAGTATACAAGGCATGAGTATTTTCTGCAAGGTATGGTTTTGTACAAAATATAGTGACTTGAGATATTCTAGCCATAAAAAAAAACTACTTATTATGCTTAAGAAATACAATATTTATTGGACTAATTTTTTTTTTTTCAAAATTAACAGTAAAGAATTATAGGTACTAGATGTTTTGTAAAATATAGAACATCATACTGTGCGAGGAAAGGGGGAATATTGCCTATTCACTCTAACTCTACACCTGTAGCTTAGACTATATAGGCCATATGTTTTTAAACGTGTGAAAATAAAACAAATGAAAAACGATTAGGCTCAGAATTCAATTAAAATGTTTTGCTAAATTAAAAATTTCAAGTCTTTTTAATTTATAATTATAAAATAAATACCTTAACATTAACCATATTTTTTTTGTTTCAAAATGTGTAAAATAGTTAATATAATAGAAAAAGGCTCTTTATTATCTAAAGGTACTCACCTCTGGTTATGACAATGAGTATATTACTTATGTATATTTTAAAATCTGGTGTAATGAAGAAGCTTTTTGATTTTTTAAGCTGTTTTTTCCTTAGAAAATGCTTTTGGATGATAAAAATGTTCATATTTTTTCTTATAGTACCTTAAAGTGGAAAGATGCATAATTTCTGGCCATGGTACTTTATTTTTAACTTACCACTTTAATATTTTTAAATCTTAAAGTACCTATTATTATTTATCGATATTACTCTACCTAATAAACAGAGAAAGATCAATAAGTAGAGCATAAACTTGAAGGTATCTTATTCAAATAGGTATGTCATGTTAAACTAGCCAATATATAGATAATGGGTATAAATATTTACGTTTATAGATAGTACCTACTTGTAGTACTAAACGTTTTTACTGGCTACAAATATTTAAACTTTTAACTTTAATACTCTTTTAAATTGTGAATTAAATACTATTATTTATTTACACGACAAATAAAACTATTATTAAACAAGTAAATTACAAAATACAATTAGTTTCTCTGAATAATTTAAATACAATACCTATAATATAATAATACCTATAATATTTAAAATATAATTAAAACTTAGCCCTCCCTTAATTTTGAATTTATAGATAATATTAAAAACATTGATTTTAATATTAATATGTATTGCTTAAAAATCTATTTGTGTATCAAGTCACTTATTATGAATGGATTTATAACAAAATAATGTTATTTTTATTTTTATAAATAATTATTTAATACATTGGAAACCTAAATATTTTATAGTTATAAAAAGAATTGTAAGAAATTGAATATCACGTAGTAAGTACTAAATAAATCATCTGACTCTCTTAGGCACCTTAATTATAAAGAACAATACATAATATTAATGATTAATTTATATCAATAAAATTAGTAATTCTTCTATTTGATTACATAAATTAAATGGGACTAATAATTAAATAAAATGGGATATTCAACATGAAGTGTTTAAGCGACTAGATTACTAATAACTACCTTAATATATTAAATAATTGTGAAACACACTATAAAATAATTATAATACAAAAATAATTTTTGTGTTGGGAACAATATTTCAAGATTAATCGCTTAGATCGGTGATTTTCAACCTGAGGGTCACAAGTGATAGTTAGGGAGTCGTCAAAAACCATAAGTATCATGTGAATACTGTACATTGTATTATCCAAGTTCCACTTAACAATTTTTGAAAGGATCATTGTAAATGAAAAAAAAATTAGAGGGTCTCAATTCGTAAAAGGTTGAAAACCACTGCCTTAGATGAGTTCATAGTATATAATAGATTTTATGTAAATTCAAATTTGAATGCAATTATTGTTATATACTAAACTATCAAATATTCAAAATTATTTCAAATAGATTGTACTATGTAGAACATGGTTTTACACAATTATATCCATTGTTTTATACCAATAAAACAAAGTTATAAAAAATTGCACACTAAATTAATTAAAATATAACACACTAAATATACCTTGATAAGGAAAAATGTCTTTGCATAATAACAAAACAATGATAAACAAGATCATACTATAAAAGATTATCTATATTTTATACTTACTAATTAGTAATTTAACCAAACTTAACATATCTTATTTAGCTTTTGTATAATTAAATTTGTAAGTTTATTAGTTTCTGGTAAGTATTGAAATATATTTCCATTCTGTAGACAGGAAAATTGTTATAAATTAAGAATATTTGTGAAAATGAAAACAATACAACCAAATATTATAGTAAACAATGTTATGTTATCTAAACAAAATACAATTAATAACAAAATTAAGAATCTATTAAGAAATTGAAATTAAACACTTGTTTTAAGCTAGGTCTCATAAATAAAATTAACACTTACAGCTAAAAATTAAAATGTACTTACAAGTTAAATATAAAACGTATAATAATTATTTATAAATTAATTTAAACATTTTAATTATATATTATGAAGATATTTAACTGAATAAACAGTGCAATAAAATTGCCGAAATAGCTGAATATTTGTATAATATATCAAAATAAAAATAATATAATCATATACATATTTTTAGTTTAGGTCTTATACAACAATCTCTCTATAACCTTAGTAAACCCTTTCCATTAATATTGCTACTATATACATAGTGCGTCCAAAAGTTTGGGAACTTGTTTTCTATATCAGCTCATGGTGGTGATATGATTGTTCTAAATAATTGGCCTCATTCTTCTTGTAATGACCAGTCATTTACGAGTAACAGGCATTTTAGTTTTAACTTTTTTCTCCCTCTATATTGGCGATAGAAATTGATGAACAAACAGAACAAGTGAACACCAAATTATAAATAAAACTAAAAAAAAAACTTGAATGGAATTTTAAACAGTTTTAAAGAAACCACATTGAAATTAATAGCATTTTATATTTGGATTAAGGGTTTTAACGAAGGCCATATAGGCTGTTAAGACAATGTGAGATCAGGATGTCCTTCCACCTTGTGACAAAAATATGTAGTCACCTGTGCTTTTAAATCAAATGTTTTTTGTTAACAAAAGCTGAGAAGGAAAGAGTGTATGTTTCTATAAGTTCCTGAACCAAAATTTCATTAAGACACTTAATCAGTCCTCCCCTTCACCAAATTTAGCCACATAGGACTTTTTCGAAAATATAAATTAATCAATGCGGTGGCAGCACTGCCAACAAGAAAATCATAAAACAAAATGACGAGGCAACTGAAGATTCTAACTTTTCAGGACTTCTATAGATGTTTTAAATAATCAACATAGAAATGAGGTGATGAAAAATATTAAAACCAATAAGGAGTACTTTAAAAAAGATGGAACTGTTTGCCATAATCAATTTCAAATATATTGTTGAATTAGATAACATATTTTTAATAGAGATTAATTCACTTATTTTTGCACATTTACTATAACATTTTTACAATTATCTACTATTTATTATTTATTATTTGATATAATTTTAGATGGTTAAATTTAGTGCTCAAATTAGAAAAATAGAAGAGGGACTATGAAACTTAAGCAAATTAATTACAATTTATTATTGAATTTAATCTAACTCTACAAAAGTATATACATATAATGTTGAACAATTTTTCGGCTCCATGCATCAAATTATTGACTGGCGCTATCAATTACCCCAATTAGTAATTACAATATTTGAATTTTGGAAAGTTAAGGTAAAAATTCCATTTCCCTTTCAATTCCAACAAATTTAAGTTGTTCAGTTGGCCCATACCTATATATACAATAATAATAATATTAAAATTGCAAGCAACTATATTATAAAATAAATAATACAAACATAATACTAACCTATAATCAAAAAAGAGTTCTTCGCCAGGCTGTATCGGACGTTTTGCAAATATACCAATACGATGATCACCATTAACCATCATAACTTTAGCATAACAATTTGGATTTATAGAATGATTTGCAAATCTGATTTTGTTGCCTTTTCGTGTAGCATCAACAACAAAATCTATGAAAAAAAATTATAAAATCCCCAAATTAATTATTTTTTATCACAATATTATATAAATTACAAAAAAAGAAAAACATTCAGAAATTTTACTTAGAACGTTGAATACTCACCATGATTTAAATTAAATAAAAAGCTACACATATATTTATCATACACTTTTCCACGTCGATCTGCTTCATCTTGAGTAATTATTTCTCCACAATATTCTGATATGAATTCATTTTTTTGAGCTGAATCTTTCAAAAATATACCCCAACCAGCAACATCTGAAGGAGCCATCAACAAGTGTTTACCTACAAATTAAAATGAAATACAAAAATTTGCTATAAACATTTTAAAAAAATTGTTAGTATACTTACGAAGGCCTCTTTGAACACTGACATTTTTACATGTTATATTATCTAAATTAAACTGGTCTGCACCACAAGTTAAACATAGGTCTGGATCACATTCACGAACTGCTAAATAACAAGGGCATTGTTTTGTGTTACACTGAGCACGACACCGACAACCTGGGAATCTATTTTGACCTAAAATATAGTTAGGAATAGGTATATTAAAAAAAAAAAATGTTTAAGATACAATAGTAAATATTAATACCCATATTGCTTTGTTAATTTCTGAACATATAAGTAATATAACTTTATTTTACTTTCAATTTGAAAGCTATAATAAATTACTGCATACATGCATTTTAAAAATGGAATTTGGTTTATAATAGATTTCTTTATAGAACTTTTGAAAAAATTTAATAAAAATAAACTTTTACTCTATTTCAAAAGAGAACATACAGCTTTCGCGCATTTCGACTGATGGCTGGTGGCCGTCCCAAGTCAAATTTCTTCTATTATCATTGAAACAATGCAACAATCATACACGAAGGTCACAGATTAAAAGTTTCCAATGAGTATACACCGATTTAAAATAAATTGTTTATAATTTGTGATATCTGACCAGTTAATTAAATCCAAGTAGGTCCATAATAATGTGAAAAATTATAAAAATATAAAATAAACCAAATGTGTACTACACGTATTAGCGCAAAATTCAACATGTGTATTATAGTTGTGATACTTGGTACTGGCTGTATGTACGTTCACAATGAGCTCAAGGCAGGAGCGTGCTCATTGTAGTACCTGGTAGAGAAACGCTCCACCAAATGAAAACTGGTTGTGAAAGCGATATGCTCTCTTTTAAAACTGAGTATAAATATTAGATGGTAGTAAAATTATTAAAATTTTAAGTTGAATAAAATAATACTTAAGTCACTATTTAGAATTACTCAAAACTTTTAAGATTTTATAAAAAAAACTAATTCTACTCAAAAGGACACCACAACCACATCTACTGTTTCAGTCCAACTACCGGATAATTAGCTAATTTTGATTTTATGGTATAAGTACTTACTATGAAATTTATAGAGAACAATATTTTGGAGAATCTCATAGGCGTTTTTTTGAAATGTTAACTATTAAATAAGTTAGTTATTTAAAAAGCTAAAAAAGCTTGTAACTTTTATATTAAGCTGTAAATTAAAAATAATACAAAAACCTGATGAGGATCCCTCCAAAATATTTTTCTCTTTACATTTCTTCATAGGTACTTTTACTTAGTCTACATAAGCATTGTCAAACAAATCATACTCTTAATATATCTTCTCACAGTTTTTAAAATACCAAAGAATTAGAAAATAAAATATTTAAAATATAATTTATACTATTAAATTTTTAATCTATAATAATCCTTCATGGAACACTTCAAAAAGAGATACATCAATAAATAATAAATATAATCAATTTAAAATACATAATACAATACGCAATAGTGTTTAGATACTTACAATCTGAACTACACTTGCAGAATTTTTCACAAAAATTTTGGGCCATTACACAAGGACATGTTGCATCACATCCTTGATTTGGTGGATGAGAACATGGAGTATAATTATATAAATGATTTGATGCAGAATCACGCTTCAGCTGAACTTTACGGCAATGAGTTTGCCATAGACGTAACTTCTTCTTTTTTTTTCTTGGCGGAGTTAATTCACTAATAGCTTCTTCAACAGTAACATCGTCATTTTCGTTTTGCGCGAATTCATAAACCTGCTGACATGTTTTTGTCAACATCATCTGAGCAATGGCACAATAGTTATTTAAAAATGTGCGACGTAGTGCACGAAAGATTGATTGATCTGATCCAGTCCACACTTGTTTATCTTCAGTACTCATGCGTGGCAATAAAGAGAATGAGGTTTTTGTTGATAATGGATCTTCCATATCTAACTCGCCATCTACTCAAAAATAATTTAATATCTATTACATTAATTTATTTATTTTACTAATTTTGTTTATATACATATAGATACTTAAGAATATTATTAGGTATAAAAAGATAAAATATCCATTACCATGAGTACCTTATTTGGTACTCACACGGTTTAGACCCGTCATTTATATTTTTAACTCCTCCATTTTACATGCTTTCGGTACCAATGCTGGAACACACAGCATTCGACTCACATGCTATGAGGGACCATTTTTAAACTTTATGTTTTTTTGTTATTTACTTCATTGAATACGATTTTTGGTACAATATCAAACTATTAAAATAATGTGGTAGTCAACTTGTTAATAAGAAAAACTGTAAGTACCTTTGCTACTATCCCTGCTATCTTCGGAACTAGCATCATTTCCCCAATCTGAGCTATCTTTTTTTAACAACCTAACAGAACTAACTGGTTTATCACTACTTTCATTTTGAGGTGACAACTCTTTAGTGTTATTAGAAATTGTAATAGACACAGATCTCTGATCTCTACTAGTTTCCTCATCTCTATCAGCTTGTTTTTGTTTTTCTGCTTTGATTTCAGCAATGGCAGCTAATTTTTCTTTCATACCATCCTTAAATAAAACAATTACATATAACATAGTAATAAATAATTAAAACAGTATACACTTCTTACAAGTAACATATAACAATCTTGACTACAAGTAGTTGAAAATGGCTTTAATAAAGGTCCTTTTAGGCCTATTGGTAGGTTAGAGCCAGACTCGTGCTCCTTAAGTTCTACAAAAATTATACAATAAGAATTAAATGATTACACTGAATATACTTATAACAAGTAAATGTACATACTATGTAAAAAACAATCATATTTGTAACATCTTCTACAGAACAAATTCAAAAATGAATGTATAGTTTGCTCTTTTGGGACAGACTCAGCCTTTGGCCCATCAATATTTGGAGTACACTGAGATGGCTGTGCATTTGGATCAGCACATGAAGTTAATTCAATATACCTGTAGAATACAAATGATGATATATTAAATAAATTTATATATGATAAGATGATCCATTCCAAAAATGTTTGATAATTTAAATAAAAACAAGCAGATCCTATAATGGTACTTTAACATTATGTGTTGTTATATTTATTATTGGGGGTGAAATAACTACTTAATTTTAATTTTCATGACAAACTATAATAAAAATTTGATAAATAGATTATTTAATTTAAATAAATGTAGATATTGACATTTTTGATTTCTGAAAACCTGTTGATATTCCACTTTTAAGTTAAAATATGGGAAGAGTAATGGAGCACTAATAAACACCACACAACACAAATGAAGCAAACATTTTAAAACTGCTTGTTTTTTAAATTGTCAAAAAATAAAAATGTTAAAAAATTCAATAATTTTTCAACTTATTAAGTTTAGCCACTTAATTAATCATGCTGTATATTTGGATATGAAATATTTAATTTAGCGAAGAAAAAAGTTTTTCAATGTTATTAAAAAGAAAAAATGTATAACCAAAACAAAAAAATGTAATATTTAATATAACTGAAAAAAAATTATTCCTAAAATTATAAATACGGTACATAATATTATTATTATTATTAAGGTACCTTACATAATATACATTTTTTTTTTATTTATTAGTATTATGTGATATATGCATGTCTACGTGAATATTAATAAAAATTTATTTAATTTTTTTGGTGGTCTAAAAGTTTTTAGTTTTCATTTTAAAAAAAACAATTCCAAAAAAAAAAAAAAAAATGATTTCTTCAAAAAAGATCAGTAACATTAAACAATAACAATATTTATTGTATAAATAAGTAAAAACATAAATGAAAAAAATGTTAAGGTTTTTTATCCCTGGTTTAATTTTAAGTTAATAAGTATACTAAATACTTTTCTTTAAATTCTTCAGGAGATCCTTTGTCAGGAAATGCAGCTGACATGGCTTCAAATATAGCCATACTTGGAAATGGCCTATCATCTTTACTGTTTCTTGACACTGCTTTTGAAACTATTAAACCTTGTTGTTCTTTGTCTTCTTCTTGCTAAACAAAATCACCAATATTGGCTTTTAGTTCATGAATAATTTATATATTTATTTTTAATTTACCTACCTGAAAGGGAATAAGTGCATAAACTAAATCAATGAAAACCTGATCATCTAAAAAATTTGCAGCATCATCATCATGAACTTTATTATCATAGTTTTTTAATAGCTCTTCAATAAAAGACCCATCTTGATCAAGTACTTCATCTCCCATATATGGAATATTATGTAATACAGTTTCATCTTCTACCTACAAATTAAATTAGATAATAAAAAATTAATAAAAACTAAATAAATATTTTCTAACAAATTAAACATTTTATTGTACCATAAAATTTTGCTGAATTGGTGCCCAGATATACATAGTAGGTATAGGAGCTACAGCATTTATTATTTTTATTGGAACACTCATACTGTCTTCACCAATACCATCTACTTTAGATACTTCTGATCGTTTAGATCTTGATACTGTTTCAATATATGGTCGGCATTCCCAAACTGTTTTTCTAGATTGCAACCTTTTAAGTTCTTCTGATTTTTTATCTAAATAAAAAAAACTCATGAAAATATACAGATAAAAACATCATGATGTTTATTCATACCACAAACTTTCTTCTGATTATTAATACAGGCCAATACGTTGTCATCATCTTTTTTAGTCTTCTTAGCTTGCAATAATCTAAAATATTCAGCTTTTACACGTTTTTTCCAATCAGCATTGTTCTTGGCTTTCTTCTCAGACATTTTAAATTTAGTAAAGTATATTAACTAAATTGTATGCACATTCGACTATATTCAAACAAAGTAGAAAAAATTGTTTAAAGCGACTATGAGCCACATGTTGAATATTTACTTTAATCGAGTAATTATTGTTACTATAACTTACCCTACTGCCATACCAATAAACAAGCAAATTACAACATTATCATGATTGATACATAATTTAAACGATCTTGAAAAACAAGGGTGTGAAGAGTTTTCATATAATAATTAATATAATTTAGTATAAGCGGTAGGTGGCACGGGCCAAGGTAATTGACAATAGTGTAAACAATTTTTTTTTTAAAGACGTTTTCTTCCGTTTTATTATAATGTTTATCAGTTTATGAGTTTTAACCAAGTTCGTTTATAACATCATTAATGTCGGTGGTTATAATGAGAAAGAGTACATAACCTTCAAATCAGCTGATCATTATTTAGGCGGGAACGCTAAACTGAGTTGTTTTTATTGTGCACTTACTTTGAAAGAATGTAATTATGACATTTTATCATGATAAAGTATAAATCTCATCGATATAATATTATTCTTGCTCCCTGCCTACCTTGTATATTCGTTTTTTTTTTTAATACCAATCAGATAATACATCTTCATAGACATATAATTGTTTTTATATGTCTATGTCTAGTTATACCTTCTTATCTATTGTAGAAAAAAAGGAAAATCCGTCCTTATTATTATTATAATGTATTTTTTACATTTCAAAAATATAATTGTAATTAATAATTATTACTGCTAGAAAAAAATTTACCGGGAACGGATTATCAGTATATAAAAATTATGACGGGCACAGATTGTCCGCATTTATTACAATTATTTTCGGCCCAGAAAATATGAATCAAACCGGCCTATAAGCTTGCACTGAGGCGCGTAAAATATTGGAACAAATTTGTCGGAACCATTTAATATAATTTCATCATAAGCACTCCGTGATTACATGTTATTGTCGTTAGGTAAAAATTATTTTCTGACAAAATATTATCCGGTTAATTATTTTTTCGAAAAAAAACTTTCGGACAAAATATTTTCCAACAAAATATAGTCCTCCCGAAAGGACAAACCACCCCTGTAAGTACCTTATAAATTATTGATTAAATTGCATTACTATTATACGTATTATAAAAATAACCATATAATATTTATAATCAAAATTATTTTATTAAAATGTATTAAAAATAGTGATTGTACAATAATAATCAGTTCAGTTTTAAAAATTTTTGAAATTATATCGATGTAGTTTCATAGAATTCGATAGTGAAGATGTCCATTGCAATATTTCCTAAGATAATTAATATAATCAAATTATTCTGGTTTTTTTTTTCATATCTCAGTGATAAAGACAACAAATATTTTTATTTGAATTAAATTTGTAAGTTTTAGTAAAAAAATAACTATTTTATTATATTAGAAAAATTTGAAAATAGCCATTTTATAGAATTCTGAAAACCACTAAAGACTCGTTTCTTTGTTAATCTAACGATTGGTCCCTACTAAATATACAGTACCTATGCAGACAATTCATAGAGTAATATTATTTTTATTTATATAGTTTATTGATATATAAAATTAGACTTACTCTGCGTTTAGAATATGGTTTAAAACAACTGACAAACCCTTTAAATTACATTGTACATTTAAAAGATCTATGGGGCTACTAAGTATAAGTTAATTAATGAAACTTTTAGCCTTAGAAAATATACTTTATTTATTTTAAAACTACAGCATAGTTTTAATAGTTGGTGACCAAAGGGAACTTTGTCAGTTAGTAGTATTACACAATTAAATTTGATTCACTACAAGAACTATATTCTAATATAGACCTGATATGTATAGAGTACACTAAATTAAAATAATTATAGATTAAAAATATTAATTATAAGGGAAAATATCATAAACATGAGTAAACAGTAAACACAGTTATATATAATTAATAAATATTATACGTAGATAATATACACAGTACAAACAATAAACAAAATTTTTATAGTTAACATGTATACAAAAACACATATAGTTTTAAATGTAGTTGCTAATATAAATAACTTAGTATACGTTTAACAAATAAGTGAATCATATAATAAATTTAATATATGAATACCCTTTAGATTTTCACAATAATTCCTTTTTTACAATTTCGCCACGTGCCATTCTTCAATTGGTTTTGATTGCAGGGTAATTATAGACTTTTTAAAAGCACAATACCATATTATACCATAAATTGTACACAAAAAAGTTTCAATGTAAAACCCGTCAATAAAAACATGACAAGTTTCATCAGTTGAATTACATACCTATATAGAAGAAACATAAATTATAATTATGAACATTTATAATTTTATGGTTGTAATATATTTTTACATTTGTATCATTTTTGTATAAACACAATTTATTAGGATTGATAGAACATTGCTTAAAAGTTAGGAAATCAAGTAGCCACAAAGCACCAGTTTTGCTTCCCGTGGCTCCTAAGTTTATTACCGTAGCCAGTAGTGTCATATTTGTGCCTCCAATTCGTGCATCACAAATACTAGCGAAAAATTCTAATATTGTTATAACCATAACAATAATCATTGACTGTAATAAAATTAACTTAATCTTTTTAACATATTCTAAACCAAAAACAAATTAAAATATACATATTACATGTATAATATATATGCAAATCAATAATAAAATAAATAGTTAATTAAAACTGGTAAATTTATTATCCATCAATACACAAATGAAGCTTTATATTTAATTTATACAATAATAAATAAATTAAAAAATATAATAAATATGAATTAAATTTTTTAATTAAAGCCAATAATAAACAAATAAAAATGCAAATTTTCTTACCTGGTGCAAAATATACATCATCACCATAATTACTTTGTAAATAATAAATAATCCTCCAGTTTGAACTATAAAATATGGAGTAACATAAGTAATAATTGTGACAATAATACCAGTTATCAACCTGAAAAATATATGAAAAATTATTATTGATTTGTAAAATTGTACGCTAAAACGAACTCAGCCAAAATAGACATAATTTTTACATTTATCTCTTTCTGTTCATCATAACAGTCCTCCAAAGATATTAGATGCATTAAGGAAAATAATAGGATGACTAAGTACAAAATTATAACTGTAACAAATTTCATGTTATAATGTTATTTAAATAAAATGTAATTGTTAATTATTTACCAACATATTGTGTATATTCAGTATTTTATAGTAGTTTACTTTTCAGTAGTTGTAATTTTAAGTTGGATAAAACTGTAGTATAGAAATTGAACTTGAGAGACTAGATAAAAATGTATCTTGTCTTTTTAATATTAACCTAAAGCAATTTCAAAAATGTATGTCTATCACTTGTAGTAAAATAAATATATGACATTGATGGTGTATATTTAAAGGTAAATAATTGTTAGAGTAAGTACCTACTTATTCTATAGGTAAAAAAAACATGTTCCGTATCCAAACCACTTTAATATTATTATATATATAAGTGATTATGAAATCAAGTACTGAGTAACTGAGTAAAAAATTAAAACACAAATTATGAACAATTAATACTTCCTTGTTAGAATAGGAAACATGCCTTAGAAAAGCAACAAATTTAAAAGCTTAGTGAATTATAAATAAACAATGCCTACTTTAACTAACACAAAAGCTAAAAGAACACTAATAAACTGACAGCAAATTATCTGGCTGACATATGGATAAGCACATGGGGACACCAAGAATAAATAATATCCAGAATAACTATATAGAATACAATATTATACGCATAAAAAACAAATAAGTTCAATTGCATTGATTAAACACTATGTAACAACTATTGTTCAAAATTAATTATTAAATAAAATAATATATTAATATACATAATATCATAAACGTTCATTTACCGGCATATCATAGTTTTCAAAACAATGTTCATTGGTTTTCCTTGAGATATACATTTTATAACAATAAATGGTAAACAGATATTCAGACCAATAATTATAAATTCAATAGCAGCAATTTCATCTTTAGAAACTCCACCATCTATAAGTTTCAATGTGAATGTTGCATCGACTGAACTAAAACTCATCTAATTGTTAATTACAAAATAATACAAGAATTTAACTGCACATTTTCTAATTTTAGATTATTTTTATTTCTTACTCCTATAGTTAATAAAATAATCACTAATTTCTTGATATTGGATAGTTGCATTATTTTATAAAGTAATTTATAAGTTTTAACCATACCAATATTTAAATCATCTGTTTTAGTACAATTATCTTTTTCAGGTTTAAATATAGCCACTAAAGTTGTAATAATCATAAACATTGTTCCCCAAAAGTATAGATACCCTAAAATAATGTTGATAAAAATAATTATAACATCACAGATACAATATTTTATATTTTGTTTAATAGAACACATTAGTTGTACAAATGGGCAATAGGTACTACCAAAAATGTTTACCTTGCAATGTAACTATACCACCTGGCAAAGGTACAGTTCGCCACCATTTGTTCCAAAATGATTCAGATATCAGAATGATAAGGAGAATATAGCTTAGAAATATTCCCAATGCTTGCCCAGCACTGTTACACATAGCAGAGTATTGAATATTCTCTCTAAAAATTAGTGTGTACAATAATAAATATATAATTTTATAAGGTACTTATTAGATACTTTTTTTTTGTAAGCACTAATAAAAACAAACTTTTTTAACATTGTTAATGCCCATCCATCTACAATAATATCTTGAGTAGCAGCAAGAAAATTTAAAATAAGAAACATACAAGTTAAATTATTAATTTGTGGTTGTGTAGCATTAATTAGCCATTCGTTTATGTAAGAACCAGTTATGATGCAAAATATACCTGTAATAATAAAATTAACTAGCTAATTAAAGATGTTTATAATAAATAAATAAAAATAGGTAAGTACTGCTTTAATTTTAAATTATGAAAAGAATCAATTTCACATTACCACATTTTTTTGTAGCCATTTTAATGAATCAACATTTAACAGTATCTACCTACTTTTAAAGTCTTTTGAATTTTTTAGTCATTTTAAAAAAAAAATACAAAGGTGTACACATGCAGTTATACAAAAAAAAAACCAGTTTGGGTTATTACAGGTTTTTTATTACATATGCAGATGTATAGTGATTAAAATAAACAATGAACATTTTATTCATTACATTTATTTGAATATTTTGAAAACCTGATTTTTAAAATAAACCTTTGATTTATTTTTTTTCTTGAGTTACACAGCGTGTTCCATGAAGATCTATACCCATTATTATATCTTCAAAGATAAAGATAATCAAATTCTGTTTTTTTTTATATATATATATTATTCACAGGTAAAAGGACTACAGATATTTATATTTTAATTAATTTTTCATGTTTTGGTAAAAACTTTATTTTCATTAAATTCGTGATTTTTAGAAATTTTTAAAATTCATAAAAATGTACCTATAATTATGCTGCAGACTGTTATCGCATTCACTAATTGGTTATTATTATTATAACTAAATGACTCAACACTTTTACTCTGAATTTTAAAAAAATTATTAAAAATCACGAATTTAACAAAAATAAAAAGTTGATACATTATCGAAATTATCGAAAATAATAAATTTAAATTCTTTTACCAAAACTTGAAAATTTAATTAAAATATAAATATTTGTAGTCCTTGTCTCTGAAGGTAATATAAAAAAAAATTAAAACAGAATATGATTATCTTTATTGTCTGAGAAAATATTGTAATGGGTATATCTTCATTGGAAATTCTATTCTGTAATGAGTATCACAAATAATAATTAAAAAATTGAGAACTTAGAACTTGAAAATTGATAAAATTTATTGTAAAATCTTTTAAATTTAATTTAAATGGTTTAGATAATAAATAATAATTATATTCTTACCTAAAGAATATTGGACAGGAATGAGCCATGATTTCCGACGTCCAAATTGTTTAATAAACAGAGAATCTACCAGTGGAGCCCATAAAACTTTCATACTAAATGGCCATGAGACAAAACTAAATTTTGCCTGTATTAAAAAGTACATTATCATTTAAACTTATTACTAGGTATTTATAAATAACAAAATCATTTTTATTTTACATACTTGATCGTTATATGAAGATAGATGCATATTTTGTATAATTATTGCTATTGCAGATGAGAAACCCATAGGTACTCCTTGTAACATATACAATATCAATAATATACATATATTACTAATATCACTTTTTGTATTTTTTTTAACTGGAGTGTTATATATTTCAATTGAAGAAGGCATTATTCGAAGAGTCACTTTTATCTTGATATTTGAAGAAAAAACTTAGCCTGTATTATATAATTTGTGTATTTACACCAGGTTTCAATTTAAAAAATCATTGTTCCTAGATAACAACAAAGACAAGGCCTTACAACAAAGAATAAAAATAATAATATTGAAAATATATTCAAATAATAGTCTATAATATTTTATGAAATTTAACTATTTTGAACTGTCATACAACTTTTACAAACTTAAAATATCTGAAAGCGCAGTTCTTAGTTGAAATAAACTTCAACAATACACTCAAGAATTGAAGAATATAATATGAACATTTTTAACCCATAGTCAAATCAATAATTGTTCTTAAATAGCACTGTGCCATAGGTAGGTACAAAGAAGTTTTGTTAGTTTTATATAAGTCCTAAACATAAGAATACAAATACGTTTTATATGTGCCAACTCAGTTGAAATTAAATTATTCTGAATGTTTTCAAAATATATTTTATAGGTAGGTATTTGTAATTATCTAGTTTTTTACATTTTAATTGGCTATAATGGGTTTGACCCAGCATAAATTGTCAAAATTATACAAAATCAACATGAGGTTTATCATAAGTTGTTCCTTTTTTATTTGTTTTTTTTTTTTTTTAGTTAAACCGCTTATTAATTAATTAATACATAATCAATATATTATTTACCTATACCACATTAAATTCAATATAAATAACATTATGATTTTATGAAATATAAAGTATATTAACTACAATAAACAATTTTAATATGTTAATATATTGTGAACTTCATTTATTATAAACAAATTAATTTGGTGAAATGTAGATTATAATTTAATGTTTAATATTATAACTAACTGAAGAAAAAGAACTGATAGTAATAGGTATACAACAGTTTTAAATGGTAAACTGTGAAGAATTGATACTTAAGATATTAAAAATGTATATTTGTACGTAATAATAAATATTATGCTTATGGAATAAAATTCTGATCGAAAAGTTGTTAACAGACAAAATAATAAGCACAAAACATAGTAAAACCAATTCGTTTGTAAACTAAAATAATTAGTTATATTTTATTATTAATCTAATAATAATAGTTATAGGAAATTAATAATTATATATTATATATTATAGAAATACTATAATATATAGTTAATATAAATAGTTTAATATTTAGATTATAGATAATATTTGCAATTTATATATCAATAAATTATATCAAATTTAATCATTAAAACACGCCACGTCTCTACATTAAGATGGTGACAAAATTAAAGCTTATGATACAATTTTAAAATTGTATATTTATTATTGCCTACTTTAGTTTTAGTTCTAATTTTACGATATTTTTTCAAGATGCTTGGGGTGTGTGAGATTAAAAGGAGATATAATATAAATTATGGTTACATTAATTAATATAATATATATTTTTATAAATTTAACATAGAAATATAATGCATTTTACCTTTAAATATTATGATGGACTTACATTTTTCACAGTGATATGATTTTTAAAACAAAACTGGTAGATATGCTACTTGTAAACAATTTCGTAAGGTAGTTTTAAAGATTGATTTTATTAAAAAAAAAAACTTAACTGTCTTAACATTTAATTATTGATGAAATTTAATTTAATGATGAACTAAAATTAAATTTGGTTATTTAATTAAGTAAATAATGTACTACTTAGAAGATCGATTTAGAGTACCTAAATAATGTTTGACTGCTTGAGTATGAATAAAAGTGCCTAGTCAATTTACAAATAGTTGTATAATATTATTAATGTCAAATACTCAGAAGCAGAACACTGGGCTGTAGTCAAAAGATTAGAAATTAGTAAAGATAAGTTTTTAATTGTTAGATCTAATATTATAAAACCATTACCATTAATTTGTAAAATATATATATATACACTTGTTATGAATTTATGACCCATACAAAAATAATTATTTTAAACAGTTTATTTATGATAATACATTGTATGGTAATTTTCTTCTGAATGTATAAACGACGAAAATATACAGATATACATATGGGTAACTGTGTGTTGTTTTCAAATAAATTACAATTAGATGTATAATATATAATTATTTAAACGGTCTATATTAAATAATATTAAATAATTAATTTGTAGATTAATATAAATATAATGATTGTTATAAACTGCAATCAATATATAAATGTAATATATACACTATACAAAGTGTATACGGAAACAGCTAGGGAACTCTATAATTCTCAGCACCATATAGATATTTTTTAATTTTATTCCAAGTCATTTTGAAGTATTTATTAATTTTTATACTAAATTAAAAATTAATCAAATAAGATCGTTTTACAATTTCAGTTTATAGGTTAACCTATAGACATAGGCACCAAGTGTAAAGAGGCTGCGGGCTGAAGTTTCCCATTAAATAGTTAAGTTGGAACTTCGCCCCCCCTCCTATAAAAAGCATTATGCACATCTTTTTTTTTTATTATTATCAAAGTCATTGAAAAAAAACTTGATTTAAAAATAATAAAATTTGATTTTTGTTTTTATTAAATGCTGTAATAGGAATTTTCGACAGGATAGAAATTCTTAACGCACAAATACTAAACTGTGTCATTGATTTTCCAAGAAGCACAATTTAGTTACCAAAATATTATACACTCTATTCAATTGCAACGAAATTCAACCTTTGATGATGAATTCCTATACGTTTAACTAAACATAGTAAAACTTACTCTTTTTCAACTATTAAAAATAACTATAGGAAATTATTTTATGCATTTTTAGATGTAACATTATTTTATAAGGAGCTTTAAGGAGTTAAGAAAGGTTCAAATAAAATTGTATTAAATACTTTTCATGTTTAGAAAGTTACATTGTTGTTGGAGAAAAATTTGAATGCAGCAGGACATTGTTTGGTGATTATTTACTGGGTGTCCACTTTTAAAAGAAAAAAATAAACTAAATACAAATTATATAATTAATCTAACCAATTTTGTTCATAAACATGATATAAATAATGTAAGAATGACAAACTTTACTCTTAGGTAAAATTTTTAAAAGTTAAAAAAAAAGTATTAATAGCTAAAATCATTATTTGTGCTAAAAAAAACTTACTGATAAAGTCACGATGCTCATAAGTAGTGAGCTCGGGTTATCAATAGCGTTTTTCTTTTTTATTTAAAAATGTTATAACAGCATGTTGAGAATCATGGTATGTAATTATAACTCCCTTCAATGATGCACACATTATTTTCTTTTAATAAATTAATTTTATACTAAGATTTCTTCGGTTATAATGTGAAATAACTCTTTTCGTTTTCATTTAATGGTGGTAAATAATTAATAGGGTAACAGCAGTACTGGGTTTAAACTTGTTGAGCACGAAGCAAACAATATTTGAAGGCCCACCCTTTATAATATAATCAGTAGGTAGGATAATTTATGCCAATTTATTCCCCCCATAAATTCGACACTGAGTTACAACTTACAAATAATTTTTCTAATATGCCACTAGTTTTAACAGTTATAGTATTTAATTTAATGGATATTTTATTTCTTTTTCGGTGGCATCAATATTTGGAATATCATCGTCCAAAAACTAGTTACATTATTAACAAACTGTACAATTTTATCATGACACAAAATATTTTCAACCAACTAACAGCCAATTTCTATCATTTCTTTACAAGAATTTGCAAAAATTAGATACAGGACACCCTGTGGGTGAATTATTTCTTTACTGTGTCTAACAAGTCAGGAGTGGGTGTCTATTTCCTTTTAGCTAAATCATTTTAACCTATCAGGAAATGAATGCTTCTATGGACTCACAAAATACTAGGACCATGATCTCTGTCTATAGAAATGAAGATAAAACTATATATAACCTTAATACGTCCAGTTGTCACTTATGGAGCTGAGGTCTGGCCATTAAGAAACACCGAGGAAAGGAAATTATTGGTTTTTGAAAGGAAAGTCTTAAGGAAGATTTTTGGACCTGTTAAATATAGAGAAACAGGAGAGTGAAAAACAAGAAAAAATGATGAACTGGAAAGGATGTTCCGGAAAGAAAACATCTTAAGTGTAATCATAAACTGAAGACTTAAATGGGCTGGACATGCTTTGCGAAGCCAGAACCATCTCATAAAGATGATCATGGACGAGAACACAGTTGGTAAGAGACCACTGGGAAGACCACAATTGAGGTGGAAAGATGTGATAAGAAAAGATGTGGAAACACTGAATGGAAGACAGGATTGGATAACAAGACCAGGGTATAGGGAAGGATGGAAGACTGTATGTGTGATGGGATTGTCCTCACGACTGGAAAACCGAAGAAGACATAGAAACAATGTATTCATCCCAGTTGTCATCTTCACTACAAATTACAATATAATTTATTATTTATAGAATCACAAGAAACTGGTGACCAAAATACTGTGAAATAATTTGGGTTTCAAAGTACAAATGTGTACATTTCTTTAAGATATGTTCCAAATGTGTTATTAAAACTTTAAGAGTATATTATGAGTAAAATATAAAAACTGCAGAAGCTTTCAACAAATTGCTTTTTTTTAGATGTGAACACTTTTTATCAGAAAGCTCACTCTGATACATACAATGTAGCACCTTTTCTACAATGAAATTTTTTTAATAAATCCAGTTTTTTCTCATTTGACATAATATATTTTTTTAAGAAATCCATGTCAATTCATAAAATTTGAATCATATTCAATAGATAAGAAATAAAATGCAATAACTAATCATTTATAAATCATAGTATGTACATGTAAATTAAATAATAATTTTATTTTACTGTCACTATTTCTGTACCAAAATTCAAAACTATATCGGCCACTTAACCAGCATGGTCCTGTGTTTTATATATATATATATCAACAAAAACTAATTCAGGAAAAATATAAAAATAAATTTATCAAATTTGTATTTAGTTTATAATAAATCAATTAATTAATTAATACAAGACACAAAATTATACTTCATACAGTCTACATATACATTATTTAATAAGTTAAAAATCAATGATTATAATAATGTCATTAACAAGTATTTGTAATTATTTGTACACAAGAAAATAGTAAATGCTTAAGTTTAATAAAACTTAATTATAATAAATATATAATATACAATAACAAAAAAAAAATTTAAAAAAATAAGTGTTTTTAAGTATTATGAATAATTTTTAATAATTGTATTGAAAGTAGTTACTCAACAACTAAATTGAATGTTTCTACATCAATGAAGTGTTCATTTATGGAAGTTATGAAGGCCTCTTCTTGAGGGTCAATCTTTTTCTTTTGTTTAGGTTTTTTGTATTTTTTTGTTAATTGAACTTCTACTTCTTTTTTTTCTTCTTTATCTTCAAACAAACTCTTATTGTTTCTTTTTTTTCCAGGATATGATCGTCTTGGGGGTTTCTCAAATCTGACTTCTAATTTGGCATCAATTTCAGCTAATAAATCAGAAATATTTGTACAGGTTTTATCCACAGAAATATCCGTTAAAGTTGTCCATTTATCAGCAGAATCATTTATTATAGTGTCATTTATGTTTCCATCAATTTCCAAAGACTCTTCTGGGTCACTGTAGAATAATTCTGGTACTTGATTATGCTTATAATTCTCTTCTATTACTGATATTTTATGTTTGTATGGTAATTTTTCAATTTCTATATTTGATTTATTATTTTGATTTTCTTTATCTATTACATTAATGTTTAAACTGTAATTGTCTTTCAGAATTTTTTTTGAATTTTTTTTTATATTTTTAAACGGAGTTGATGACAATTGTGGAGGTTCAAAATTTTCAGCATCCACAATGGAAAAATCATTAAAATAACATGATTTTTTTTTATAAGCCATTGATGTATTTTTTAAAGTTTGTCTCGTTATTTTAATTGTATTTACTTTTATCTTTAATCTGTAAAAATTAAAATTTAAAGCATTATTAAAAACTGGTTTACCAAATATATACATATTATATTCATTAGGACGTGTAATAAAACCCTAATTATTCTCAACAAATTATTGTAAATTATAATGCCTTTAGAAACCTGAACTTTTATAACTTATTGGTGTTCAATTTTTCAACAAAATTCTTTATTACAAAGTAAATTACTGTTAAATATGCACATATATATGTAAAATTACATATTTTAACACATCAGAATGTAATTCAAATTTGTAGCTGGTCTTGCAATTTGTAGGTGTACTCATTATGAACACACAAATGCTTAAACTTTCGGGCTTCAATAATAACAGTTCAAAAAAAAAATCAAATTATGATATGTTTGAAGGATAATAATTTCCAAAAAACCAATTGAATACGTATAAAGTACAAATAGTTATGGAAATAAAAGAAGTTTAACTAAGTTTTAGTGACATTATAATATTATGGGACAAACAAAATATTTCATCTCAAAGAGTTTAAAGTGTAACTAAATCCGCACTCACACGATGACAGTTTTTTTATGAAACAATTTTCAACTGTATGAAATATCATGAAAATTCACACTAGTGACAAATGTTATGATAGTTGCTATCATGACATAAAAATATTGACGAGCCGTAAATGTATTGAAGTGTTTTAACAGAAAAATTGGAACTGTTCACACAATGAATACATTCGACTCAACCATGCAATTTTCACTGAATTTTTGCTCACTTATATCAAATTGATTCAGCAAAGTTGTCTAAGTGCTTTGCCCCGTAACAATGTATCTTTATATTTTGAATGTACTGAATTACAATGATTATTTTCATAATATATTATATGTTTGTAGGTGTTCCCACCACTCCATTCTTTTAGAAATAGTTTTATTATATGATATATTTATAAAACTGTATTTGTACGACTGTCAACTGTATTAATTTTTGAAACAGTTCACATTTGTGTATTATAGTTTTGATCTTCACTTACAGACATATTTAGATCAGCTCAAGAATTGTTACAACTGTTAAGTTACAGAAATTAGATTAGTGTACGACAGAAATAAAAAAGTTCATATGTAGATAATTTACTATAATACAATTATTTTGTTATAAAACTGTCATCGTGTGAAAGCGAGTTAGGTTACTGTTTTGAAGTAAGAAATAAGAAATAAAAAATTACTATTTTACTTAATTCAATATTTATATTTCAATTTACAATTAATTTAATACATAATAGTAATAAATATTTAATTATACTGTAATTATGAGAGAATAACAACAATAATAATTTTAATATCTTACATATAAAACTATAAAATAAAATTACTGTAGGTATTATCAAATATATTTATTGTGTAAACAAATGGTACTTACATATAAATTTAAGTGAAATATGATACAATATGGAATCAAATGTATTTTAGGACTCAAAAATTAAAATACAATCAACACAATAAGCATAAAATAAAACCAATAAATTACTAGTAAGTCAACTGAGTACTGACTATATAGTATTATTGTTGTGAATATTGTATAGTGTTTATACATGGGAAAAATGCATCCCATGCCGCCATAACGGTTGTATTTTTTAAATTAATCATGGAATAAAAAATATTGATAATATGCTGCTAGTAGTAAGCATAGACTAGGCCGGTTCAACTCACATGAAAATACATACTAACAAAAACACTTTTATTACAGAGCAAAACCAAAACAGGCCCTCTGATTCGCTCTAACAGCTTAAATAAAATCCAAATAATATTTAATATTTTGATAATTTGATAACAACATTCAATATTTAAGTTAAAGATTTTTAAATTTTTAATCGTTTATAAGTTATGTTAATTAATTAATAAAAATGTTATAATATTGTTGAATGTCTCTTTGACTGTAGATTGGACTACTTTTAAAAATTTTGATAGTATGGTTTCTGCTATTCGGTGAAATGCATATGACTTATTAATAATTTATATTAAATATTAATATTTTTTAAATGTTTACAATGATACACCGATACGATATCTGATATATGAGCCGATAAAATTGTGCCAAGAAATAAATTGATGAAATATATAATACTGTAGTAGTCTAAATTACCAAAATTGACAAAAAATAAATAAATATGTAAAATCAAATTATATAGCTCATTTAATCGAAAATTACTTGAAACAAATTTATCGTTTGTCAAAATTAATTTATCATGTCACAGGAAAATATGTATACATATTTAACTATAGTTCCATAGAAATCAGAGCCCTACTAATAAGTCTAATAATCTTTAAATAATCTTACTTCTGCGATGACATTTCTTAAGCAGTCCTTCACAAGTTTTACTTTTGTTATTTCATTTGGGGAAATATGTTTTTCACGTATTCTATAACCCACATTTAACCCATCAATACACTTATTCTAGTTTGCAAGTCTTTATTTTATTACTTCAAAACTTGCAATACCTTCTTTATTTTTTTTTTGCAAACAAAACATACTTTAGGCATTTTGTATTGATATTCAAACTTAAAAGATACAAATGCAATATTTGGTGCACTAGTGCTTCTTAGCGAGTCCTTATCAAGTTATATTTTATGATTTATTTCGATTAATTATATAGAATATGGAGAAAATAGAGATGAGGAAATTAATGTCTATGACACTGTCTTATGCTGGGTTGCATAAAAATCATTCCGTAAATTTTAAACGAATGATTAACTAATAGCACGTTTAAATTTTTAATGGTTCTTTAAATCGCTAATGAGTTTCATGGAAATTGTATAATTATTCAAGGAGAATTAACATATTTATTTATTTATTAATACGGACAAAAGTCCAATTCACAATATATTTGTATAGATAACAATAATGTAATACAATTTAAAATAATAAAATATAACATAATAAAAAAATGAAAAGATTAATATATCGAATAATAGTAATAATAATAATGATAATAATAATGATAATAATAATGATAATAATAATGATAATGATAATAATAATAATGATAATAATAACGATAATGATGATAATAATAATAATGAATATAATAATAAAAATACATTCAATGTTTAATAAAATANGCTATTAACTTTGAAATTTAATTGACTTAATAAAAATGAATCATCAATCTCATTATTTAGCAATTTGGTGAGGAACGTACTGTATGATAAGTGTCTCCGTACATTTAAAGATTCTAAGTTTAACAGTTTTAAAATATTATCGTAGCCAGAGTGAGGAGTTCTTTGAATACTACATGTATGACATAAAAATCTGAGAGCTTTATTTTGAATTTTATCAAGTTGATCATTATGTCCTACATTGTTATGATTCCTAATTAGTGGAGCGTATTCTAATAAAGAACGGACTAGTAAGGTATAAAGGCATTTGAGAGCAAGTGGAACACGAAAATCGGAGCGGTTTCTTTTTATCATACCAAATACAGATAAAGCTTTATTTTTAATCGCTGATACATGATCATTGAATAATAGTTTGGAATCAAATAAAATCCCTAAATCTTTAAATAATGACGAACGATGTAGGTTAATGTCACATATATGATAATTAAAATGTAAGGGATTGTGCTTTTTGGAGTAGGTAACAATTTAGCATTTATCAATATTTAATGAAAGACTATTTGAAATGCACTATTCATTAAATGAAGCTAAATCACTTTGAAGAAGTTTAATATCATCAGGGGAAGTAATAGATTTGTAAATTTTTGCATTGTTGGCAAATAATAAAATGTTGGATGTGAAATGGATGATACAGCATCATTTATAAATAAATTAAAAAGGAGAGGGGAAAGGTGATCGCCTTGAGGGACACCAGAAATTACGTTTATAGGTGTCGATATAAAGTTTTTATATTTGACAAATTNATATCATCGGGGGAAGTAATAGATTTGTAAATTTTTGCATCGTCGGCAAATAATAAGATGTTGGAATGTGAAATGGATGATACAGCATCATTTATAAATAAATTAAAAAGGAGAGGGGAAAGGTGATCTCCTTGAGGGACACCAGAAATTACGTTTNACTTTGAAGAAGTTTAATATCATCGGGGGAAGTAATAGATTTGTAAATTTTTGCATCGTCGGCAAATAATAAAATGTTGGAGTGTGAAATGGATGATACAGCATCATTTATAAATAAATTAAAAAGGAGAGGGGAAAGGTGATCGCCTTGAGGGACACCAGAAATTACGTTTATAGGTGTAGATATAAAGTTTTTATATTTGACAAATTGGATTCTTTGACTTGGGAATGAGTTAAACCATGATAATAGAGAATTGACAAAGCCGATTTCCTGTAGTTTACTGATATATTATCTATACTCTTATCTTTTAAGTATAGCAACTGTCATGACATTCATATCAATAGGTTGTTATCATAGACACTTATTGATAATAACCATGAAGTAAAATTTGAATTTAGAATATAACTACATTTTAATTTTACTTACCGGAATCTACGACAAAAGTCTACATCATCAAAATATGTCAGTGGATCAGATCTATTTCGAAACACCCTTGGTTTAGGTAAACATTCTAAAACTTTCTATATCAATTAATCATTACTACAACTGGATGATGAATTATAATAAACAGCCATAGTGCATTAAATAAATATTATAATAATCGTTTTTTCATAATCATTTTTTTGAAAATCATAATATATGGGAAAATTGTTATAACTATATAGATAACACATATTTAACGAGTCATTTGAAATTTAGTGAGCCAAAATTTTGTGATTAATTAATGAATTGTTAAGACTAAATATTAATGGCCTGTTAAAAGTTAGAGAATGTTTATGTAACGAAATAATTTTAACGAGTCATTAAAACCACTTCTGGTCATTTAAATCTAACGATTGTTTATGCAACCCAGCATTAAAATAATATTGTTTATGAATAAATTACTAATTTATGTTTCTGGTAATAGATTTCAAAATATTATAAAAATTATTATATTAATAGAGCGCAGAAATGCGCAGATTTCGAATTTTTTCCGTAATAAAATGGTGATCCATCGATACTTGCCTGACCTTATATTTAAGACCGTGGATAAGACCATGAACATATTCCAGACAGTAAAAAATCGTTTTATATCAGTACCTACCTACTTAAAATAAAGGACACCTTACCTTATAAATTGAAAATTAATTTTTAGCAATTGTTACTGCTAACTGCAGCTACTATGAATTAGGCATACTTAATCAATGTTGCTACTGTGACTGGCGACTATTATCAATTTGAGAAAATGTTAAAATATAATATATCATATTATTATGTCCACATTAAATCATTAAAACCAATTTTACAATAGCCAACTCTAATAAGGTATCTGAATCGTTTATTACAGGTAGGCAGGTACAGATAATTGATAAGAACCTTTTATTATATTAGTGATTTAAATTTTTTTTTTTTACCATCTGGTCTTGTATATAATATCATAAAGTTCAATGCAAAATCTACAGTCTTAAATTATCGAAAATGATGTTATCATTGTTATGTTATGACCACGACTATAGATAATCATTGATGTTATTGTTATGCAATTCTGTAATCTGGGTCTGTTTTTGTTAATTCTATCATTATTTCTGTCTTCCGTGTTTAATGTTTATTATTATTCTACCTATGTTTAAAACACTTTTTTTAAATTTAATTATAAATTTATAGTACTTTGATCTAAGTCATAAAAATGTCTTGTTATGTGCAACATTGTCGCGAATGTAATATTGTTATTTCTAAAGCTGAAACAGATACAGATCGTGTAACTTATTATATAATTAAAGTGAACGTTGGTGATATTACATGGAGTGTTCGAAAACGATACAAAGAATTTTTGGAACTTCACAAAAAATTAGTAAACGAACATACCGTAACCAAAGATATATTGCCTGGAAAGAAAATTATTGGCAATAAGGAACCAAGCTTCATTGAAAGACGTAGGGTAGGCTTGGAAATATATTTACAAACCATTTTATCATTTTTGCAAAAATCAATGCCTGAAGAGCTATTTGATTTTTTAGAGTTCAACAAATATGATGTAATATTAATTGTTAAAAAATTGGCTGCAGAATTTTTACAAAATGGTGATTCTTATCTTTTAAATGATAATGGTTTCAATTTCAATGTTTTACTACTATATGCAATCAGTGAAAGATTAAAATTACCCTGTCCAGATAATGAAAATAATGAATTCAATTTCAGTCATGTACTAGATTTTTGTTCGAGACTTAAATATTTAATTATTAAAGGAGGAAATCATTATGTTGGTACAAGCAACATAATTTATAATAATTTAAGTTTTGAGCTGTCATCCTTTAAGAATGTGAATAAACTTGAATGTTATAACATTGCCCCTAATATGATATATAATTTAAATACCTTGCGGGATACAGTACGTGTAATAACTATTTATAATTCAAAATTAAAATGTCCTGAAGATATCTTATTGAGTGATTATGTTCATAAACAATGGTCTTGTGATATGGATTCTAGTATGGTTTGGAATAAAATAAAAGTTGTTGATTTTAGTTGGAATGAAATACGAACATTGAAAAGTCTCACTGTTTTAACACCTAATGTGAAAACAATAAATCTGAATGGAAATTTGTTGAATACCATTGAAGACATGACACCACTTACTCATCTCAGTCACCTCTCATTGTCAAATAATAATATTACTGATGTTTTAGATCTTCATACAAAACTAGGAAATCTTATTTGTTTAAATTTGTCAACAAATAAAATTTCAGACTTAAGAGCTTTTTCAAAACTATTTTCATTAGAAATGTTAGATTTGGGCTCAAATTATGTTATAGACATAGAACAAATAAAATATTTAACTGGCTTACAAAATATGAATTATTTAGTTTTGTCAGGAAATCCTGTATCTACTGTAGTTGATTACAGAATCAAGGTTTTAGGAATACTGAATAAGAAAACATCCGACTTTTGTCTTGATAATGAAAGACCTACTCAAAAAGAATTGGATACTGTGGCGGTAATGCATGCATTAAATATGGCTAAAGAAGGGAAAACATTATTTGATCTGTGATTTAAACAATAGTAGCCCATAATATTGTTAATCAATTATATATATACCTATTTGTGTTTGTTATTTAAAGGAAACATTATTATTTTATTATTATTACTATTGTTATTTTATAAACCTATATTTCTAATTTATTTTGTTATTATTTGATATTTATTAAAGTAAATATATAAATTTTAAATAATATTATTCCTTTGTAAAATACAATTTATACATTTCTTTACTCAATTTTATTTTTATTTTGTAATAAGTTTATGAGTTATCAGTATTATTGAAATTAATTTCATTAAGATGTGAAAAACTTATTTAAAGATAATTTTAGAATATATTATCATTGTATGCACCAATATGAAATGGATTAAATAAAACTTTTAAACACATTCCTGCACAATGAATGGACAAAAATAAAATGTGCCAACAAATTTAAATTTGTTGTGTTTGTAGAAACATGCAGTATAATTAGTTTTAAAGGTAATCAGAGATAGAGAAGTAAATTATATGGGTGACTATGATCTTAAAAGACTGCTATAGTATTGTTAATATTTGGAGTGTAGAGTAGTGGTGTATTATTTGTATGATGGTACGACACACATCATTTTAGTTTTGTTTCACTTGGTGAATGCGGTAAAACTCCATTAATGTCCATTTATTCCACATTTATGTTACATGGAATAAAAATCTATTGGAATAAAAGGTAAAATGTTAACAATTCTGTGAAGCAAAATAATTTTATTAAAAACTTTCATAACATCAGTGATTAATGTATTTGCTGATGTTTTTCATCTTCTAAAACTAATAAGAAATCATTTTTCAGATCATGGGTTTAAATTAAAATGTAAAATAATAGATTTTTTACATATCAGGTTACTTAAATTATTTATGCAATTTCATATCTACCTAACTTTCCTTATTTTTCAGACAAATACTTTTCAGTAAAAAATAATAAATCAATTATAAAAAACAATAAAAAATAATAATTAAATTATATACAATTTTTGGAAATGCCCAACGCCCGTGATTTTCAAATAAGATAATCTAATTATGTGAGTCCGAATTTGAATTGCTCTTTTTTTATTGTCAGTTTATTGTTCTAACTAGAGCAATAGGTATTGCATTATACTTTCGGGCCCGGTTTTCCAATTCCCTTAAATTTAGATTTGGAAAAAATATTGTTCTTAAAGTGTTAGAATGCATTGAAAATGAAATATCTTTACAAACTGATAGGTGAGTTTAAATACATGTTTGACACATAAATAAATAATATTTTTTATGTAACAAAATACATTATTTATACATATATATATATATATATATATATTTAAGGAATAATGCCATGACAACAATAATCAAACTATTGTTGACTCTGTGATTCTATGCTACTGTAATTTCTTGATAACAGCTGGTTGTCAGTGTAGTTAGCTAAATGTTCGACCAAGGTTCATTCATATGCCAGAGACTGAAACTGAAATAAATAATTTACAATACCGTTTATATCAATTAGCACAACTCCCAAGAACAATAGGTTTAATTGATTGCACTTACATCAAAATTCAAAACCCTTGCAAGAGTTAATAGATGCTCTCAATTGTGAATACTTTAGAAACCGTAAAGGACATTTTTTTTTAAAAGTTCAAACAATTTCATGTCCAGATTTGAAAATAATGGATGTCGTTGCATGTTGGCCTGTCATGTCAGAAACAGACTATTTTTAAGAAGTCATGTATTTACAATAAATTGGTCAGTGGTTATTGGAAAAATAGTTTAATTGTAGCTGATAATGAAGACAAAAACGTTTATTTGTTAATCTACGCTAATTCAGAATATGTTGTCACTCCATACTTAAATCCCTAAAATGGCCCTGAAGTGTTATTTAACGAATCTTTAACCAAAATTAGGAATCTAGTTGAGAGATCATACGGGGTTCTAAAACGAAGATTTCCCGTCCTATCTTCTGGATCACGTTTAAAAATTGATATCACTCAAGCTATGATCGTTGCTTGTTGTGTTTTACATAATGTAGCATGCAATCATAATGATTTAGAACCACCTAAATTATTAGGTATACGTATGCCAGGTAATGATGACTTAAATTTAAGAAAAAAACATGAACCAGAAGAGGGAAATGCAAGACTACAATTAACTGAAGAATATTTTTCACTTTACTTTAACCACATTGTTTCAGCTAACAATAATGATTTTGATCAATACTCATAGGCACAAATAGAATGCCAATATTAATATGATGAAGATTATTACTTGTAAAAATGTATGCAAATATTGATGTATATTTTTTATAATGAATAAAGTTTGTGACTAATTTTAATTTTTTGTACATATTATATACAAAATGTTGAATGATTATAATGAACCAATAGTCGTTCATTCCGTTATCAGTCAAAAATGGAATCAAAATATCCGTTATCACGGCCCGTTGCGCTCTCCATTGATGGGTATGGCTGCTATAGCATCTTTGAAAAAGAACGATCTAATGATTGTTTTTAAGTAAAAATTGATTGGGAAAAGGGGGTTGAGATTTACCCAGTTAACTTTTCTCGGGCACGACCCAAACTTAAAGTCTGCACATGTCTATGTACATAAGGAAATTTAATGTATATCTGTAAGCAACGATAAGCCATTGCTAACAGAAAAACGATTCTGAACCGAGTTCAGTTGATAGTATTGCTTTGTCAACAATATATATATACATATATATCATATTATGGTAAAATAATTGCACATGCATTGTATATTTTCTTTAATAATATTTGTTTAATATTGTACCGATTTCTCTATTTATTGAGAAAACTCCTGGGAAATTCAGAAAATGACCTCCCTAAAGTATCTTCCCATTCAGATTTCCTTTCAAAAACTATTATTATAAATCGGATAAAAATTTCTGGTAGAAAACTTGTTCACAGAAGGAATAAATAAAACATAAGTAAACATTTATGTAAAATCATAATCTTCTTCGCTCCACTCAGAATGATAAAAATAAAATATTGGTGATTATGGCTTATGTGTAACCTTAAGAGGACGTTATATCCGCACTATTATCTCAGTCCAACTACCGGGTAACATACATAAACAATGCTTACGCAGAATGATGAAAATTAGCTTAGTTTTGATTTTAGAGTCAAAGTATCGATTATGAAATTTATAGAGAACAATATTTTGGAAGGAATACCATCAGTGTTTTTAAAATTATGAACTATTAAAAAAGTTACAGTTATTTAAAAAGCAAAAAAATAAAGGTTTTCGTAGCTTTTATACTGAGTTGTATATTTTAAATAATACGAAAACTCCACGTCAATCCCTCCAAAATATTGTTCTCTATAAATTTCATAATCGATACTTTTACTTTAAAATCAAAATTAAGCTAGTTTTACTTATTCTGCGTGAGTATTGTTTATGCGTGTTACCCGACAGTTAGACTGAGACAGTAGATGCGGGTATAAGGTCCACTTAAATTATAGTATTAAGTTTAACCAGTATTGCTTTAACTAAATAACCAAAAAGTGTTTTTAAACTTTATCCATCTGCTGAGAAATCCTCTGGATTATCAGATTCATTTAGAAACACACAGATTATGTCATATCAAAATAAACAATTACGTCTGTATTTTCGAGTGTAAAAATTGATTTTAAGTACTTCGTACCTCCAGTCATTTTTGGAATGATACATATCCACCTAGTGGATTTTGAATTTGTATAGATACATACAAGAAATAATAGGTAATCAAATAAAATATAAAATAATAAAATAAAATATATATTTTAACCAACATGTATTTGTGTTTTCGGGCGTTTTGTCTTGATTTGAAAAATGTGCCCAGACTTTTTGTAAAAAAATTTTCAAAATGTTTGACCAATACCGTTTACTGGGTCATATAAATGGAAAGATTCGTGGTGACTAGTGAATGGTGACTGATTTTTTTTTTATTATTATCAATAATTTTGTACAATTGTGTACATTTTCCTTATCAATTTATCATATTACGCATGCGCTAACCGGTTCATAATTTTATTATACGTGGATTACGATTTACGACCATCAAAGTACCTATTTTTTTAAAAAAAAAAATAATAATAATAATCAATTTTGTTCTTATATATTGGTAAATGAAATATTAAAATGTATTTACTCCGTACTGTGTAGTATAATATGAAGTCTATAATTCTACCTAGGTAATGGTAATGTAAACAAAACTTATTAAGATTTAGATTAATAATATTGACTTTTGATGTGTCCTGTTTGAATTAGTTTAAAACAACTGAAACAAGCAATCAGTATATAAGTTAAAACTTATGAATTTAAAATTTTCTATTGACATTTTATAATTATATTATTTTTATCATTAGATTTTAATTTTATTTGTGTTATTTTATAATTGTTTTTCAATTTCAGTAGACATGACCACTAATTCTAATGTGATGAGTAAAACAAAACAAAGAAAAAACATGGGTTTAGAAGATAAACTAGACAATTTTAGTCCAAAAAGAAATAAACACGGGTTGCATGTATCTAAAATTTTACCTAGTGTAATCGGTGATAGATTGAACATAGCTATTTTATTATTTTTATATACACTACAAGGCGTACCTCTTGGACTATCTGCAGCTATACCAATAATAATGCAGAAAAAGCATATCACATATAAAGAACAGGTTGAAAAATTTATTTAATTATCAATAATTAATTACAATAAATAATTTTATTATAATTTGTAGGCCCAATTTAGTTTTTCTACATGGCCATTTAGTTTAAAATTGTTATGGGCACCTATCGTTGATTCCATATTTTGGTCAAAATTTGGTAGAAGAAAAACTTGGCTGGTTCCTGTACAATACTTAATTGGTCAGTAAAAATATATTAGTATTTTATTTTTAATACTATTTAGTAACCATATGGATGATAGTGTTTAATCTACACTTGTCTATGTTTGGAACATCAATATTATTTACTTTTAAAAGTGATTAAGTAAAATTTGTATTCAAAACATAAAAAATTAAATAAATTATTAAATGTTGGTTTTGATGTGATAAAAATGTTGCCTCAAATTAATTATTGTTTACAGTGGTAGAGCAGGAATATTACAGATTGAAGACACTTTCATACAATTAACAGATATTTCAGTCAAATTTAACTTTCTGGAAATAAATAAAATAATAACAATTATCGTATAATAAACATAGCGTTTTAATCGGCTGTCCTCGGAGTGCGGATTCACTCTCTCTGCCGCACTTGGGCTTTATCTTCACTATCGGTCTATCTTGCTCTCTCTAGATCCGCATCTCCCAGTACTTGGGACCAATGTTCCGTTTAGATGTACGGGTCTACACAACCCTGTCGCACGTTAACATTGTGCACTGTGCACACATGGTAATTTCATTATTGTATTTTTTTTTTTTTTCGACATAAAATAACTCGTGGGGCGGTGGTGGTCTTGCTGCCTCTCTGTATACTCGGTGCCCATTGTTAAGCCCCTCTCTTATATTTCCTTATTAACTCAAGTTGGGATAAATTGTCTATAAATAATACTACTATAGCCACTGTAAAATCATAATTTAAGGTAGAATGAAACCCAATGTCACTCCTACAGTGCCATTGATTAATGAGCCCCTTTATAATTAAGTTCAAATATGATAGATATGTAATGAATTTTTAAAAAATAGACAAATATGTAATAGTAGTTATCTTTCTTAGAATAATTATTTTATTCATTCTTATGACTGTTTAAAAAAAAAAAATTGTTCCAGGTTTTTTTCTATTGTTTTTGGGAATGAACATCAATAATTGGCTAGTATTAACAGAAGATCCAAACTTAACATTTTTGACTTTATTGTTTTTTTGTTTAAACTTCTTAGCAGCTACACAAGATATTGCTGTTGATGGCTGGGCATTAACTATGTTAAGAAAGTTAGTATTTATTTGTATAATTTGAATGTATATTTTTTAATAAGTAATTAATTTTACAGAGAAAATGTAGGGTATGCTTCAACATGTAACAGTGTAGGTCAGACAATAGGTATTTTTCTTGGCTATGTAGTTTTTATAACATTAGAATCTGCTACTTTTTGTAATAAATGGCTACGATTTACAGAAAGTACAGAGGGTATACTTACATTACAAGGTAATCTTTAAAATATATAATATATGACTTAATTCTTATAAATATTTACTTTTTTTTATAATAATTTTTAATGTTTATTTTAAAGGTTTTTTATACTTCTGGGGTTATATATTTTTGATTTCTACTACATTGGTGGCTATATTTAAACACGAAAAAGATCAATCAGCTCAACCAGATAATCTTGATTTAAATTTATATCAAACATATAAACTTCTTGGTGATATCATGAAATTGCCGTGTGTTAAAAGCTTGTCAATAATTTTACTTACTGCTAAGGTATATTTAAAACATAATGATATTTATATTTTTAATATTATTAGATTGGAGATAATAACTATAATAATTTGTATTAACTAGAGTATTGGATAATTTTTCACATCTTATTATACTTAAAATTTACTGATTATACATTGTAGTATTATAAATTTGAATTATATCTATCTTCAACCATTTAAGGTCCATCAATGCTCCACACAGCCAACTCTATTCTTTACTATTGCCACTTTACATTTTTGACCGAGTATTTGAAATTCATTTTTACATCTTTCCAGTGGTCTTTTATGTTCAAGTTTTCATTCTAGCGCAACTTTTATTATGCTATTTAAGATATTAACCTATATGTGCTGTACGTAGATATATAATGTGTGCTCTAACTAGCTCATTCTAGGTTACAATTTATTCAGTGTAGATCAAAGTAAAATGTTTATTATAAAATGTAATTGAACATTAGTATAGCATATAACATTATGTCTATATTTTAAGAAGAATTTAGAAGTTAAATTTAAAGTTAAAATTTAATTAAACTGTAATACCTATTGTGTTTTAGATAGGATTCAGTGCAGTTGATGTCGTTTCTAGTTTAAAAATTATTGATATGGGTGTACCTAAAGATGATATTGCTATGATTGGAATATTATTGATACCATTACAAATAATCTTACCAATATTAATTGCTAAACATACTTCTGGACCTAAACCAATGACTGTATATTTAAAATCGATACCATACAGGTAAATAATGTTAACACACAATTATTTGTTTCTGAATACCTATTCAACTCTGATTAAATGAGTAATATTTTTTTATTTTTTTTTTTTTCTGAATAAGTCAAAATTTTTCTGACATACAATTTTAAATATAATGGTACCTGTTTTTGATGATAACAATTATTACCAGTATTTATATATTTTTGTTTTTCATTTATGAACATCATTCTGTTATATTAATAGTACTGTGGTACTATAGTTATCTTGATGTATTTATCAACCAAACACATATAACTATCCTTGTTGTCAAAGGTAAAAGGGTAAAAAAGCTATAGGACAAAAAATAAGTAAAACAAGTTATACTTATAATTTTTATTTTATTCAATATTTTTGTGCTAAAACAATTTAAAACAATGTATTGCTATTAATTTTACAATTTTTTATTATTACGAAAATAAATTACAGTAAAAGGTAAGAATTTAAATAGGCGTATATTATATAAGCAATAGCTATCATAAGATCATATATAGTTTGTTCATTTACATTGCTACATATTTTAAATAATTTTGCATGGATATTTTTATGTTAGTATTATGTTTTTAGTGATACTATGTATAGTATTAAGTTATTTTTGTTTCATCCAAAGACAACAAGTCATCATTTTTTTTATTAATGGCAAAACAGATGATTGTGGCAAATTTTTTTTGAAAAATGGTGGTTCTATCCTTCTGTTAAGTTGGTGATTCAATGTCCATTATTAAGGGTGGTTTTTGGATATTTCATTTTAATGGTGCATACAGTGATAGAATATTTCGGAGTCTGATACCGTTATTTGGTCTATATCTTATACACTTGTAAGTCTCATGGACATAAGTGGTATCAAAATAGTTTATTAAATCTGTTGCATCCAGTAACATAATTGTTCTTAAAAAGTCCATTCCCTAAAATACTTTATTTTCTGGTAGAAATGCTAAAATATCAAGTTTTCTACAAAATATACTGAAATAATTATTATTCCCATTTATATTTGATATAGGTGTGTACAATAGGCATATAATACCTGTATACTAATTTGTTTGTTTTTATTAATTATTATAATTGTTTGTATATGATGGTAATACCTACTTATAATAATTGATACTATTTAATTGATAGATATCTAAATTAATAGTTTAATTAGATTTAGTTAATATTGTAATAGTGATATCTTATATTCTACCTTTATCTTTTTAAATAATTTTTTTTTTTTTTTTGGTTCTTACCTTGCAATAACTATTTGGCGTTATTCAATAAAATAAATAATTAAATAAATAATAATAATGTAAAATAAATAGCAATGCATTGTATTTAAATTGTTTCCACAAAAATATTGTATAAAAAAGTTACAAATTAGACGCAACCTGCATAATAAGCTATGTAAGCGTTTGTTATTTTAGTTTTTTTGTCATAAGAAAAAACTTGTCAATTTTTAGAGTAATATTTGGTATAATTAATTTACTTTTTTAATTAACATTTAATAAATAAAATATAATAACTATTATAAAAAACATTTTTTAATTTAGATTAGCAATTGGTATTCTTATTGCTTTCATTGTTTACTTTACACCATATTTTATTGACCAAGATGGAAAAGTTTCAATGTTCTATTATGTAATAGTTATGAGTATTTTTTTACTGCATCAGGTACAGAAAGTATAATTAAAAAGTAATTAAATTAGTCATATTAAAAACAACATAAATCCTGTATTTTTTTTATAACCATATTGGCTTTAATATTCTTAGAATCCCTTACAGCCTTAATGTACACCATTATGTATTAGAATTAATTAATATTAGTGTTTCTTAACCTTGTTTAGGTTACTGCCCCCTTGAGTAACAATCAATTTTTTAACACCCCCCCCCCTATGTGAGAATTCTATAATTAAGGGTATTGCAATCAATTTTGATACATTGTAAGAAGCAATCAAACCATCATCAAATTGTTTTGATTAGCCTGCGAATAAGCCTGAGACCGATTGTGCATTCAGAAACTTGTCCCAAATATTTGTGAAAAAGGACAAATCTTTATTGTATTTGTCAGGATGAACTTTTTGGAAATGCTCCTGCAAACGAGATGGTTCCATTGCCTCATTAGAAAACACTTTTTTACAAAGTAAACATTTTCTTTTGGTATCCGGCATTGTTGAAAAATTAATATTTTACGAAACAGCAAAAGAATTTAAAAACGCACTTTTTTAACCGACTGAATATTTTAATAACGCAAACCAAAACAACATGCTCGGGTCAAATCAATCAGTGTACTAAAACAATGGTCAATAAGAAAGGATCCGCCGTTTATTACTCTCAATAAAAGTAGATAACATACTAAACGCAATATTATATATTATTATTTTATCTACAGATAAAATTGAATAATCGTTATTGACCGTTAAAAGCTGTATGCTCAAAATATTTTTACCTATAATAATATGGATATTAAGTATGTATTATTTTTAGGTCACACCATATACAACATTTTTGCGTGAACACCTAAACCCTACCTCCTAAAACTAGTTCATCACCCCCCCGACCGCCTAAAACTAATTCACCGCCCCTCAGTAACCTTTCACCGTCCACTGGGGGGCGATATTGCTCCCGTTGAGAACCACCGATTTATATGATTTACTTTAACATAAAATAATATATAAAGTTAGTGCATCAGATATTATAGAAATTATAAATTTTACTTTGAATTATATTGTTTTATAAATGACCAATTTAATTATTTTTATTATTTTATTAACATAAAACTATATTGTAAACAATTAAATTAACAATATGTTTGGTATATTTTTATCCTTACAGTTGACAGTGTATTCAATGTTTGTAGCTGTCATGGGATTTTTTGCACGTATCAGTGATCCATTATTTGGTGGCACTAATATGACTTTGTTAAATACTTTAACCAACTTAGGAACAGCTTGGGCTAATACTGCTGCTTTGTGGATGACTGATTTTTTGACATATCAACAATGTTCAAACAATCTAAGTAATACGTGTTCAACTGAAACAGAAATTAATGTAAGTAAAATATTTTTTTTTACCATTAGTTTGTTAGGAAACAATAAATAAACAACTTTTAAACTTGTTATTAACAATATTATTATTTTAATTTACATAGTATAAGACATATACGAGGGACATCTGGAAAGTAATGTCTGTTTGCTTTTTTAGGTCAGAGAGAATAAACAGTGTCACAACTGTGTAGTGTTAAAACTGATCAGACAATGACATTTAAAAATTAAGATCACCACAACAGCTGCTGCTATCTCAATAATAAACTTTCAAAATTTAACAAAGCTTTAAAGTTTAAAACAGATCTTCATTAAAAAAAATCATGAAAACCACATTTTTGGATCATAAGAAAATCTTTTTTTATTCATTTATTGGTATCAATCTTATCAGTCCCATCCAGGCGATTTGAGTAGTTTGAGTTAAATGTTTTAAATATCTTTTATCAACATTTTTATCTTTTTTTTTTCCGTATCGCTTTCCTGATTTTTTTTATATTTAGAGTTTTGCATTAATATGGTGCGTTAATTATGTTTCTCTCTGGTTGTAAATAAATAAAAAGATTCCCTTCTAATCCCAAAATATGAACACCATAATTTTTTTTGTAAAGGCCACTGTTTTAAGTTTTGAAAGTTTGTTTTTGTGTTGTTTTTAAATGCCACTACTCGTCAGCTTTGATGCTACTGAGTTGTAGTACTTGTCTATTCTCTTTGTAAGATCTCGCTCATTAATGCAGTGCTTCCAAATTTATCACTACTATTTTCAACTGACCTAAAATTGCGAACGGACATTACTTTCCTAATAATTAATAACCCTTGTATATAGTGCGTAGTAAAAACAATTGTATTATCATTATATAACAGTATATGTTTTATTTCTGATATCAATATACCTTTTCTTAATTTACTGATACAACGATAGATAAAATATTGATTAATATTTTCAGAGTATGTTAGAACACATGTAGTGTCACATAGTTTTTCTAGTTTTTGTATTTATTATGTGTAATTTTTAGGCTTGTCAAATATCAGATGGGAAGTGTGAAATTACAGTTGATGGATTTTATTTGGAAACTTCCTTGTGTACAGTTTTTGGAATATTATGGTATAAATATTATTCAAAAATTATACTTAACTTACAATCTAAAGACTTGAGGCATTGGCATGTGGATGCAAAAAAACAATCCAAGTTATAAATTTAAATTAAATTGTTGACTATTATTTGTTATAACACAATTTTACTAAAAGAAAATCATAAGATATATTTCTATTACTGATTGTTTACAAAAATGTGTATTTTTATTTTATGTACATGTGATGACAGTCTTTATGGTGATAAAATATTACTATTTCATTCCTTTCATTAAATTAGTTTTAATACAGTAGAAACAATTTATAACAACATAGAAAGGTCAAATTTATAATGCTTATAATTTTTAAAATACCATTTTTTTTTTTTTACATTCAACTAATAATAAACAAATCATGAATGTTTGTTTTTTGTGCAATAAATGTTGTTTTAAACTGTCCCTACTGTAAATAATCAATTTCAATAAAGAATTATTACTTATTATTATTATTGTTTAACATTTAACATTATTTAGCATTTGCGGTATTTTTTGACCACATTTTTTCAATACAGACGCCCAACTGCTTAAGTTCGGCGTGCTTTAATTACATTCGTACAGACATACATTATATTAATATGCACCACGAATGTGAAGGCATGAAGATCTTATTGCATACATAGCTGTTGATTATTATAACCTATAGGTTATTTAGCTATGATTACATATAGTAGGCTATTATCGTGTCCCTATTTGGTGGCGATATCTAGCGGTCAAGTACCATAGTATTATGTTTTATCTTTGTATAAATAATAAATTATTAAAATTTAAATACAAATAACTACTAGGACGCGCCACCAGAATAAGACCAGGAGCTGGTTTATGTAAATCGGTTGGTGAGATTGTCTGATCGGCCTTCGTAATAGAATCCCTCTCTTCTTTCTCATTATCTTGCTTTTTCTTTACCATGGTCTAATCCATGACAACATATTTAAGCATGATTTAAGATTAAACCATGTTTTTTACACATGCTTATCAGCTATCATAACAGTATTTTTTATCTTCACCGCGCCGGCGTAAAATCTAAAACATTGCAACGAATTACGAAAAAAAAAAAACATACCAAAGTAATATAGTTTGGTCCTTTTTTTATTTACTGACGTAATAATTTAAGATACTCCGATACATGATGATTGGATTGTGGACCTCGTTAAGAGGGGGGTCGAAATACCAGTTTATTTTTTTGAATATTAGTCTAATCATTTTTATAGATGGCACTTATTTCATTAAAACTTTTTACGTTCCTTAACTAATTTGTTTTAATATGAACATTATAAATGGGTACATTGTTCAATGGATATTTATCAACATGTCATCGAGTAACGGATTTTCATATTTTACCAAATTGAAATTCAATACGACGTATGAGTGAGTCCATTATTTTAGTATAATATGTAAACCATTTACTTATTTATCATTAATATTTAAATTAACGTTTTATATTCATTAAGCTATGGTATTTTTTCTTGAATATTTTATAAAATAATTAGTTAAACTTAAACATTAAAAATCGTATGATAAGGTTTTAAATTCCTACATTACCTGTACAAGAATTTATTTAATTAAATATCTTACGAATATTTTGTTTAAGCATACCAAGTATTTAGATATCGAAATATTATCCGATCTATGAATATTATAGCTTACAGAAATTCAAAAAATTGTTCCTAACAATAATTTAGGATCTTTATATTATTTATACTAAACAAATCTATACATTTGATAGGAAGGTAAATTATATATTAGGTATTCGAAATAATAAAATTGTCATTTTGTATCTTATAATACATATTTTTTGAACCACATTTAATTTAAACAGTTTCAAGACAATTAATATTGTTAGTTTTAAAATTTGAACTATCCCACTAGTCAAAAGTATAATTGGTATTAATTTAAGTTATTATTACGGAACGGATTTATATGTACATAAAATTGACAAAAAAGCGCTTAAAAACTTCATAAGATCCATCAAATATGTATGTTTAAAAGAGCAATATAAAGATAGAGATAGAGGGGTTTAAGTTTCCCCAATATTTTTTAAACTTTTTTAAAAGAATTTTTTAACACTAAAAGAACGAATATTACAAAGTAATTTTTTTTAAATCTATTTGCACGTGTTATAAAAATAAAAAAAAATAAATGTTTTTTGTTAATCATTTGGCAGTGTTAGACATTTTTATTTTTTAGGGTTAGAATCGTTAGAGTGGGGACTTTAAAACCCCTTTTACTAATTTTGCTTTTTTTAATATTTTTAAGTGGTTTTTTTTTTTACAATTTAAGAGCTTTTTTGCATGGATTTTAAGTATAATATATTAATCTGTTAGATATTATTATTTAAACTGTATGAATTATGAAGAGACCAGGACTGAGGTAATATAAACGGATCTGGATCAATCGACCAAAAACTATTCGACCGACAACTAATATACTGATAGCACAATATTAACCAACAATAATTTATAATGCCTAATGCTATGCAATTTATATTTTTATATTAAATGTAAATAATTCAGTAAAACAAAAAATCCAATTTTCACGAAAATTGTAATTATTATTATCTTTTAAACATGTATAACCGAACTTCGTTCAGAATCGTTTTTATTAGCAAAGATTAATCGTTGTGTAATCGATTTTTAAAATAAAAATGTAAATTGTATGGCATTATAAATTATTGTCGGTCAATTTTCCTATCGGTATTTTAGTTGTCGGTCAATTGTCCCTACCGGACCTCCCTAGTTCCTTTCTATATAGTATCTATAAACTATCACTAGATGTCGCAGTATTATAATATTGAATTACTATATTTATCACATTGTTTACATTAAAGTCTCGATTAGACTTCAACTAGCTCACTGTCTACTATAAGACTTGCCGCAGTGCCGCAATCGGCGACTTTATTGTCTCAACTTTTGTTTCTTCGTCCTGTCGTTGGCTAGAGCAGCTGAAAAGTCACGTCGTTCGATATGCCCGCCTATGATTTTATACAGATTTCATAGAAAAGAAACATCGTTGTGCGACAAAAAGTCGCCCATGTGCGGCCAGCCTAAATACTATGAATACCTGTGAATACGTTGTACCTACTATGGATTTATTTTGCATCTATTTAAATATCTTGGTTTTGGTTTAATTTTCAGAATATACGCTTTAAACATTAATTTTTTATAATAGTTATATGTGACAATAATGACGTCAAATATAATAAATGCGTATGGCGTGATACAATTTTAAGACACTGACTATTATGTCAATTAATTAAAATTAAACAATTATTTAATTATCTGATATTGCATTATTACATAATATCTGACGTCAGTATAATTTATGGACACACAAACTTATATTTTCTTTTAATACAGTTAGTACAGTCATTTAAAACTCTGTTCTTTATGATAATGTGGATTTCGATTTAATTTTATTTTGGTAGGTACTATTTTGTTTAAAATCAATAACGGTCATAGTTTTAAAAATATATCAGATAGAAAAATAATAATTGTATTGACCCCTAATACAGAATAGAAATCGAATGTGTTTGTGTTTAAGTAATAAATACATGAATACATTAAATATAAAAGTATTAAATGAAAATATGTTTACAAATTGTGAAATTGTTAGTAAGTATAGTTCTTACACTATGTTGCAGAAGAGTTAAGGTAAGTTAAAAAAAATTAAAACCATTCCCATTATTACATACTAAGATATCAATGATTTACAAGGTAAAACTTAAAGAATAACTATACTTTGTGGTTTGTTTTAAATCAATTTTTAAATTTTGTTATAATTTATTTTTATATCTAGTTAAATATTGCTTTGTTGTTTATAGATGGTTACTATAATATTTTTAATATTCATGTAGTCATTAATTATTTTTGAATGGTCAATAGAAGTTATTCAATGGTTAGTGGAATATTTAAAATTTGTTTGAATATTAAGAATACTACTTTAATTCTCTACATCTCAAATTATGACAAATTAGTTCAAGTTAGAATGGTTGTTTCAATTAGTAAATAATGGAAACAATAAGTAAATTTCAAATTTCTAACTCATATTCAATATTTAACTCCAAAATTTTATGGCTATGAGTGTAGTTATTAATTTAAAGAATCAATAGCACAGACAAATATACTAAATAATAGACAAAGATTCTGATGTCTTGCCATGTCTATTTTGGTGCATACTACAAATAAAGGTTGTATTAAGCATTTAAATTTGGATCTAAATTTCAATGTATAATGTTTCATACGTGTTTATTAATTAAGGACGAAAACATTACTTTAGAACTAATAGATTAGGTAAAAATAATTAATTTATTTTATGTGATGAGTGTTTGATTTTCATTATAAATATTTATGTTGACATATAGATTTTAGATTCTGAGCAAAAATCATCCTAACCTAACCTAACCTAAAGTTCAGGGGTATTTTTTCTGGTAGTAAATTGTGGCCAATTAGTGCATTATGATTTCATTGTTTGATTTTTCATTTAGTTTTATTATGAATGGAGGAAAAACGGAAAAATTTAGACAGTAATTATTTTCGAGATTTTCGTTTTTTTTTTTTTGTCTTAATTCAAATAAAAATAATTGTTATGATCTGAATTTTTCATTAATTGCAATAGCCCTTCCGAGACAGTAGAATACATTTTGAAAATATTCTAGTGATTTTTTAACTATTTTTATAATCATTTTATGTGAATAAAATTGTTTGGGTATAGACAAATGTTTCAAAATTGAATACAAGGTTCATTTGTTATATAATATATTTGATTCTGTAGCAAAAAAATAAACCTAATTTATTAATTTTTGGTTTAAAGTACAACATTTAAATAAAAATTGTAAAAACCAAGACCTTTTAAAATATATTTAACAGAACATCGTTCAGAATCAGTTTTCATTAGCAATGATTTATTGTTGTGAACAGATATAAATTGAAATGCTCTACATATCCTGCCTTCTCAATTTGAGCGCACCTATAAGCAGTATCCTATACAAGGAGTGTAATAACAATATATTTCCAATTATATGTACTTACTTAATACAAATATCTAACTTTTTAGAATAATTAGACACATCATATGATTGAAAAATATTTCTCTATTTAAATAGTTTTTCATCTTTTGCTGAATTATATAATCTAATCTTATGATGCTTATGGACTTTCCACTAATATGTATGTACTTTTACAATATTAATTGTGTATATTTTTTTTTCTTTGTGATGGCTGGTTCTATAACAAATTTATTCAATATTATTGTTCACAAATTACACAATTAAGTAATGTACCCTTTTAATGTAATTTTTCACCCGAAACTGGATAAAAAAAAAAAAATTAAAAATTATATATCTACCTTCAACATTAAATTTGTAATCTTACATAAGTACTGTTAGAGTTTTGATAATTTGTTACATATGAGACCATAGATAATAAATAAATTCTTTTATTATCTATAGTCATAGTAATGCTAGATTTACAAAAAATTAAATACAAATTAAATTTATTTTCACATTTATTAATTTTGTAGGCACTAAATGTAAATTGATTTATAATTTCTGTTAGAAATTATATCAATATTATTGAGATTCATTTACATTAAATCATTAGTTTTTAGCAAAATCTATTAATATAAGATTAATTTTTTAAGCAAAATTTCAATGTACAGTTTTGGTATTTACATTTTAAACAAACATTATACGATAAATAGAGCTGGCAAATATCATAATTATATGAAAATGTATAAACGTGATTTGTCAATCTTGTAATATGTATCTATTTAATAATCATGAATGTTTATTTATAAATGATTTATCTTAAATAGTTGTGAAACATTTATCACATTTTAGGCCTAGATAATTAATAACATTTTTGAGTAAATATGTCTACATAATTGTAAAATATAAACAATTTGTACTATAATTTAATATTCATATAAACTAAAGAACTACTGAAAACTAAACTCTACTTAAAATCGTTTTTCGAGTATCAAGTTTATTTTACTAAAAATATTTACCGTTTATAATTATTTTTCTGATTTTCCAAATCTTTTAAATGCTTATGAGTTATGATTATGAATGATGATTCATTTGTTCAAAATTTGATATCCAAGTTATTCAGGGTGATTTCATTTTCTTAAACAAACCATTTGTTAATTTGTATATTTATGTTATTTTTCAATAATTAGAACACATGCATTTTTCTAAAATAACAAAATAATATTTAGGTACTATTTTTAACAATGATTTTTTAAGAATTTTTACATTATGATTTTAATTGCATTTGTCGATGCAGAATAATTGTCCAATATTCTTGCTGTATAAATATCAAACAGTATGTAACAGACAGCAACTAATAATTTATTAATTGTTAGTATTTTAAGTTAAGATGATAAGCGGTTTAGAATTGCAATAAACTAATGTTTTGTTTTTTTTTAGTTACCTCTGCACTTCTTTGTTCTTTATTTAATATTATGGTTTATTATAATGTGAATATTATTATAGATAACATACAAAAACATCTTATATTGGCTATTATTCATTTTTAATTGAGCACACGTAATTGTTCATCTTAGTGCGTTATTATTATTATTCAAAACACAAAATAAAAACTATATAATTGTTTGTTACCTCTAATCTAAAGTCAAAGTCATAATTAAATTTTTTCATCATGTTTAAAAAAGTCAACGGAATCAGTTACAGACGTCCGCAGATTTTTCCTAGTGGGGTAAGTTTTATAATAATAAAAAAAATACATTTGTAATATATTTAATGAAAATCCAGGGAAACATATGTGTCTTCTTGCACCTCCTGGTGCCTATTGAACTAGCTAGTAATTAAATATTTATAACTCATGTGTATGCTCCCATTACTTAATTGTTTATTAATTTAGATATGCAATATTGATATAGCACATATCTAAGAAAATTCTGGCTAATCATAAATATTGGGTTTACAAGAAATTTGTTATCGATTTTTACTTGATCACTAAAAGTCTTGTCATTAATTAGAGCAGTATTAGTTAAATTTAATACATACATATTATAGGTATCAAGTAAATGTTTATTTTACTAATTTGTTTATCATTTTCAAACAATATTTATATCAATAAAAGTAAATGTAAAAAATGTAAATACATTAACACATTTTATTTTATTTTAAATTTTTATAATTAATCCAACATTGCTATGTATTTAGATATTCTTAATGGAGTGAAGTTTTCAATGGTATATACTTTTTCTTTGGAAATGTTCTTTAGGACAGTAAACATGAGCCAAGTTTTTTATAAAAAATTAATAAATATAATATAAATGCTAACCTTTAGCACAAATAAACCTTCAGAAGTATAATTTTAAAATTTTCAATTTGATATCCTCAATGTTGGAATTTGGGAAAATGTAAGTAATTGAATAAAATATATTATTTGTGACTGGTAACATTTATTTAAAACAATTTTTTTGAATACAATAAATGCGAAAAATAATAACAAAATAATTTCTTTATAGCTTATATAAAATATGTGTTAAAAACATAAATTAAATTTTTAAATGTGTAGAGAATACATTGACTAACTTTTAGGACTTCAGTGTTATTATTGACAAAATTATACATTTTAACATTTTAATTTAATTTGAAAAAAATATTCTAAGTAAACTTACATATAATTTGAATTTAAACAAATTATGTTCTTATTTTTTTTTTCAATATTTGTGACTATAAGATTAGGAAATTCTTAACAAATAATATGTATCATCTAAATTACTATTTATTTTTATTAGCTAGTTAAAATATTGTAAAACAACTTGTAGAGTATGTTAACTCTGCTAAAATATGGTTCTGAGAAAAAATCTCACTTCAAAATCTTAATTAATGTTAATGTTAAACTAAAAGTTTAATAGATTTCTTTTTAATGATTGTTTCAACTAGGTGTACAGTGTAACATAACTGGAAATGATGGAGAATGCACAAATTGAATCTTTAATCAAAACCCCCCCCGAAAGTCCAGTTAAAGCGAATCCAAAAGGAGATAAACACAATATTTGGATACTATTAGTATTATATACTTTACAAGGATTTCCTTTAGGTGTTTCTTTGGCAATTCCTATTATTATGCAAAGTTTACACTCTTCGTCGTTTAAACATCAAGTAAGTAAAATATTAGGCAATTAATTATTAAATAATATATATAACAACATTAAGGTCGCTCCACACTATGCGTGTTTCGAGTTTCTCGTTTCGTGTAATTTCGTAAATTTCGTAAAAATTTATTACTAAAAACTTTTGCAGCTGAGGCGGTTAATTGCCGAAATCAAAGAACAAGAATAAATAATTTTGTATTGTTTCGAGTTGGCTATGTTTTCGTAAACAGTAAATATTTTGTAGATAATAAATGTAGGTATGTCCCATCGATGTCATTATTGTGTGGAATCACATTTTGTTACAAATTTAGTTAGCCATTTAGTTGTCATTATGGCGTCCGAGTGGAATGACAAACCAGTTTTGATACATTTTGCAGACGAATTTAATAAGTACCTACCTATATTTGTGGGATTCGAAAAATACCGAGAACACATTTAAAAATTAGAAGAAGAAATGAACAACCTGTATGTTACACTAACTAAATAACAGTAATTACAACTGGACGAAAATTACAATAAGAAAAAAAATACTACGAAACACGCAATGTGTGACCTTTAAAAATAAATATTTAATATAATATTTCGATTTATATCAAAGGCGCAATTTAGTTTAGCAGTGTGGCCATTCAGTTTGAAACTTTTATGGGCACCATTAGTTGATTCTTTATTTAATCGAAAATTTGGACGCCGAAAATCATGGTTGATTCCTCTTCAATATTTATTAGGTAAAAACATTGCTCTCTGCCTAACAATTTAAATACATTTTTTGATTCTTTTAACAATGTTTTTAAATATGTTTAATCTGATGAATTATTTGATATTATAGGAATAGTTTTCCTCATAATGGGGTTTTATATTAACGATTGGCTAATTTATGCTAACCAACCTCAAATTCTTAATTTAACCATTATGATTTTTCTACTAAATCTTCTTAGTGCCACTCAAGATATTGTTGTAGATGGATGGGCATTAACTATGTTAAAAAAGTTTGTTGTATTATTGTTAATAGTTTTATTATAAATTATACACTTACTATTTGTTATATGTTATAGAGAAAATATTTCCTATTCTGCTATGTGTAATAGTGCCGGACAGGCCTTTGGAATATTTTTAGGCCATGTTCTGGGGATTTTATTGACATCAAAATCATTTTTAAACAAGTGGCATTTGTTACCAATACCGACTGGTATAATCACTCTACAAGGTCCTTATTAAAATATTATTATATTATAATAACTTTAATAAATAGTGTTTATATTTTAGGATATTTATATTTTTGGGGAACAATGTATATAATTATTACTACATTGCTGGCTTTATTTAAGATTGAAAAATATTCTTCAACAGAATCGGACAATAAAAATGGATTTGGTATTATAAAAACATACAAGTTACTTTTCAGGATAATAAAATTACCATATATTAAGAAGTTTGCTATTATTTTATTGACTGTAAAAGTGAGTAATACAACAGTAATATATATTTAAAAAAGTTGTTATAATTAAGATGTATGGGATTCATTTAGCTGGGTTTTTGTATCGAAGCTGCATATAAATTAAAACTCATAAATGGTGGAATTACCAAAGATGAAATCGCTTCTATTGAAACATTCATCATACCTTTACGCATAAGCCTACCATTTTTTGTTGCAAAATTTACATCTCAAGAAAAACCATTGCAAACTTTTTTCAATACCATACCTTATCGGTAAGGTTTTAATACTATGGTTTACTATGGTCCTATGTTTTATTATGTACATTTATGTGTTATTAATTATTTTTTAGTTTAATATTTGGTATTATTTTTTCAATTGTCATTTATTTTACACCAATATTTGTTACACAAAAAGGGATTGTACTTTATGTGTATAAAGTAATTTTAGTACTGGTATACTCAACGCATCAGGTAAAAATATGTATTTATATAAAACAATTGCTGTTGAATAAAAACTAACTTTAAATTCAAGTTCATTTAAACTTGCAATATTATTACTTAATATTAATATAAAATTTTATTTTCTCATCATTAATTCTGTTTCATAATATTTACATTTCAGTTAGTGATGGGTATTATGATGTTAACAATAATGGCATTTTACGCTATAATTAGTGATCCAAAAATTGGAGGTACTAATATGACCCTGTTGACTACTATTGCAAATATAGGAAATATTTGGAGTTCCTCAGCAGCTTTGTGGCTAATTGATTATGTAACTTTCAAACAATGTTCTGTGGATTCTACTAATAAATGTTTATCACAAAAAAACCAGAATGTAAGACAGTTCAACAAAGACAGTATTTAACAAATTAAATACTTATAATTATAAATTATCTGTTTATCCAAAGGTATGCAAAACATGTAAGGAAAATTGTGAAGTTTACATTGATGGATTTTACATAGTAACTTTAATTTGTACAGTGTATGGATTAATATGGTATTATAAATTTAGAACATCTATAAATAATCTTCAAAGTAAAAATGTAAAAGAATGGCATATAGAAATGAAACAGAGAGAAATATTGTAATAAGCATTTCATTCAAATATACAATTTATATTTAATGTTTAAAATGATTGCATATAAAGTCGATATTAAGAGTATTATATTTTATAACATTATTGTAGTATTTGTAATCATACTAAATACTAATATAATTTTTTTATTTTTCTCAAATAGTTAACTATTTTTCATAAGTATAATTAATATTTATACTTTATATTATAAGTTACAATATGAATAAGTCTATTTATTATTTAATTCTAATCTTATTGATTTGGATATAATTAGGAATTGACAAAATATTGTTATAAAAGGAGTTACTTCATTTCCCCTCCTGTAATTTTTATGATAAAATCAAACCTTATACTAATAGACGAGCCTTTCATATATTGCATACCCTGTGAACTTTGGTTAAACCACGGCTATAGTATAGATTGGGTGATTGCGCGTTACTAAGTTCAAATACAGACACAAATGTTCCTATCTATAGCCACGTTGAAAACATATAGGTACTTTGTGCTGTCTAGTGTACATCAAATTTCCAGTATAATACTTGGCACAATTTAAGATAGTCAATATTACTCTATAGAAATATATTATAGCTAATAACTAAATTATAGGCATTTTGATTTGCATAACATTAATATTAGATTTACCACGCATGAGTTATAACCATTTAAATTTTACACCAGAGGAGTGGGAAATAGATATCAATGTATCATTTAGATGTGTTTAAGCATAACCCATTTACAGCACATCAATTTTTAAATCTATCTAAATTGTTTTAGAAATTAAGGCAATTGTCAGGCGATTTTATAACATAATATATTTTTAAGTTTTCAGCAAATAACTGATGCTTACTAATTCTGAAGCTTTCAATATCCATTATAAAGATTAAAAATAGTGGAGAGGAGAGGTGCCTCCCTTAAGGTACATCAGATTGAACATAATATACATATAAACTTGAAATTTGGTCAGAAAACTTATATTTGCCTATTTTTATGTGGTAAAACTGTAAAACATTTGAGTTATATTTAAGTTATTTATAGACACTTTAATTTTATTCGTAAGTTTTATATGGTGGGTACTCAGTGAATTAAATTGTTAGACAAAACAGATATGCTTGAAAATAGGCAAAAATTGTTTTAGTAAAAAATTATGTGGAACATATCTAGTTACTGGTCCATAATAATTGTTTCTAATTGTATTTATTTTACTGTAATGTGACATATTATATATTGTTGAAAACGTAGTATTATTAACCGAACTAGGCTCAGAATCGTTTATCGTTAGCAATAATTATATTTGCTTATAAATATATATTAAATTTCCTTCTATACTCTAACCTTCACAATTTTTTATTTACAACAGTGGTCCAACCATCATGTGAAGTATGTCAGTCTTTTTTCTTATCAATTATTAATATTAAATATAATTATTTTGCTCACCCCCTTCCCATAATCAAGGTTAGTTGACATCCCTGTTAACAAGTGATTCGTTTAGAATCTTTGAATTCAATGCAGGTAGGTACCAAACTATTTTTCTATTTTAAATAATCCGCATAGATATTTATTGGAGGCAAACATGAACAATAAAAAAAACGCGCAAATAAAATTATTGAGGGGCTAAGTATCAAATATTTTTAATCGTTTTCACATTCCCTAATTTATTAGGCTATCGTGATTTTAATCGTGCGTAATACCATTGATTTTATGTCTATTCCAAATTGTTATTATTATTACCAGGATTAAAAATATACTTTTATAATCTGGCTTACGAAGTGGCGACTGACCGCTACGATTCAAGCGGACTATTTGTTGTAGTGGTTATCAAATAACAATATAATTTACCGCGCTTTTTCAAATACGCCTGTATATATTATATAATTATAACTATAATAACCTTAAAATGAACTATTTTCCTTCCAAATTGTAATTAAGTGATAATACGTATCGTGAATTATAATCATAACACTATGTATCAACGCATTATTTACTATTCGATTAAAATTTGAACTAAGGTTTTATCTTATTATATTTTTTTATTATAATTAATAATAATAAAACAAACATAACATATAAAATACAATATAATAGCATAATAAAAAAATAACTATACAAATGAATATATAATTATAATATGTAATTGCGAAAAGCCCGTTTCAGGTAATTCATAAATTTTCTTCATTTCTGAGCAAATACGCTCAATAGAGCGTTTGATATTCCTCAAGCCTTAGCAATAATGTCGCGTTTTTCGAAAATAATTGGCGACAAGTTCTTTTGATTTCGATAGTTTTTAAAAAAAGAAATAAATATTAAACTATTTTTTTTACTTCGGCTATGTAGATCTTTATCTTTAAATGACATTTTAATGTAAAAAAAAAAATAAATATACTAAACACTAGGTTTTAAAAATCGATTTGTAAGGTATTACGACAGTAAACAGACGTGAACATTGAACACACGTTTGAAAATAAACAATAGCGCCAATAGTTTGTGCCGTTCCAGATCAAAATAGAATAAGAACCACTGTTTACACGGTGGGTGTGGTTCGGGGTACGGCGGCGTCCGGCCGCCACTTTTCGTGAGCCGGACTATATTATATCTTGTTTTATCGTGTTTATTACGCATTATTTACTCAATTAGTTTATTGTTTTGTTAGTTAAAATGATAGAGCGATGATGGTGTAGAGGTTTTTAATAAGAACTTTCAACACCACCTTTTTAGCAGCACGGTTTCAGATACTTTAATTCGTGTTCAGCAGCCTATAAAAAAAATAGCATAGGTAGTGATCACCTTAAGGTATATTTACATCTTGGTTAGGTAAATTAAGTGGCAACACTTGGGTATTATATGTTCATGGCCTTCATGCAACCATTTATATCTCTAACAGTGATATACGCCCATGATGGTCTCAAGCATTGTTTATTTAACTTTGGTAACACTGTCGCGTCGATATCATTTTTTTTGCGTGTTCTTATTGTTATCAAAACCAACCGGTAGCGTCAAAAACATGTAGTTGTAGATGTAGATATAATAAGCAACATAAAATAATGTTAATTATTACAATTTAGGAATTAAGTATTACCCACTCAAATATTATTGTCAATTCTTGACCTTAAATTGTGTGTTTTATTATAAAACTTAACTATGGCCGCGGGACCAATAGCAGAGAGAAATCAAGGTAACTAACGTTTATTTTGTTTCTATAATACTCCATATAATTTGGTAATGCTTATTTAAATGTTACTAATTCCAATCAGTGGCGTGGTGAACAATGTTTCTTTAAACTAATTGCTTACCCTTAAAAATATGAACGACAAAGTGGAGTTGTCATTTTTACAGTATATTCATAATGCCATTGATTACGATACCAATGCTGTTCTATTTAATTCAAAAAATACTTCTCAAAAGTTCACTACTATTATTATTAGTTAACCTATTTTTAAATTATAAAACCCTATGATTCTGATAGCTAATACAATTTTATTTTTTCAATATAAATGAAAAGAATATGATTTATTTTTTATATTTTACATTTGCTAAAATATGATAAACAATATCAAGTCGTGTATCACTCAATTAAATTTACAGATGCTACAATTTATGTTGGGGGTCTTGATGAAAAAGTATCAGATACTCTTATGTGGGAGTTGTTTGTTCAGGCTGGTCCAGTGGGTAATTCAAAATATCATTAACTTATACAACAATTGTTTCATATTCTAATAGTTAAATTATTAATATTTAGTTAATGTTCATATGCCTAAAGATCGAGTGACACAATCACATCAAGGATATGGCTTTGTTGAATTTTTAGCTGAAGACGATGCTGATTATGCTATTAAAATAATGAACATGATAAAATTGTATGGTAAACCTATACGTGTTAATAAGGTAAAATTTTTAATACGAGTTTTATCTTCAATATAAAAATATACTTATATTTGACTTGTGTATTATTTTTACTTGGTTATATAATGTAAATATATATATTATTTGTTTTAGGCATCCGCTCATCAAAAGAATCTCGATGTAGGCGCTAATGTATTTATTGGTAATTTAGATTCAGAAGTAGATGAAAAATTGCTGTATGATACTTTTTCTGCTTTTGGAGTAATTTTACAAACACCAAAGGTATTTATTAATATTATAAATGGTTGATATGTTGCTTTTGTGTTAGGACAAAACTATTAAAAAATGTTATGTAGAAATTTTGTTTCTATACCCTTTAAAATAAACAATCTGTTGTCAGATTTCCGATTTTCTGACCAATTTTCCAAATTGATTACTGTTTATTAATTTATCCATCAAGGTATACTGTAGTGTAAAATTGTTTAGTATTTTATACAACTTGTAAGCCATAATGTCAAAAAAAAATCAGAAATTGAGAAAATCTAATGATTTCTTTTCTGTAAGGACTTACAGAGTAAAGTTATTTAAAATATTTTTTGTTATTTTGACATTTTTTTTCCATGCCCGGAGGTCTGAGATTAACTTAAGTTTATATTAACATGTTGACTGTTCAACGTCAATTAAACTCATAATGATCAGTCATTAACACATTTGAAATTTTTAGCTTCCAATGTCCATTTTATGTAGTTCAGTATTCTCTATGTATGGCTAAATAATATTTTGTTATTAATTAGTTTATGTAGGATAAGGATTAAAATGTTATGTACTTAATGAAGTGAAAACTACTAAAATTTAAATGTAGTCAACATGTTAAACAATTAAAATTACATTATTTTATTTATATAATTATTTAAATAAAATTATAGATTTATTATAGACTTATATAAAATACATTTATACATTTGTTCATTTATAATTTTATCATTTCATTACCAATATAATGTACATTAATTTTTCAAAAAATGAAAATTTAAGTACTTATAATTTTTTATTTTTATTTTTAGATAATGAGAGATCCTGATACTGGTAATTCAAAAGGATTTGCATTCATTAATTATGCAAGTTTTGAAGCATCTGATGCTGCAATAGAAGCTATGAATGGTCAACATTTATGCAATAGAGCCGTTTCTATTTCATATGCATTTAAAAAAGATGTCAAAGGGGAGCGACATGGATCTGCTGCTGAAAGATTACTCGCTGCTCAAAATCCACTCAGCCAAGCTGATCGTCCTCATCAACTGTTTGCTGATGCACCTCCCACTCAAATGCCAATGATGCATCAAATGCCTGTTCCCCCTCCCCCCATTATGCAACCCACCATGCAAGTGCCTATGACTATGATGGCTCCACATCAAATGGCTCCACCGCCTCGCATTATGCCTTGGCAAAATCAGCAGGCACCTCCTCAACCTCCTACATATCAACCACCTCCACCACCGCCCCCAAGTTTCAATAATTTTGCACCACCAGGTTTTCATGGAGGTTTTGTACCACCTCCTCCACCACCGCCGTCACAAGGACAAATGCCCCCACCATTACCACCTTCACATCCTGCTTTGCCATCACATATGCAAAATCACATGATGCCTCCACCACCACCTCCAATGTCTATGAGCAGTGGACCACCAATGCCTCCACCCCCACCTATGCAACCAAATAATATGATGCCTATGAATTGGAAACCAAGTATTCCTCCGCCACCTCCTCCTGCGCCAGCTTAACATTTTAATTTTAATAAATTATGGAAACTAATTATTATATACCTACTGAAAAATTACTTTTTAGTATAATAGAAGACAAGTAATTTGTATACTTTTAAAATGATAAAGCTTTATTTGTTGCATTTTTGTGTATTGGTATTCACTGGTATTTAAATAGTTTAACAACATAACATACAGCTGAGAAAAAAAAAACTAAAAACTTAACAAAACATTTTCCAATACATTTTAATGTACTTAATTAGACACTCTTTTTTTATTTGCTGATGGTGTTAAAAGAAGTGATGCTGGAGTTTGTAATAAACCTTGTAGAGTTTCTAAGAAATCAGAGGCAGCAGATTCACTTATAGCCCGTGAATCATATGATAGTGTGGCTGTCATAAATGTCTGAGGTTTACCATTTAATGCTGTAACATAAATTTTAAATAAGTGTAATATAAGTATAGTGTAACATACAATTTTTTAGGGTATAAATCTGTTTTACTGGTATCTTTTTTTTTAAAGATTAGTGCTTTTAATGCTGATTATGAATTTTCTAATTTTTAGGACGTTATTGATATAAATGTGAACGCCACTATATTATGACTACAAATGTTGCCAGATTCTTATCAGCATTAAAATTACTATAGACTAAAACAGAAATCACCCAATAAAACATTTATTCCATAATTTTTTAATAAATATTACCAATGATAGGCCGTCCACTTCCAATGGCTAAAATACCACACTGTGGAGGATTTATAATAGCGCTAAATTCAGATATGTCAAACATTCCAAGATTAGATATCCTGTTTAAATATAAATTAATAAATTATTACATTAGGATAGAAAATAAAAATGTATTAAAAAATCCCCTGGTATTCAGAAGGGGCACCTACCCCTAAAATAGAAATTAATTTCATTACTTAGGTAACAAAAACAACAAAAATCATATTTTTTAACAATTTAAATGGTTGCTATACTTTTTATGAGAGTTGAAAAGATTTTTTAAATTTAAATTTTTTCACTGCAGTTTGAGTAAATTTTATTTAAAGTTTTTAAGTTTAATAAATTATTAGTTTACCTTTAACAGTGTTAACTTAATATATTTTAAAAATAATACAAAAAATGACTAATAATCTAGTAAAAACTGTATAAAAAGGCTATATTTCTGTATTTAATTTTTACTGGGTAAGTATTAAAATAAACTTTTAGTTTTATGTTATTATCTAAACATAATTTGTAACAGTGCTAACATGCTATTCAACAAATAAAATAGTTACTTTTTTTTTATATCTCTAATGGGTATTGATTATATAATGCCAATTTTGAATTTTTTACAAAATAAAATTGACATTTCATAGTAATTTTTTACTTATCTTAGGTATACAGGGTGATTTTTTTTTTTTATCAAGAACCAGAAATTATCTCAGAATTTTAAGTGAATTTGATTTTTGAGTTACATTATGGAATTGTTAAGCTTTATACAAAACCGTTTTTAATTTTTTACCTCTACTCCATGTATCTTAAATAAATACACACTTGATTTTCTGAAAGGAACCCCCCCTTTTGAACACAGGTTTGAATAGAGGTTGCATTTCTACAACTATGTCATCAATATAAAAAGTATTTTCACACGCACAAGTATTCAGTGTGAATTTGATTTAAATTATAGACTTACGTAAAACTGCCTCCTTGGAATTCGTGAAGTTGCAGTTTACCAATACGTGCACGTCCAGCTAATTCTTTAATTTCAGCAGAGATTTCGTCCAATTCTTTTCCATCGGCATTGGTTACAATTGGAGTAATAAGGCCTGAATCAGTTGCAACTGCTACAGAAATATCAGATGTTTGTTGTAAAACAACCTGAAAAGAAGTATTTGATTATAGATAATATGTTTGAAAATGTTTTATTTCAATAAATTACTTGATCTTTAATGTAGAGACAATTGACTAGAGGACATTTTTTAAGAGCTATAGCAACTGCTTTAATGATAAAATCATTAACCGAAACATTAATTCCACCTAATTTTAATTGTTTTCGAAGTCCTAATAAAGAATCAATATTACTCTCCACTGTAGCATAGGCATGCGGAATTGTAGTCTAAAAGAAATATATAAAAAAATAATTTAAAACTATACTAAAGAACATAGGCATCATTACTGGGTAGCAAGGAGTAGTAACTGATACCCCACCATTTTTATCGAGGTAGCAGATTAATAGCTACACCACCCTATGAGTAATTTAAAAAAAAAAAAATATAACTACCAGCTACATTTAATTTGAAAATATATAATTCTCATAAAGATCAATCAACTAATTACTTATTTCTAAATTTATTTGATATTTTTCTACATAATTTTAATGAATACTTCTCTAGAACCTGATTGATGACTCACAGACTAATAAAGTAAGGGGCACTTCATTAGGCCACTACTGAATTAAAAATATGATTCAAGATGCTAGCTACCCCATGATTTTACTTCAAATGACACCTATGTTAAAGTATACATATAGTTAATAATATTAAATTTTTTACTTTAGATTCAGTTAATCGTTTAGCAATTGTTAATCGCATGCCAGTTAATGGAATGTCAATAAAATCAGATCCTTTGGCAGGTCTTGATACTGATGTTTGTGTAACTGGTGAATGTAATTTAGGTGGGGATGATTCTCCGGGTAAAGGTACTATTAACAAATTATAACATTTTTGTTACAAAAGTATATTTTAATTCAGTCTATAACAAACCTTCTTTGGGGGGCTGGATGGACAAATTATTTTTGGTAACATATTTCAAAACATCACCCTTAAGGAGTTTTCCTTGTTTTCCAGTTCCTTCAACCTTGGTACCATCAACAGCATATAGTTCTAAAAGTGATCTCACAGCTGGGCTATAACCATCACTACAAAATATAATTTACTTGTGTAATCCTAATTTTTTTTTAAATTATAAAACAAAACATTTTGAAAATTTACTATGAATGCCTGACGACAGATTCTTCAGATGTTGTTTGAGATATGACTTTGGGTTTCTGAATATCTACTTTAGGTGATTTAGCTTTCTTTTGCCCGGGTACTTGAACATCGTTCCAGTCTTCACCTTCAGCTACCATTAATGCTATAAGTTCTCCGACTTTCACATCTTTACTGTCATCTCCCAACTTCAATGTATAATAATTTATTGGTAATATAAAAAATGGACACATAAACCTTTTTAAATAAAATATACCAAAATTTTTGCTAAAATGCCTTCTTCTTCAGTTTCAAAAGACATGACTGCTTTATCTGTTTGAATATCGCATAACACATCTCCAGGTGCAACTTTATCTCCTGGTTTCTTATGCCATTTAATAATTGTACCTTCAGACATGGTTGGAGATAATGATGGCATATTTATTGCGAGTCCAGGTGCTAAATAATTACCATCAAATAAAGGAATTATATTATATTATCTCTTTTTAATAAATATGTAGTTTAACATTACTTTTTCCACCAGAAGGTTCTGATTCTGTGGTTTCTTCGACTGCATTTGAAACAGGTGCAACACTTCCTTCAGTTGTAGGTATTTCAACACTTTTCCAATCTTCACCCTCAGCAACCATAAGTGCAATTAAAGAACCAACTTTTATTTCTTTAGCATCTTCAGGAACCTACAAAATATAAAATCTTATTAATGGTAATATTATGATTACTACAAGGGTCAAATATTTCAACTTACCAATATTTTTGCTAATATTCCTTCTTCTTCAGTTTCAAATGCCATAACAGCTTTATCTGTTTGAATTTCACACAACACATCACCTGGAGCTATTGGGTCTCCTTCTTTCTTTAACCATTTAACTATGTTCCCTTCAGTCATAGTCGGAGACAGTGAAGGCATATTGATTTTTTGACCTTTCACTATATATAATTTTAATTAATTAGATTTAAACGTTTTACGCAGCTAAAGATTAAAATTTTTTGTTACCATTTAAAAATGCTGATGTATGAATACATATTTTTTCGAGATTAAAAGATGTTCGAAAGGTTTTTCTAAGATAATGTTTAGGTATTCCACTCCTAAGGGCGGAACAAAACAACGAACTTGCCATCCCGCTTTGAATTTACGTCGGTTATTTGACAGCTATTTAATAAAAAAAAAACAAACTATTTACAAAAGTCGATGCTGTGTAAAATTAACCGAAAATCTATTTCATAATTTTATTTAGACATAGTATTTGACATTGAAGAGTTCAATCTCAAAGATATAGTGATAAAAAACCATGGAATAGATAACAAATTTATAATTTCAATTGAGGATGATAAATAACACGATAACAACGGAGCATAATAATGAATACCTATCAATACCTATCAATATTTATACTTAAATACTATAGATTAGGTCTAGACTTGGTATGCTATAAACCATTTATTTTAATTTATCATATTTTAGATTTATTTTATCATGGTTGTACATATTTAGTCTGACAGTAAAAAGTACGTTAATGAAACAAAATGTTAATTTTTAAAATTATTAACAGTAGATAAATAGTCGATAAAAATATTTTGGGCAATTGTATAATGTACCTACCACATACAAAAACTCACCTTTAGATTTCCGTTTCAATCGATTTTACATTAATGTTTTGTTTCTAACCTCCGGGTTCTTCTTCCTGGTTATGTACACTTTCAACGTTAACGATTATCTTCATGGCACGATCAACATAGATTTATGCAGTACACTTTTTATTTTACCCATTGCCATTAATACGAATCTAAATATTTAGACATATTATCACACATAGTGCGCTATATTGTACAATTTAAATGTTTGTATAAAATTAATTGATTTTTCCGTTCATTAATAGTTATTTTAAAATTAATTTTTACGGTGTAACATAAAACGCGTACAAGATTACAGCCGTTACTAAATGTCTATTATTTGAACACGAGAGTACGAGACCGTATTGGAAAATGTAGACTTATAATTTTTATTTCTGATTTACAATATTTCGATTAAATTTGTATTTATTATACAAATTGCGATATGAAATAGACGCGATAATTGTATAATCGAAGTCGATTGCCGGCGGAATTGATACAAAAACGGCAGAATACCTACCTCAAACGGTAAGACATATCGTAGAATCCTGCCCATTGAGGAAATATGCTGAAGGGGTGCTTGGAATTCACCTATCTGGAATTGCAGCAACTGAATGGTTAACCAACTTGGATGTTCGATTATAAGATATAATTTTTAGTTACCCACAACTTTTCTGTTTCTACTTGCTTATTTGTATGCATTTTATATTTTCATTTATTTGTTTATTTATCAATTTAATTATTCATTTACTTAATTTTCTGTATTTGTAATATGGCATGTGCTAATATAATAGGTATATACTATTTCGACTAGCAATTCCATCGCAGGCAGCAGTTCTGAAAACATTCCAAACAAACCTGTCCCACTTCCTCCACCAATATTCGCAAAAAATATAGGAAACTTTTTAGACTTCCGTAAAGATATAATTATTGGATCACTTTACGTGCAAATCGACCACCAATAATCTAAACATCGAAACTAAAAATTTCGATTCATAAAATGAAATATCTGAAATATGTCATAAAATATTTAAAGGTGAAACAAACTGAGTTTCTCACTTACCGATCACAAGAAATCCATGCCTCTCTCGTTGCTATCTATAATCTACATCATGCATCTAAGCCAACTTTCGAGGTGGGCGTCGCCAACTTGATTAATCGACTATTTAGTATGTTGAGTTACCAATGTTTTATACAAACTACTATAGCGCCAACTCCCTTTATATTTCGTCGACCTCGAGCATGCTGAAATCTACAAGGACATTTTCCATTTAAATAATTTACTTTAGGAGCTTATAAACGCCAGGAAATCATCGAGTGCCAAAACTATTAAGTATATCAATATGGACACTCAAAGACGTATTGTGCCCATCTTTCCAAGTGTGTCCGATGTGCTGCTAATCACTCAACCTCATATTGAACTTAACTAAAAGATCAACCAACAGCCTATGCCTTATGTGGCATATAGACATTGATAAGTAGACTGTGCTTTCCTTGCCTCCCATATATGGTGTTCGTGAACGATATTGAGTGAGAAGGATAGCGATAGTTGAGGCAACCATGAATGAAATACTTTTAAATTTTTATTTAGCCATGAAATTGATTGTTATTATTTATTTATTTATTTTCACTATAATAGATTATATTGACATGATTAACTGATAAATAATATTAATTTCATGATGTAAATTAAAATATTCAATCATTCTTTCCATGACTACCCCTAACTAGCATTATATCTCTCACATAATATAAGTTCCGCATTTATTTCTCTAAGCGCAGTCTATTTATTAATATGTTTATGTTATGTGGTGGTGACCATCTCACTAGCTACCATGGCTGTACAGTACACAAAGATCTGCAGCGTATCCACCGTAATGCACGTTAAAAATGGGTATCAAAAAAAATCATTATATTATTATAAATGAGAATAGAGATTCCAGTACGGAAGACTGTCCGGGTCCCCCAACAGTCAAGATTAAAAAGTTTTTTCCAGTCTTGCCCAAAATCAACTACTCAATCAATCTAGAAAATAAAAACATTATTCACAAAACAGGCCATCCAAAGGCTCTTTTGATACCAATGCCACTCACCAACCTTCTTCATTCTTAAATTAATTTAGGCAATTAATCTGTCCTTTAATTAAATTACTTTCAATCGTAGTTAACAAATTAATCCCTATGATAGTAAATAACAAAATTAATATTAAGTCTCTTAAAATTTCCTTTAGAATACTAATGAACACCTACCACACCTCCTCCCTTTAAATCCAGACCTGATTGGAATACATTTTTCTCAATTTCCAAAAGAAACCTGATTGCAAGGAAATCTAAGGAAGCAAAGGAAAAATATATGGAAGAATAATACAAAAAAATATATAATTTAATGACAGACAAGAGAGAAGCAGTATATAAAACTGTGAAAAACGTCTTTATAATTCCAAAAGTGGAGCAATAAAAAATAGGGCAGGTAAAATGATTTACAAGCAGGAACATATTACGAAGAGGTGAAAGGAATACTCAGAGGCACTGTATTATGGGGAAGTACTAACTGGTCAAGAACTAAAAGAGATAAATGAAAAGGAACAAGATGAAGAATTGAAGAATATCCTGTTTTAAGAGAGGAGTACGACAGAGCACTGAGAGATCTAAACGAACTAGATCAAACGAACATGTTGCTGCCCATTCATAAAAATAATTTACACCGCTACTTCCCAAATGTATTGTAATGTGCTTTTTATATACGCACGAACCGATTTCATAAAATGTATAACAATATTATTTAGGCATAAATTATACATAATATATTACCTATTTAGTTGGTAATTCTTTTTAGATTCTAAGCACAGCAAGGAGTGTATTGATTTTAATATGATGTATGCTTTTTATTTTTTTATACTTTAATACCAGCAATTTTGTTCCAATAAAAACAACGAGAGCCTTTTGTAAAATTTTATATCAAGTTGATATATTAAGAAAGTCAATGTATTTTGATTTCAGTTTTCTTAATAATTGGGAAAAAATGTATAGGAATAACGGGAAAGTGTAGGACAATAACGGTTTCATTATTTTTGATTTCTTTGTGTTTATAATTCTTTTAAAAATAATTGTAGAGACCTATAATTGTTTACAAAATAATAATATTAGCCTTTTTTAGACGTAATACAATTTTCAAAACATTCTGGGAATTTTTGAGCTATTTATAAGAAATTGACATTTTTATTGTAAAAATCAAAGTTCAAAATATGTTTAACCGAATTTTGTTAGCAATAATTTATTATTACATACAGCTGATATAAGATTGTGTGCATTTTTTTGTATATTTTACCTTATTAGTATCTTCCTAACATTCCACCTACAACAGAGCCACACCCATAAGCAATATCAGTTATTTTTGTTTTAATTTCAAATATAGGTGTAGACTATTATATCCTGAATTACCTAGTTATATAAATTTAACGCTTAAAGGTCAATTTGTATTCTTGAATTAAATAGGTATAGGTTAGGTAAGGGTATGACAGTAATTTCTTTACACGTTTTATGATTCGCGTAATATTGTGTTTTGTATTCAGTGTAGTGTAAATAGATTACCTGTTTTAAAACACTGTATAGAAACATACCTATCTATTACACTAACATATATATCATATATATATATATATATATATATAATATATTATGTGTTATATTCTGAGAATATTATTTCCGCTACTGTTTTATTACATGTGCACATTATTATGCACTTGAATTGCTAACACCGTTTTACACGAAAACGTCCTAATTAAACGAATTTTTATCTTAATAAAGGGATCTTTATTTTAAACCTCTAAACGGTCTAAACGATTCACTAAGTGGCATCCGTTTCTTCGAAAAATATCTTGTTGTCTTGTCAAGCCTTATCACTTCAATTTCCATATGCATTTTAAATATATACTAACAAAACACTGGACACAGTTACTTGTTTCATTAATCAACCCAATGAATATTATCTCTGGTAATTAACTCTGTTTTATTTAATATAAAACCACCGACTCCACTCACCAATCGCCGTAGTGTTAAAGTTGTTGTGAAACAATATAAACATAATATATTGTTGTACGCGTTTTTGTCAGTTTGAAAAAAGAAATGAATATGAACGTGTTTTTATGGTTTTTAGCGGTTTATATACCCCTGCAGTCATTGGCACAGCCTGTATTATTACGGGCTGAAGAAGAAGAAGAGAACGAGGTGGCTGACAGTGGTGGCGAACCAGACTTGTACAGTGGTTTGGTGCACTTAGGGTCGGCCATTTTCGGTACTCCAGACATCAAGTCAGGTGAAGCAGTATCAACCTGGAAGGAAACCAGTCAACTAAATCCCGAAGAAATGGGAGAGTACGCAGAAGGTGACATATTACATCCGATCGGAACAAGCAGGAATGGATTGAAAGCCGTATCGTCTAGATGGCCCAAAGGCGTTATTCCGTATGAAATCAGCCCTTATTTCGGTAAAATTATTTTAAAATAATCGTATTATAATACAATTAGTAAAATCGGGTTAATAAACGACTATATATTATACTATACATATACATATGATTAAATGAAAGATATTATTTCCGTATTGTTGTTTTTTCTCCGCGTCTACTTAGATCATAATAAACAATACAAACAAAATATATCATCTTATCGAGTTATACAAATTTAACGCAGTCTTATAGAATAGATTACTTGCAAAAGTATTTACATCTATTGGTTAAGGGATAGCTCACTGGTTTTTTTGTTTTTTATGTAATACAACGTATTACATAAAATATTTACGTATTTAAATATAAATTACGAAGTTCAGATTTTTAATTATTTTATCGTTTGTCTTTGCCTGTAATTAAATTATTACTGTTATAGGGAATTAAGTAACGCACGATTAGTTTTCAATTATACTCACAGTAAAGGTATCCACAAAAATCTGATTAAAAATTCAACAAGATTTTTGCCAATTCTCAGGCTAATTATCCCATTAATATGATTTCCACGCTATTAATCCAAACGTATATGAAGTATATCACTGAAATGATAAATAAATAAAACATTTACATTTATATATTTTTTTGTTAATAAAACAAGCATGCTACATAAAAAGATTCCTATAGGATTTCTCACTTTTGATTTTCATATAACTACAAATGAACGTTTTTGAAATCATATTGTAACAGTAAAAATATAAATATTTGTATATGTGTATTATATTTTAATTTAGCGTCTAATGACAGACAAATGATATTGAGTGCAATCGATGAATATAAAAAGCTAACATGCTTAAAGTTCACTCCTAGAACTTCTTCAGACGCTGATTATATTTATTTCACTAATGGTAACACCGGATGTTGGTCATCAGTGGGGAAAATTGGAGGAAGACAAGAAGTATACCTATTATTTTATGTCCTATATAAGTTTTATAATATATATTTATTTTATGATAGATAATCAATAGTGTACAATTATTAGTATTTCAAATTTTAATCCTAATTTGTATGGACAAATTTGTATAGGTCAATCTACAAACACCAGGGTGTTTGTCTAAAAAAGGTACGGTAATACATGAAATACTTCATGCCGCTGGATTCATGCATGAACAGAACAGACCAGATAGGGATAAGTACGTTACAGTGAACTACGACAACATTCAATCTGGTTAGAATACAAAAACACCACGCAATGATTTTTAAAAGCCTTAAATTATTTATTAATTTTTAGGAAGGGAGAATAATTTTGAAAAAGCCCAGAGTTCAATGATTGACAACCAAGGTATAGGCTATGATTATCGTAGCGTGATGCATTATTCGGCAAATGCTTTCTCTAAAAATGGTCAACCGACCATTAATCCGAAGGTATATAATATTTTTTTTTATGTGTCTATACGTATATGCAGTAGATTCTTGATATTATGTCGAATAATATCCACAACTACTCCTAAATTAATATTTCAATTAAAGTAATGTTCTTTTTTAAAATCCATATGTTTTAATTTTGCGGATATATATTTCTTTGGACCTTCGAGATATCAGGAGTCTACGGTATATCTTTTATATAGATACAATCACGTGATTAATATACCGTATAATTTAATACTTATATAATTTGTTGATACGGTTTTCATATAAATTATTTAGACCCAAGGAGTGACAATGGGACAAAGAGAAGGCTTAAGTAGAAAAGATATTCAAAAGATTCAGAAGATGTACAATTGCAAAAGTAAGAGACAGCATTCTTCTTCGTCTATTGACTAAATAATAGAATAGTATGTTTTCATAATTATTATCTTCTGTGTGTTAGGCGAAGTATTTTTTGTCGTTAGATGTATTTTTTCATTTTCCAATAAATTTATAAACTAATTAAATTATTTCAAAACAAACAAATTAATTATTTGTGTGTAAAAAAATATATATGTAATTCTACTGATATCAATATAAGTACCTAGGTAATATATAATTATAATATATAAAAATATACATGATTTATTTATTTTACAAAACGAACTTATATTTATTTTTTAGTGCTATACTGTTTATTTATAATTTTAAATTGACCATTGTGGTTGCATACTCTTAAATCTATGTTCATTATATACCAAACAGTATACCTAATACCTTTTAATCATACACATTGAGAAATTAGAAATGATTATTATTATTATTATTATTATGAATTAAAAGTACCTATTTGTGATACATATTATATCATTACATAAGTAAAAATCTGAGTAGAAAGTAAATAATTTAAATTTTAAACGTTTTCGGAGCTATAAAAATCTAAAATAGAACAAGGATTATGTTCAATACGAAAATAAATATAATATTATACCTAGGTATTCTCACGAAAATGTGTTGGCGTAATAATTTTAGTTCTTCAATAAACATTAATTGATAATTTTGTAATATGTAATCAAAGAAAATTTTAAAAAGGGCATAATATAGTAGAGGTAATTGCTGTCCTTGAATAATTTTTAAACTAGATTAAATAAGATTTATAATAAAGTTGTAACGATTACGAGTTTTAAGTGGGCCAATTCGCAATCGCCCTACAGTTACATTGAAAATACGGTTGGCGGGAACTTTACTTTGATTTGAACGAATCCGAATTTATTGTAGGTATTTAATATTTTCTCTATATATGACAATGATAAGTAAAATTATTTTTATAATATTGACTTTTTAAATAAATAAAGTTTATTTTCTAATATCCGTGCACACAAACATATAATTATAATAGTTTTGTAGTTGATATTAAATAGACAGTTTTCAGCTAGGATGCCTAATTACACACAACTTGGTTTTTGAACACAAGTTGAAAATATGTTTTTGCAGTATTTTATTTTATAATTTAGTCATCAAATTATGTTAATCGATCATCGTACAAAAAATAATTGTACTTATTCGATAAATCCCAATGAATGTTACTAAAATATAAAACATAGTATGTTTAGTACATTATACTCCTGGTAAAAAATTATCAATATATGCGTAATGCGTAACTGCGTGAGTTGTGGACAGGTATTAAGGACTTATTGGGGAAGGCAATACAGATTTATGTCAATTTATTATTTAAATTATCTTGAGGTTTAAAAATGTTTCATTCAACAGTTTTATTTTTGATGACACACCAATATAATAAATAATAATATATTATTATATTATAATCGTTTTTTCGAGTCTTTATTTTATTTACCCGATCATAATAACAATATCATTTCGTTAATCGTTTATGTACTATGATTAATATACGGACATTTCTCAACTTAACCTCAAGCTGTTTACACAATTAATACATTTTGTGAGCATAAAATGTATATATACTGAAAATAAGATCGTGTAGGCACATGGTTACAGTGGCCAGATTAAAAATGCTAGAATATGGGAAAAAAAAGAACATTATAGGAAAGATGCTATTTTATGATAAATAACAACCTAAAAATTAATCTAATAATTACCTATCTATTAATATATTTATTTAAAAAAAAAAAAAATTGTACTTTTTGGAATTCGTGAGTATTACTGTGTTCATATATTGATCTGATTTTCTTTGTTGCTCGAATGCTATGCATTTTCTTCTTAATGTATATTACAAATTGCACCACAATGCATTTTACATATTGTTTTCTTGGATAAGTTTTAATTAAGTTTAATTTGTTTTTCATTAAAAACAGAATTTCTTTTAAGTATAGTATATTTATAACATTATACAATTTTATCTTTTACTGTGAAATGTTAACTATTTAGGGAATGCAATTAAAAAATGTTCAATTTAAAATACTGACTAAATAATTGTTTTGAATGTTTGATAACAAAGAATATGAAATCATCTGCAATGACTGATAAACTAGTGCATTTCAACTAGATTGTGGTCACTGATCAGTTACACAATCTGTGCGTTTGAATATTTTTTCGTGGCACACACTGCATGTAGGACAACAATTATTTAAAAATTCACGAAATAAAGTAAAAGACATTAGTGTTACTCTTATTACCTACTTCAAATCACTTTCTTAGCTTTTAACGTCCACAAAAAGCGCTTAAAAACGTCAAAAAAAGTCCTAAACAAATATGTAAGAAAATAAAATGGTAGACGAATTTAAAAGTCCTTCCCAGTCCTCACTGACGGCTCTAATGTCCTTTGTGGTTATCAAAATAAAATTAAAATTTTTAACACTAAAAAAATTTGTTTGTAATATGTACAATTGTACATAGTACTCCTATCTCAGACTCGGTCTTCCCAGAGGTCGCTTTCATGCAGAGTTTTTTTTTCGATTTCGGTATTTTTTATTAACTCCCGTTTTCTCCACGCATGTCCTGCCAATTTTAAAAATTTATATACGACTTCTTTTGTATTGTTAGGGTATCGACAAATTTATCTTTTTTCTAGTAATAGAAAATTGTATTTAATAAGTTAAAATCGTTAAATGAGGGACTTAAACCCTTCTACTATTTAGGCAGTTTTGACTTTTTTAAGAGTTTTTTTTTTTTGTGAAATTTTAAAAGTCCCAAGCACTATTTATAAGTTACATAAATAATATTAACTATTATTTATGAGTTATTACTGATTATTAAAAAAAAAACTCATGTATACTAGATATATTTTTTTAATACGGGACATTTTAGCATCCCGAAAGCATTCATCGAGACAACGGGACAGCATTTTGAAATACCGAACTTTTTCGTATAATACGGGCGTCAATTCAACGCATGTAGGTACCCTAAAAGGTTTCGAATTCAACAAAGTATCTATGTATTTGAATGAACAAGTTCTAATAAAATTTACTTTAACAAAATTTGTTCAAAGAATTCATTTGTTTAGTTATATTATCGACTATTAGTTATTAGGTAACTATGTTTACTAAAAAAAAAAAACAATAATATGCTAGATATATATTTTAACTTACTACAACTTATTTATGTGTATTGAGTGCAAATCTTATTCGCATTAACTGTCTCAATCTAGCTAACGATCAAATGTAGACATATTAATACTGCGCATCTCTTATTATACCTTGCCTAGTAACAATAACATTGTTAGAAGATATACTAATACCTGCAGTACATGATAGGACATATGCAAACTGTATGCTTACTTTTTGAGCTTTTTCTAACACTGTCGTTACCCATTGTTAAGTTTCTATCTCTATCTCTCCCTTGCAATTAATGGATATATAAATTGCATGTATGCTATCTGTTTCTAACAATTTTTATTCACGGACATCAACATAATTGCATACATTATGGTGTTTAGGTTGAAATAAGAATTTAACCACAAATAACACATTTTAAAAAGAAGAAATAAAAAAATTACAATCATTTTAGGATTTTTTTTATAGCCGTTATTTATTTTTCTTTTAAATAATTTAGAAAATCATAACGCAATGTCCTCAAAAATATTCTCCTTTTTAAATGTTCTAATATTTTAGGTTGAGTTTTAGTAAACTCTACATTCTAAACATCTTAAGTTGTAAGTAACGTTATTCTACTACGTAGCTGACTCCAGGGACGTGCCAAAGATGTGGTTTTAGAGTTCAAACCACTCCCAAATCGACTGTTTTTTTTTTTCAAATTAAAGTTATTTAAAAAATAAAAATGTACATAAGTATAATACTATAGGAAAATTCGAAAATATAACAAATGATATTTGACAATCTATGGATTTTATTCGTTTTTCTATATTTCTGCGTACTTGGTGGTACGGCGGCAGTTTATTATCGCTGTTTTTGGGTTTTATGTTGATTTTATTAAAATCAGCCTTGACTATACTGGTTGACATTATCGCGACACGCTAACATAACCCAGTATGACACAGCGTTAGCCATAATATAATATTTTGTTTGTTTAGTATTGACGTTTATATAAACGTGTAGTTCAGTAGTTGAGTACCATGCAATGTCTAAAAGTCGGTATTATCTATTTTAAAATGTAACGTTTTAAATGGAAATTTTATTAGACATAAGCGGCTCGTGGGATTCATTGGAGATGGGGCTCAAATATCAAAACTTACCACCCTTAATCGCTCTTGATTTTAAATCGAATTCCATTAATTTTCTGTATAAAAAAAACCTTGTGATACACGCTTGTATATTGTATAGTAGATAATAGATAAACAAACAATATTGTTTAATCATTTTTTATCCATCTCGATGTCTATAATAAAATAATTAGTGTTTGTCCTGTGCATAGACTTATATATCCAAAGGAACCATTCAGCATGAAAACGCTCTCCAGTTGGTGGAGTTTCATTTCTAGGACAAAAACACGTGAGATAATAAACGAAGTATTTTAATTGGCTGTTCTCGGATTGCAAATTTGCTTCCTTTCACACTAGGCTTTATATCACCCTATCTCTCCTGATTTGTTCGGACCGACCTTCGACTATATAAACTTTATAAGGTACCGACCATGCCTCCCAGTGCTCTGAGTGAATGTTCCGTCTAAATGTATAAGTCTATAATTCTGTGCCACGGCAGATGATTGACGAATGACAATGATGTGATGTGAAGACGATAAAACCGAGATAATCTCGTAAATCGTAATAAAAATAGAATCCGGTCACAACGTTGTATAATTCACGTCAAAAAGTTGGTGGAAATCTGGTATTGTTTATCAGGGCACAACGAATATGTTCTCAAATTTACATAAAATATCAAATCTATTTTGTTTTTGAAATTAATGTAGTACCTATATACTTACATTAATTTGAATGATATTATTCTAAGTTTTGAAATATAACTTTAAAACTTTAACGTTACGCTAAATCACCCCCCCCCCCAAAAAAAAAAAAAGAAATTCTGGACAAGCCCCTGGCTGACTCTTAATCAAATTTAAGTCAGTTTTTTTTTTCGTATTGTTTAAATTTTTATTTAGTTTGTACCCATATAGGTTATTGATTCAGAGGAAACTATTTATAAAATAAAAAACGTGGTTATAGCCTTATCCAATTTTTTATATTACTTTATGATTTGTGTAATGAATGAATGGCTAATTACAATCTCTAATTATTATATTATGGCATACACTTCGTAAGACACTACTTTCCGACCTACTTCCCGAACTTGGTCAATTATAGCCTATAGGTTGTGGGTTTGTGATATTTCATATATGAATTTTGAATCGTATAGGTCTTCACCGTTTTAGATAATATTTTAACATTTTAAAATTAAAATAATGGAAATTCATAATTTTTAAATTATAATCCAAATTGTGACAAAATATATTTCATATAAATTATATTTACTAATAGAGATTGATATCTAATATTTTTTACCCATGAACATTTACCCCTTGATAACTAACCCCGTCTACAATACAAACTTCCTAGAGACTTTCGATAAACTATCAGGCGATAAAATATTTCCCTTATGAATAATTTATTATCCACTGGTAAAAATTCACTATTGGAATTTGACCGGTGGAAATCATAACATTTCACTAATGATTATTAATATGTATAAATTGGTATTATTAGTTATTAATTATTATATATTGGTCAAATATTTTACTTCCTCATCCCCGTTCAAATATCACTGTTACTATTCATCTATTATATGACTGTATTATCATTTTTTTAATTATTGAAAATATTTATCAAGTTCTAAAAATGTAGGTAGATTTCAAAAAAAATAACTATGTATAAAGAAACTCGTGTTTTTAAAATCATTTTTTTTTTATTTTAGTTTTCTGTATGACGTAATACATATACACCCGGTATACCGTATACGGTATTTTCATATGTACAATTATACCTACAAATTATATACTTTTAACCTCATATAATGTTTGAATTATTTATTAATCACACTGTTTTAAAAAATATAGAATCGGATTATGCAGATTCGGGCGTAGATTCGGAATCAAATTCGAGACCCGGTGTTTTTGAAACAGTGCAAAATTGGTTGCAGTTGAAATGATTGATAAGAAGCATTAAGACATCATATCCATTACATAAAACGACATTATTAAAATCGTTTGTTTAAAAAATTTGTTTATAAAATGTATAATGTATTTTATTGTCTATAATTAATAATAAAATTATAAAGTAAAAAAAAAATTATTAAAATGGTTAATGAGTATTAACCATTTTAATAATTTTTAATAAATAAATATATTATTAATAACAAACTTATACATAAAAATCAAAAATAATAATAATAATTTGTTTTTCATTTCAAATTGTAATGCATTTTTATGGTGCTAAAAATGTTCTATCCACATAAATCAAAATATTGTGGGTACGTAAAATGTTGTGATTTTAACAATTTTTATCGAAATTTAAACATGTCTTGTGTTTAGAAATTACAATACAGTTAATATTATTATTTTAGATTCTGAATGTAGCGAAGTAAGCTTCCATTTCTACTAGGATGCATACACTCTAAGATAAGAACACTTCTTCGCTTAATAAAAATACTCTAAAACGTTATCATCGTACTTTGATAAATGTGGATTTTTCACCCGGTGCTTCTTCATTATAATAATTTATTAAGATTTCAATACATTTTTCTACAAAATAACAAAAAAAAATTGTCAATAAATGACGATAAATCCGTTTTATTTTTGTTGATTTCTGGGTTACTATATATCTGCTCGGCTACAAGAGGAGAAATGAAATTAACACTACACCCTTACCAATTTGCTTCACTCAGAATCGTTATTGAACGCTATGGTTTATCGCTTTTTTCACTATACACTATAAAATAAATTATCCTATATATAATATGTATCATACAATTTTCTACTGTGAATGTCCGTTTACCCGAAGTTGTTTTTCCCCAATAGACCATTGCAATTATTCGTTTTGAATATTCTAATTTGTATGCTGTTCCTTTTAAAACCGCATTATAATGTATTTTTAAACATATTTCGAATTATTTTTATCAATGCGTAATACTATATATTGTATATCTATTTCAGCTTAGCCACGCAATTTCGTTTCAATCGCAGTTAAACGAAATCAATTCACTGTAATAGTATCAAACGATGAAATTATAATATTTACCTAAAAATTGTCATAATAGTTTTGTATAGCTTTGGAATAGATGGACAGCCAGATAGGTAGGCACCTATTAAAACGATGCTAACAACACAATATACCACGTTATTTCAATAGGTACGATTAATAAATTACCCGAGTGCGTATTATACTTCATATGCTTAGGTAATATGCGTTTTGTAGTGACTTCAGACGTCGCGCGAAGTGTTCATTAAATTGTACACCTGCATTCCGCAACAATCAATACATAAATAACATACTATAATGTTCTTTTTTCTCAGTCTCGGTCGTTTAAGATCACGTATGACAATTTACATATTACCATATTGTCAATATTATTATTACATGTTACGTACCTAATTGAATTATATGCCGTACAACAACTAAATGAACACAACTATCCCTGTTACATTAAAAACACTTTTACTTTTGATTTGTATCAATTTGATTAAGTAGACACATGCAATTAGTATAATACATTGATTGATTTTCTAATACAATTAATTTAACATTTCTTCTTCTGACGGCGGTTCAGTGTTGCCAAGTGTTATTTTCAAAATTCACTAAACATCGTTTAAAATCCCACTTAAAATATTTTCGCCAAATTATACTTCTAATTACGTTAAATTGTTCAAAAACCCACTAAATTTCCCACTGACAAAAAAAAATTATTGAAATGACCTTTACTTGTATGCCAAGAAGTCATGTAAACCTATTGCACAGTTGAAGATATACTTTTATACATTTTATGTATATGAATTAAGTATTAAGTAAACCTTTAATTATGTAGCTTTTTTTTTTCTAAGTTTTACGAGCCATTTTGATTCTTAGCTACCAAAATTACTTCCTTCCATCGTTCTCCATGATATACAAATATTACAATTTAAAATAAAAAATAAAAGAATGTTTATAAAATTGAATATTTTACAAAATATGGTATTTATTTAACTTCACTGAAGTTAAAACAATAAAACATAATGCACTTTTATGTTCCAAAATGTAAATCTTTCATTTTTTTTTTTTTGGTCATAGCTATTGAAAATGTCACCAAATTTTCTAAAAACCCACCAAAAACTACACTCACTACTAAGTATTATTTTTTTCCAGTAAATATTACCCTAAAACCACTAGATTTGGTGGGAAAACCACTTACTTGGCAATTTCATTATTTCCGTTTTGATAAATGTTATTTCTTGTGAAAACAAAGTTCGAAATAGCCCCACCAAAAAGCATAAAGAAAAAAACCTAAACATGTATTTAAAAGCAAAAACCTATGTGACATAAATTTATAGATCTAGCTTTGTGTTACGACATGAAATACATTTCTTTCAAACCGGCTTTTTTTACGACTGCACAGAATAAATAAGCAAATTTTAAAAGCCCTCTGCCCTAATTAAATCATATTAAACCAGTGTAATATTATCTCATTTAAACGTAGATACCTAATTACTCGTGTAGGCAATATATTACACGTGTTTGTATTGTCGAGACGTATTTCTAGCGCCTAAATTTCGGGATTACATGTTACCACAGGATAAATCACTTGGCAAGAGCTAAGCGATAACGGGAGACGCAGCCGCGCGCACGGTTTTGTACGTTAAAAATTGAATTTGGGTAGTACCGCGCGCTTTCAATCTGCATGCGATTGTGTACCGTCTGTTTGTCAAAACCGGGCTCGTACTTATAGGTTGGATAATAATATGATATTAGTTGCATACGGTCTTATGAATGATTTTGCAGTCGTGAAACGAGCAAAGTACCAATAAAGTCCACGAAAAGACGCAACGGATGGGAAAAAGCAGAAAAGTAAAAAAAAAAAAATAATACACAACGGAATATAAACAAAAGGGATTATACGATAAATAAATCGTACGTGTGGTATTATTATTATTATTATACATGGTGTGTGCGCGCGCGTGTGTATAAAAACAACATAGTACACAATAGGTATATACATATGTACACATATAATTCGTATAGTATTATACACGCGCACAGCAACGGTCGCGGTGGTAGCCACAAATAGTTGGCACCACTGTAAACGCTCGGTCTGGTGAACGCACGGTGCGTGCGCGCGCGAGGTTTTGATGTTTGGACAATATTCCGTTGGTGGGGTGGGAGCGACCCGACCGATGTGAACACACTGCTGCGCTATGACGAATGGTCTGCCGGATCGCCTAGTGAATTTCGACTTTTCCCCGGTTTTCCGCTAGCGTTCGGTTTGTTTTTTTTTTGTCGCTCTCGCCCGTCGCAACCGCGCTCGCCGCGTCGGGCCGGCCCTGAACACCGCACCGAACGCACGAGCGACCGCCGCCGAACCGCGGGACTGTCGCCGACGTTGCACGTTATTTTATTATATTTTTTTTACTGACGTTTACGCATAGCGTGTGTCGCCATTTTGTGTTGTGTTGCGCTGTAGTGCGCGCGTGTGTACGAATACAAAAAAATATTTAACAACGGTCCGTAGCTGTGCCGGGCGTTTTTCTCGCACGCGTCCCGACGCCGAGACGACGACCGTGGTGGTCCGGCTGCCGGACGACACGATACGGGACGCGCGCCGTCGACTGGACTGTGCCGCCGCCGCCGCCGACGTCGCCGCCACCGCCGTCGCGTACGTGCGAGCAGCGCGGGGTGTGCGCGTCCGTCACAGATCCGCCGCGGCGTAGATAACGGCCGCCGCCGGTGATAACGATGCAGAGACCGCCGACGACGTGAAATGCTCACGGACATCGTCCAGCGCTGACGAAACAGCCCGCGTGTACTCGGGCCTCCGTGGTCCGCTTCAGCCTCCTTTGCCACCGTCGCAACGACTCCGGGCATTCGTGCACAGCAGTAGGCATGGCCAGCATCCTGAACAAAGATCCGGCCAACTACGCGAAGGAAAAGGCCAGCTTCCTCAGGGATCTCCAGCATTTCCACGATACCAGAGGGTAAGCGAAAACCCCAGTACTTTTTATCACCAAGTAGGGTTTTTTCGGGCGAGCTGGTGGAACCCGGAGGACAATGGTGTTGGCGGGATACCTTCAGTTGTTACATGCCCGGTCATACCGAGTTCGATTCATAGTTTCTCGGTTCTCTTCACTCCCCCCCACCACGATTTGTATCGCCTTTCCCAATACCCGTTGCACATCTGTCACTCCCGAGTCTTTCCCTCCAAAACCCTGGTCGAATCCTCGGCCGACCTACCGCGGTCGACCCTCGCATACAGTCGCCGCTCGAGTGACGGCGGTGCTTTTTAATCGTCGTCCACGCGCGCGACGTTCGGCGTCCCCGTCCGTCATGTGACCCTTGACGTGTCCCCGCGTCGGGACGGAACTCGTCGGTAGGATTCCGCGACGTTCCGTTCGCCGCTGTACCACCAATTGTTCCATTGGCGAACTCGTGCGGTTTTCTTATTTTATTTTATTTTATTTCATTTTAACGGCGAAGTTAAGTGGAACGAACGGTGGTGCGGAGGTTGTGTAATTAATAATATCCGTGATAACAATCGAGACATATTGCCCGTCCGACAGACGGGACGTCCAAAGCTGTCGTTGTAACGATTACCCATCCGATTGCGATAAAACAATATTGTTTCCGACTCCAGTCGACCGCGGGGATCGGGAGGACTCCGGATGGTCGAGCCCTATTTGGGGCCCCTGTCTCGTCCGGTCTCCATATCCGACGCGAACGTCCGCGCGCGTATTATTGTTTCGGGGTCGTGTGCGTTAAGTATACCGAACAACAATAATGCGTTTGCCCCCCCGACGGCGGTCTCGTACTCGCAGATTTCAAAAGTCTCCTCTCTCGGTTCCCATCGAATATTGGCTGATCCGTGTTCCGGCCACGACGACGACTCGTCAACTTGTTTCGTTTTTTTTTTTTTTGCCGCGCGCCCGCCCGGCCGCAGCGTGTTTTTAACTGTTATTTTATCGATTAACTGGGCCCGATCTATAGTAATTATTTTAATTACTTTGTAGTTTGCCCGTATTCAGTCGTTATTCGTAAGCGGCCACCGGGCGTCTAGCGTGTTGCTGCGTAGAACCGCGTACTCGTCTGTAGTAGAAAAATATTAATTTAAATCGAAATTGTAATTCTCCATAAACGGATTGTCGTCTCAATAGTGCGTCGGGTAGAAGCCGACGATTTGCATTGAGTTTAGCGTACGCCACTGGACGCGCTTTGCAATCTCGCACGTGCACCGCGCGCTGCACGTGCATTCGGAACAATTCAGTGCGTTTCTCGCCGCCGTGAACTTTCTATGGACCGGGGCTTGCTTTTATCATCGCCGTGTAAATATGGTTAGTGGTTAATTCGCATTGCATATAGGTACGTCACCCCCGGAACGTTTTACCGCCGCCGGTGAACTGCACAGCCGGGTAGGCAGAACCGTGCATAGTAATACACGGTTCAGTACTAATCTTTCGGATAGGTACTGCGTGAAATCCCCGTGCGGTTTCAATTTTGTTTTAGATTCGAAACGTAGCGAATGGAATGTAGATCGGTTTCGCGTCGGTTTTTTTTCTTAAAAAAAAAAATAATAATAATAATAATAATAATTGTACATACGGTGAGCGACTTTTCCACCCGAAATCATGCTCGCCGACATAGGTGTATCACCAAGCGACGCACTTTTTCCGAAAGGAAATATTATCCAGTTGGCACTTCAGAGAGATCGTTTTTGTTTTTTTGTTTTTTTTTTTTCTCTGATTTTCCAAGCGGGGTTTTCATTAGCGATTGGGGAAAAAACGGAAAACACTGTACGTACACTTATGACCGACGAAACTTCGCTCCAAACAATGGTTTGTCGTTAAATTCCCATCTGTATCCGATAACCTACCCTACTTTTCACCTACAACAGTAGCCCACCCGCCGTGCCATATATATATATCCGTCGTTTTTTTTGGTTTCCAAAGGGGGAAACCAATACGGGGGGAATGCCGGTGTCCGATCAGCGCGTACGGCCATTTCAATATCTTGTTGACCTGACGAGATATTATTGTCGTCAAACGAATTCGACGCGTGGACGATTCGTATCCGACGATAAATGTGTATTCTCCGTGTTTGAAGTTTCTGAAATGTTTAATTACCCAATTGCGTATCTACCCGACCCAACAAACAACATTGGTACCTAACAGAACTACCGAAATCGGTAATAATTGTAAACGTCGTGTGTAGTAGGCGGAGGGTTCGCGTAATTTGTAACCGTATGAAAAGAAAATAATATGCCGTACGTTTCTGTCGGGAATTATTATCATTACCACAATGGTTATTAAAGACATTTGCGTGTTATTGTATTTCCACGAGACTCTAAAATAATATCGCGGTGGTAGTCCCGTTCGCATATCGAGATTGCTCGTAAATGAACATGTCTGTTTTGTTCCATTTCCAAAAGCGATAAATGATGTCAGTGCCTATCTAATTTTTATTTTTAGAACTCTAAAACATTTATTATTGTCTTGTATTATACGTGTCGTGTTATTGATACAATAATAACGTTATGATGTCGTTACTCGGTGGTAATTGATTCATTACATAACCGTTTGTATTATTTCCCCGAGTACGGACTATTTTCGTTTGTTAATCCCGTGCCGGCGGAGAATAATGAAAACATCAAACTCGTCATTCACGTGTGATGATTGATTGAGGCCGAGCGCCCTGCCCGGTACCGTTATCTTCTCCTTTATCCGATATGGATTTATTAACCTATTTTATCGTGGTAACAATTATTTATTTGTATATTGTGTTTCTGTTGCAGGACACCGAGCCGCGCCTCGCCGAAAATAGACGGAAAGGAGATCGATTTGTATCTGCTTTATGTATTGGTCACCGCACAAGGCGGATGGGTTAAGGTGAGCAGAATTCATTTTACGTCGATATCGTTGAAAAAAACATCAGCATAATATAAAACTGAACGGAACATTCGCCTCGATCGATTATTGTGAAGAATATGATACGAGTACAGCCATAATAATTTTGAGCCATAACTATTGGTATTATTATAGCGGTCGGCGATAAATAATCGTTAAAAATTCGCCTCGAACCCGAGACCGGAAAAATCCGTGCCTAAAAAAAGTAATACTGTTATTTATTTATTAATTCGCTTTCACCGGACCTATATCTGCTCGATTTGGAACGACGTAGTAATCGTGCACGTTTTTTATTTTCGTCCACCCAGTCCTTTTATTCGGAACAACAATAGTATCGGAAACTCGCAAAAATAATAATAATAATAATAATAATAATGATAATAAAAACGACGGCGCGAGATTTATAATGCGTCTCGAACAAAACTTTATAAACTAAACAAAGACCAAACTTGAAGAGTAATAATAATCATTTTGCGGTTTAGCCGCGTTTGTGTCGGAATAATAATTATTGTCGTCGCCCCCGGAGTGCAGTGGGGAAATATAAAAAAAAAAAAAAAAAAACCGAAATCTGATTAAATTTCAAATTTGTCAGGGCGGATGACGGTCGCGACGGCGGTGACAAAATAGGTAACGGCGAGTAGTGCTCTCCGCGTGCAGATTAGTCAATGAAAACTAACCGACTGTCTCCGCCTCACCGGGTGAAAAACACCATGGTATCGTTTGGGAAGCGACCGCGTGGCGCTCGGGCGACCGTTAGCAGTGGTAGAGTCGATCGCTCGATTCGCGCGAGGTGCCAGTGTATACGTTGCGTACTACAAGTGCACGCAAACACGATCGGTCGATCTCTGCGATCTAAAAGCAGTCGGCGGCGCAGCGCTTATCACGCGACGCCGCCGCCCTACCATGTACCACCGTACGTAGTTACGTGCAGGCCCGGCGTCACTATCACTGTCGCCGGTGACTTACTGCTGCCGCCGCCGCCGCCGCCGCCGTCACCGCCCCCCCATCCACCATACCGATCCACACTAGTCTCGGCGGCGCACGTGACCACCGCGACGCGGTCCTGACCTAGTGCACGGGCCGCGGATTGTTTACATTGCCGCGGTGCCAGGGGCCCCACTTCCGGTTCCCGAATACCGCTCGACCGCCCACATCGTCCACCCCTCCCACCGGGCGCTCGATCACTCTCACTCTTTCTCCGCGAATTCCGCGTAATTGCCGGAAAAACAAACCCGTGGAACGCGTTCCCGACTGGCGAAATAAAAACATGTACAGCCGTATTGCGAGCGAAAATTATTATTATTTATCAGGGCAGTCCCGCGCCGCCGTGTATTTCTGTTTTGTGTACAACGCCATGTGTGCGGCCCGTACTCGTACCGTTCGCGCGTATATTATTTATATAATATAATATGTATACGAATATATGTATGTATGTAAGCATAGAAGAAAAAAAAAAAAAACAACTCATTGTGTAACGTTCTACGGTTGTGATGTTTATTGCGTTCGTTGTGATGACGGTCGGTGTAATCGGCGGTGGTGCCCGCGCGCGTACGTCAGGCGGCATCGTGGCGCTATTGAACGGATCCGGGGGCGCGCACGACGCGGCAACGTGGCACGCTTGGCCGTAGCTAGCGCGGCGGCTGTCAACGTTGGCGCGCCGTCGCCGTCCGTTCGCCTTTCCCCGTCCGCTCCCACCAACGCGCGGCCGGTCGCCACCGCAGTTCACTGAAATCCAGCGGTGCGTGCGTCCGCGCGCGCGTCTCTTTTTCCCCTACTCGCGCACCTATCTAACGAAAATACTACACGCCGCCTCCGCCTCCGCCCGTATCTCCGACGGTCGTCGAACCGCTTCCGGCCGGCCATCGCCGTACCGTGTGGGCTCCCGTAACAACAACGACGCGCCGAATACATTATTGTTATTATTATTTCCGCGGCATTTCTCGCGCGCACCGCGTTGTAATATTATTATTATTATTATTATTTTGTCGATATAACGGAAGTTTGGCGAACGTTATTTTTTTTTTTTTCTCGTCCGTTTCTTTTTTCCTTACCCCCCCCATGTTTGTTTACGCGTGTATTTTTATCCTGGGACGGTGTCAACACTGCTACCTTTCTCTCTCCGCGCGTTTTATCGGCCGCCGCCGCCGCCGTCACCACCCCACGGGTCCGCTTTTCGACAATAACTATCGCGACGACGGCGATGATTATAATAATAATAATAATAATAAAAATATTATTGTTGTTCTTATTATCTCGTACTGTTGCCAGCGTTCCCGCCTCGTAGCGAAACGATTATGATCGTTATGATTTTCACTTATATTGTACGCGTAATATTATTTTGGTAATATTGTCGCGGGCCGCCGGACCGGGCAGAATTGATCCGAGCTATCCGTTCCGGTTCGATATTTTACCGCGTACGCGAAATAACAATACAAGAGTCGTTCGGTCGGCGGCGCCTCTCCGTCGGCTCGTGATTTTAATTACTCTCGAGTAATAATTCCGCCGTCATCCCGCGCGTGTAACAATATTAATAATAATATTCGTTTATCGGAGGCGGTCACCGTATGCATATTCGAGCGCGCAACTTTTTGGTCCGTGAAGAAATATTCCGGGTTTTTTTTTTTTTTTTTTTGGCACGTTCCATTTAAACAGAACACGCACCGCTTTTTTAATGACATCTGGTGGTTTTTCAACGTTATCCGGACGTGCGTTTGCGCACACCGTCGGTGTTGTGATAGTATCCGTTTTCGTTTACAATGTTATATGGTTTGTTTTTTTTTTTTTCTGTTTCCTTTAAAACCAATTATCGTTTACGGCCGAGTTGTGTTTGTCTTTAATTGGTCGCCGTCGCCCTAAAATCGATAGCGATATTGCGTCTTGGTTTATTTTTGTTATTAGAAAAATATTGATTGCATTCGATTTTTTTTTTTTTCTCACAACATTATCACCGGTATTATTAAAACCCACTATCACAATATTATGCGCGTATTTTTATTTATTAATTTTTTTTTTTTTTTGCCCTACAATACTATTTTTGAGCGCGTGGGTCGTCTGCGAACGGCATAATGTTCGTGATTTTACGCTCAATTCGTTCGCAAAGAGAAATCCCGAACCTCCGGTAGCGTACCCGCAATACCCGCGGATCGCGTTGTTTTCCTATAGACGGCAATGGTCGTTTTTTAAACTCGAGAGAATCTGTTGAGTAAACAATGTCTCTACGAGAATCGCGCACGGGCGTCTAAACCAACCGACCATACGTGGCGTACTCCCTGGCGAGATGTTATGCGTCTTCTAGAAATTAAATAATTAAATATTTAATTTTAGAAACGAGTTAGGGGTGAGTGATGGTGGAAGTCGCCGAAATCAAAAAGGAACCATGTGCTAGGTCGGTGTTTCCCGGGTTTTTTGTTTTTGGTTTTTTTTTTTTTTGTCTTCGCGAATTTTTTCGATTTCGTTTACTGCGGCTGTTTATAAACCGTGTGTCGGTGCGAGGGAAATTAATCTAGGAAAAAAGCGACACGGCGAAAACCGACGGGGTAAAAAAACGTCAAATGCATTCTACTTGAAAAATCACAAACGTTAGTTTCAAGTCAATAATAATAAGAATAATATTATACATTATTCTAAAAGTGTCGTGAACCATACGCTTTGGTAATGTAAAGTTTATTTCATAAACAATAAGTGCATAAAAGATCGCGAACAAAGCGTGCTTTTTGATTTTTGTACATATTTAAAAACAAATAATACTATTACTATTTAAAAATATTTAGCCGACCCCCCCCTCCCATACACCAAAAAGAAAAAAATCCAAGGCACACCTTTGGAACGAACTTTAGATCGCCGTACGACGGAAGTTATTTGATCGGAGGTCAGCAGCCTGAAATTAGCTGATAATATTTGTAATTTTTAAGTAAAATATACATTTGACGTTTTTTTTCTTTTACCCTTGTCGGTTTTCACCGTATCGTATTTTACTTGACGTTTTTTTCCGATTACCGAGGAAAATAATTCAAGTGACGACAATAGCCAAAATTTTTTTTCGGTCGGTCTTTCACGGGCCCCCGATTTGAGAGTCTGCTGCGCCGCCAGTCCGTGCGAATGACAACACAATTTTTTTTTTTTGGCGTTTACGTCGTAGCATTGTAGACGTGAGTCTTGCGTACAATTGTATCTGTTCAATTAAATTGCATAATCGTAATGCAATCTGCCGCACATTTTATTTCATTGTAAATTATTGTAATGAAACATCAGTCCAGATACGTTGTATTTTACGGATCAAGCGAATCACAATGAGTATTAACAACAACACGCTTTACACGCATAATTAATTGTTTTTTTTTTTTTTAATCGCATATGGTCTGTGGTATTAATACACATTTTGTGCTATTCATATTTTTACGAACAATATCGACAATTATTATTATACGTATTTACTAATGTAAATGTGTTCGGTTTGGCCGTAATTATTTATTACCAAGTAATAAATAATGAGTCTTATTAGTTATTGCTTTTCATGTGCAGCACCAAAGTCGCACGTAATTTTGCCCGCCTTAATGAAAAATTCCGTATCCATCTTTTCCGAAGTCTCGTAATCGTGTCACCGCCTGTTGCGACAAGAAAAAGTCGTATCATCCACACTCCATGGATTGATAATATTGCACGGACAGGGCTCGACGTTTAATTTGCGAAGAACGAAGTTTTATGGAGCGGCGCCGTATATTTACAACCCTTACGTTTGTCGGTATTCATTTGCCATGGCATTTCTGATAGCAACCGCATCTCATCATCATTAGGAATGTTTTAACGCGATAAGTAATTGTTTTGTGATAATTGGCGAAGAGAACTGTTCATAGATATTGTACACCACTAGACATCTAACACGATGATGTTATTCAAACTCGGTCCCATGACGCCGTCGGCCGTTTAAAGAGTGGCAATTGTGTTTGTAAACAAATTTTACAATTTTTTTTCTACATTATTCGGCTTGCTGCCTTTGAACCGTGATTTGTCGATTTTAATGCTTTTTGGATTTCGGTTGCATTTGAAATAAAGGAAAATTACATTTTCTGAGTTTTATCATAATCAATTAAAACCTCGATTTCAACGATTCTTTTCATGTGGCTGGCAATTTGTGTTTGGATATTGTTAATGTCTCTCGTATCTGCTGTTTTTCCTGTCATTTCAATAACAATATGATTCGATTTTTAATTCTTGTTTTTATGTGTTCCAAATCAAGTTAATTGGACTTAACGTGCGCCGTCTAACAAATGCACGATATAACAAATTTTCGTTTAGCAAGGACAACTGTTTTTTGTTGGTTTAATATCATAGTAAATTGATTTGTTATTTAATTTAACGGCGAGAAAATTATCTACACAATTACGCCGGATGTTTATTTGAATTTTCAAGCGAAATACATAATATAAGTATTTTAAAATTGTGGTATTTCACATGGGTACTCATATCTCACTTAAAAATTAAAATATCGAAAAAAAATCTAATTAGTTTATATAGATAATAATGTTTAATTTTGATAATTGGAAAATTCACTCTAATATCAAAACTAACAACACAGAGTTCTTGTTGATGCCAAACGAAAATCGTTGTTGACAGGCGCTTGTAATATGAAAATTGCGCATGCGGATGTGTCATGGCGTGATCTTAACGTTCTTGGGGTAACGATTTTAGACATCCTAAAGTAGAATAGGTACTGTAATTATTGTATGCAATTTAAAACTTTATAATTTGATTATAAATTATTATTATTTCTCAAATAATATACCAGATTTGTTTGAAAACTACATAATATATAATGTTAAAACGAAATAAAATTTTTAAAATATTTGCGAAGAAAATCCGGAAAAGAATATTTTGGTCATGCATAATAGATGTAAGAACTGATGGGTGTAAAAAGTTAAGACAACCGCGAACTCACGGACCTGATTTAACGTCCTAGTATACAACTGGAGACAGTTGAACGAAAAGGTTGAAACAGATCGATGGGAATTCGGTAGAAAAGGCATTGTATGGCAAGGGATGCAGAAATGGTGGAAACTGGAATTTACAACGGAGAAAAGAAGTAGCAAAAAATAGGAAGACAAATATTATCGGGAGAGCTGGTTTTTAAAGCCCCCCTCCTTTTTCATTAACCCTTTTGTAAAATAAAAAAAAATATCTAATCGATATTTTTATATTCATAAATAATATACTATTTACTTTATGTTTTCAAAATCAAACTTATTCATACAATTTTGGCACGGGTATTTTCATAATATATTTTTTAGTACAGTTTATTATACAATAATTTATTGTGATGACTTTTTCGTGTTTGTAAGCGATACGAGTGTACCATAATATTGCTATTGAAAACGTCCTATACTGTGGGATAATTAACAATCGGTATGCAATGGACTTAGTCAAAAAATAGCATATCGAAAACTTTAAGTTTATGTAATTTTAAAATAGTTTATAAATCGTTCGGTCATTATATTATTATTTTTAGTGCACTTCGTAATACCAATACATTAAACGCCTATCACTTATAAATTTGAAGGGTGGAGGAACACCATAGCATTTGAATAAGTAAGATCACGTGTCGTTAATCTTGTGTTTAACAATATAATACCGATATTATTTTGGTGTGACTAACGTGAAACGTCCGACTATACATAAAAAAAACAGAGTTTGTAAAATTCCACGTTTTGTATACGCTTATCGAATACAAATAATATCTGTAGAATATTGAGTGACGCGCCTAGAAATGTTCAATGAGATGGGATGTAGTAAAAAATTATCATTTATTACGAATGAATCATAATAATATATAATCTTCTTCTGTATCCGCGTTAAATTGAAATTGTATCATATGTGCCATAATGTAGTTAATAATTTGTTATTCTTATTATTTTGTTTCGCTGACACAAAATCATTAATGTTATTCATTTTCTTTAATTTTAATTGTTTTCTGTTTCTGCCTTATGATTAAATGGGAATTTAAAAACGGAGGTCTATAAAAGCCAATTTTTATCCAATAAATCAAGCTTTACTTTCCGATAAATATGTAAGTACGATTCAAACTTAAATTGCTAAATGGATATTCATAATATTTTTGTATTTTTAAACCTGCGGGAGAAGGTTTAATCACCCCGGCTCACGTCACTGATCATATTACCTCGTTGTTCTCTGTATGCCGTTCATCAATTTCCGTTGGTTCAGTTGCCGAACACCATATTTCATATTCTATAATATTAAGAGATTATGACATTGTTATAGCAGTATATTAGGTATGTTATAATAAGTAACAAATATTTTAATTATTTACATGCATAGATAACTCGAGAGCCTAGTAAGTCGTCTTTATCTCACACTCGAAAAGTGATTTTTTTATTTAACAAACTATTTAAAGTATCATATGAAATTGATCGAACTACTTAATAAATAGTACAAGTACATAATCCAAGAATTATTAATTGTACTCCGGTAATTAAGATAATTTGTGTGTTTTATAATATTCTTTACGTCGGTTATTCCATATTGTTTAATTCATTATAAACAATTCGGTTTAATTAAAGAATCCCTGTAAAATCCCTGTACTCTTGTATGATTCACCGAAAAGGTTGTCCGCATATATTATCCTATGGCAGTAACATAGCTGTGGATTTAAGTATTCTGGGTTAAATTGTGTGTCCTATAGCTACAGTTTTTTTTCCTGTTGGGATGCGTTTATTTCAAACCGCAATATCTCTCCAACCCATCCACCATCGGTTTAAAAATACACAAGTGAGTATTTATTTAGTCATTTTATCGTAAAAATTCTTATAATTCAGCTAATATGTTACAAAGATTGGCTTGATTTATTGAACACAAATTTGTTTTTCTATGTCCAGTTTAGTAATAGTACGATTTTACGATTAATTCATGATTACTTTCCACTATATCCACTCCTATTGGACATTTTTCGGCATACCACTGCTTCCCAACATGCAAATCTCAGCGATTTCAATTACCGAGGTATCAGTCCCAGGTTTCAAATCCAAAATACCTTTATATTATTTTCATTTAAAAATAAAATACCTATTATAAATTACAATTGCTGAAATTACAACTTTAGCACCCTGATGGATTTGCCACCTCTCCTGCGTCCCTTTAGCTACGCTTCTGTCCTAAGGGGAGGAAAAGTTGTATAGTACTTACAAAAATCAATTTTTATTGAATTTTCGTATACCAAGAGAGTAAATGACCTTTCATGCCCACCACCCCTTTTCAGGCGCCTCTATTTACCAATATTATACGTTCCGCTATCAAAACCTGGCAAATTGTGTTTGCATAAAACCGACAAGTCGTGTGCTTTTTTTTGTATTTATAGTTCTGAAGAAATTTGTTTATGAATGTAATATTATTTATTAACATGTTTTATTAAAGAACGATGGGAATCCCTGTGTGTGTTTGTGTCATCGCAAAGTATTATAATATTTTGGTATGAAAAGTAAGTGTTGAAAAAAATACATTTAGAATATCACTATAATTTTTTTTTTTTTTTTTGACAATTTCATAAATAATGAACGATGAAAAGACTCGGACTAATATTATTCGCAATGACATGTGCACGTACTACATACGTAGACATTTCGATCCTATAGGTTTATTCGGTTATAGTTACTTACCCAGTTTTTATAGTTACTGGTTAAATACTCGTTAGTGTAGATACATTTGTATCATTAAAAGTATTATAAATTAAAATAGCATATGAGTAGATAATTGCACATTACGCTAATGACGTACCTACGTTTATATATATATTTTTTTGTCTTGATTTTATTGCGTGGTATTGCTCAAGTCGATTAATTTGTTAATTTTTCCAGTGCGGGTTATTATTATTATTATTATTGTCAATGACTCAAAAGGTTCGATAATTTATTTTTAAATTGTTTTTTCAACGAATAGTGTAGAATAAGACATTCGGCCATCTGCTCGATTTTTGTTTATCTGTGATCTAAAGTTTGATCCTAACGAATTGTTTGTTTCCATTAACCTGATGCCATACGTTTGTTTATGTTTGATATCAAAACTAGTGGTCAGTAGTGTCTATCATATTTTAGAGCATATCGTTTGAATTTCAGAGCTTCGAGACTATCCATTTATTTAACACGGAAATTTACGGAATGTCTAACCACCGGTTTATAATTAACGAATTATATCGTGTGTCGTCTTGTGGAATATAATCTACACTATGTCATCTAAAATAATATTATATTATGAACAAAATTGTATGTAAAATTTAAAATGTTAACTCGAATCTCATCATATTGGCTATTGTATCGCGATAAATTCAAGACCAAACTCAGGAACAAATATCATCGGGGTGGGAGGGTTAAACAAATATCATATTCAATTTGTATCGTTGTAAATTAGTAAACATGAGCAGTAAACTAGATAGGAACGGGCCCCGGGGAAATTAAAAAAATTGGCTCTATATACTAATACAATCTTTATAAAAATTCGAAATATACCACGTAAAAACTTTTAAGTCTAAATACTTACTATGAAACCATAAATGATAATATTAAACAGATACCCTCCAGGAAATCCAGTTTACTTTACAATTTGTTATACTATACAAATTATAACTATCCGTCCAGTAAATACTGATTGTGACTGAAGTTATCACGTACGATTTAAAACGTTCATTATTAATTACATAAAAATTTGCAATTAATTTAAGGAAGTAATTTCAGAATTGTCCGGGGACTTCCGAGCTCTGGGGTCCCGGGGCACTGCCCCACTTTGCTCTAAGATAGCAACGCCATTGAGCATAATTGCCCTGTTTTAGATTCTGAGCGCGTGGTGAGGAAGGTATTGGATTTTACTTTATAATGATGATGACGCTTGTGGTCTGTAAAAAATATCATTTCTACCAGACCTCTAGCCCCGACCATCAACTTTTGGGGTGGTTTCTGGTAGCAAATTTAATCCAGTTGGTACATTTGGACGGTCATTTTTTGATATTCCTGGTAATTTTTTTAATAATTGGGAAAAACCAGGAATATTCACGCAATAATGATTTCTTTTTTTTTTTTTCAATTCTGATTTTTAGTTTATTTTAGTTGATAATTTAGTAATGAGATTTGTAACGACTGTAATTTATATATCCGATTTTGTAACAGTAATTTTGGTAGATTAATATTGTTATCCGAATTTCGGTTTTTATTTTTATTTTTTTTAATGTATGTAAATCGCATAACCGTGACTCCCTACGGATTTATTTTTCTGTGGGTTTGTAATGATCAAATGATGATTATGTTATTGAAATTACCGACCGTGCTAACGAGGGCATGGTATCTACGTAAATCAAGAAATCAACTCAAAGAAAACAGCGTTGTTATTGTATTTTTTTTTTTTTTACGCGAGCCACAGATTTATCAGATAAAATCATTGTTTAGCGTTACATTGAATTACAATTTACAAATGCATTACATATTTTTTCGTGCGATTCTGTTACTGTTACACTGTGCAGAACTATTATAATTTTACAGACGTCTGTATCATAATTGCAGGCTGATTTTCGTGTAACCTCGCCCAAGAGAAACGCAAACGAACACGTTTCCTGTGTAAGTGAATGGCCGAAACTCAAAAATAGAATAATATTCGGATGTCTTGTCGGAATTTCCGTCGAATACGTAGATTAGCGAATGGGGTTTCCCGCGGCGGGCATTACAACGGAATTCGCACCGGTGCGGCTGATGATGTTGATCCATATTGGTGTGACGGTCGTGGTCGATAGTCCCGGTGTGTCGCCCGAGTGGGGTTTGTGGTGCATGCCGGTGGTTCGGGCCGATATCAATATTACAATGTCCCAACTACCTGTTATATATTCCGATATATATGTATAATAATAATACTGTCCCGTAATATTAAACCGTTGCATCTCGCCACCGAGACCGTGTCCGGCGGACAACTCCTCGTCGGCCCGGTGCACCGTGCGCGTCGGGACGGTTTCATGGACGTGCACTTGATCTTGACGCAAGGGGCCATCGATAAAAACACGACTTTGGCGGTGGGGGCTGCTGTTGGCCTCTCCTGTGCACACTGCCGCCGTGACGTCACCATTGCCCGATCAGCTGGATACCCCCGGCAGCAGACGCCACGTGGTTCCGTCGTCGTTGTCGTCAAGCATCTCCGCGAATCGCGCACACACGCACAACGACATTATTATTATTGTTGCGCTGCACTCTCGTGTGGGGGGAGGAGTATGGGGGGGCGCGCACACTTACGCACAAACACACGTGCGGCGCGTCCGCGTTTCCTTTTTAAATTTTTCCCGGTTTTTCCCTCACGCGTCGAGTTGACCTCCGGTCTCGTCGTTGGACGCGTATTGCGCGGTAATATTGCGTCGCGTTGACAACCGAACGCTTTACACGCTTTTGTGGTGTCCACTTTCGGGAATCCAGCCCTCGTTTTCACTGGGTTTTTTTATTTCCCCTCCTTTGTCGAGTTTTACCGCGATCAGCGCTTTCAGAACCGGTTCCTACCGCGCAGTCAATATATCAGCACACTGTCAGTCGTTGGCATTTTCAAATTTCTACTAAAAATGGTCTTTTCGAAACGTTCAAATTGTGATCGTTGAAAGTTAAAAGTTCACGAGGTTTTGTTTTTATTACAGACATATATCTACGTTGTATTTTGTTAAATTAGTAGGGATACCCAATCTATTTTATTAGGTGTATCATAGCAATGAATATTTAACGTTCAGCACACTCAACTAAAAATTTTTTTTTTAGACCTATTCTTATGTAACTTATCCGAGCCTTTTGATTTTTAAATGGATTTTATTTATGAAACACCACAGTACCGTCGATCTAATATAATAATAATTATAGTATAAATTATTGATTTGGTTTATTTAATTATTTTATCTGTCAAAACGAACATTATGTAATATTTCTAAAATACGACTGTTTCTTGTAATAGACTGCAATGGTTGGTTTTTGTGTCGGGAGATTTATATATATATATATATAAATCGTTTGTTAATATTTTTAACGTAGAATTATTGGTTAACACATCATTAATTGTCAATTAAAGTTAAATAATAATCTTACGTTAACATATTATTTTTCCAGGTCAACCAAAGAAATGACTGGAAGAATCTATTAGAAAATTTTGATCTGATTTCATCCTGTGTTAATGCTGAAGTTGCATTAAAACAAATATACCTAAGGTAAAGTTCAGTTTAAGTTAAATTAATTTTACATTACATTTTAGTACTTTCATGGGAAAAAAAAAAACAAATTCATTATAAATAGTATAATTATAATTTTATCCTTCTTTTGTTATTTTCATTAGGTACTTGGATCGTTATGAAAAAATTAACTTTTTGGGTGAAACTGGATCAATTGCTGGTGACGACGATGAAGACAGTAGACATAGAAAATGGTCTGCTAGAGCATTACATTCTGTTCCTTTAGTTTATAACCATCACCAACACACTGTTAATGGTAGTTTCATATTTTTTTCTGCATTATAGTATTATGTTTAAACTATTTTTTATGTATATATATTTAGAACCAGTAAGAGCATTTCATGGTTTATCAACAAATCTGTATAAAGCAAGTGATTATGATAAATTGTCTTTATCCTTGTTATCACCTTTACCTAACGAACAAGACCTGGCTATTAATGTTTGCATACTGTTATCAAATGAAAACAAGCATGCAATCAAATTATCCAAGTGTCCACAAATTCTCCACCATCTTTTGGCTCACGCTGGAGTATTTACTCACCGTAAGAATAATTTATAATTTATAATAATTATAATATAGATTATTGATATTTTTTCATGTTCATGTTTAATTAAAATATATTTTAGCTGCTTCTCGTAAGTATTGGGATGACTACTATAGAAAAGTTCGTAAATGGTCAATAAAATCATTTTGGAAAGAAGTTCTGGATGAACAAGAACTTATGTACTTGACTGATGAAAATCGGTTTTGTGCTCGAACACCTAAAACTCTACCACGAAAAGATGACGAGTCAAGCTCATGTAGCGATGACGATGATGATTTTAAAAATAATAAAGTCAAATTAAACTTTGATCCATCTGATGATGAATTATTTGGCCTTAAAAGGCCCCTGGGTACTGATGATCCTTATGGACAACGAGTTTATCAAGTGGCATTGATCCTTAGAAATTTGACCTTTTTTGAAGAAAATATGAAAGTTATGGGTCAAGACTTGACATTTCTAAGATTTGTATTATTGTGCTGTGCTACAAGATGGAACTGTTTGCATCAAATTGGGTTTGAAATGTTAGGTAACATCGGACCAGTAGTACCATTAGATGTAGGTTCCTTACAGCATGCCACATTAAATATTGTTTGTAAAAATATTACTGAATCCAATGATCGTTCCATCATATTAAGTGCGGTCGAGGCTTTGAATAGAATGGGCAGTAAAGAATCAAATGAAGAATTTTTATTGAAAAATATTAATCAAAAGGTAAAGGGAAAATAACATTTTTTTTTTTTAAAAAAAAAAAAAAAAAAAATTATTAACAATTTTGCTTTCCTTTCTGTAGGTATACGATAAAATTTGTAACATGTTATCTTTGCACGATATTATGTTACTAATACAAACACTGGAATGTCTGTATTCATTAAGTTCACTTGGCGAGCGTGCATGTAATGCAATTGTTCATGTACATGGCGTTATTGATACTCTGGTGTCTTTAATTACTGTTGAGGTAATTTTGTTCAATTCCATTTTATAATGAGCATAAATTATTTATTCACATTTATATTCTAATTTATATTATTTTGTATACACATATAGGCACAAACGTATGGTCCCAAAGCATGTATATTGATGAGAGTTATTGAAACTGTTACAACTCCTTCGACTACAACGTTTACACCAGAACCTACGCCGAAAACACATTTGATGGCAGCCCCTAGTGTTCCTCCACCTACCAATGTCTCTCAGAATCTTATTTCAACTTTCACATCACAGAATGTACTCCCTCTACCCACACCGGCTGTTGCTAACCCTGTTATATTACCTAACGCTCCGACTGCTGTACCAGTTATGTCTACGACTTTAAATACGTTTACAACTGTGACACCAACTGTCCCACCTCTTGTGCAAACTGTTGCTACCCCTAAAATAATTGTTCCAGGTATATTTTGTAGCTATATTTAACTTCAAACAAATTTTTTTTAATTATTTACTTATTTAGCTACTATGACTGTTACAACAAATTCAACTTTGGTATCTTCAAACCAAGTCTCTACTGCACCAAGTGTTGTTCCTCAACCAGCCAATGAGAGACAAGAGAATGAACAATTTGCTCTAAACTGGATACGTGCTACACTTGAAGTGTGTCCAACCCCCGGACGGGGAATTGATCAAGCTGAATTATACAAATTATATATGACTGCTTGTGCAAGAGCCGGGAGAAGAGGAGTTATTGCTCCACTTCATTTCCCACGCTGTGTCAAGTAAATTATAATTGCCTAAATTTTTTTAAAGAATATTTATCTAATCCTTTTAAAATGTAGAGCTTTATTTGGACCCGGTGTTGGACCAAAAACTGTGAAGCTCGCACAAAGTCATGGTGGAATAGCTATGGATCCACCCACTCAAATTATTGCGTACGAAGGAATTCAGGTTCGATCAAAACCATTGCCATTCCCGATCAGTGCACCAATGGTTGTGTCACAATCTACATCTGTAACAGCCTCATCCATTCCTACCTCACCCATCCTTAAAGCACAACTGAGTGCACCAGCTACTAACGCCCAACAGAGTTCTCCTTTAATTAAACGTGAAATCCTCGGAAAGGTAATCATTTAATTTAATTTGTTTATTATTTATAACTTTATTAATATAAATTTATGTGTACATTTATTTATTTTACACATTTGCAAAACTATATTATAATTATAAAACATCTTTTACGTATTTAAGAATATTAAAAATAATTAAATAAATTATCTTTTCCATAGTAGGGGCATTGTAAATTATTGACTATTGACAGAAAAAAAAGCTCAAGCTTACTAGAATCATTTTCTTAATAACTTTCAATAGAATTCAGAGTTTCTAAGAAAAGAAATATCAAATTTATTTATTGTATGAAAATTGAATACAATTAATCAAATTTTTATTTATGCACCACTATTGAAAGTATGTATATAACCAGGGTTTGGGACTACTAGCGTTTACATACTTATGTATTTATTTTTAAATATAACAGTGTGCAAAATAATTTAATATTTCAATGCCAATATGATATCAAAACTGAAATTTGAATGTGCATATTTTTCATAAAATATTTGTTATTTGAATGTATATTTTAGCATTTACTATCATAGTTTGATATCCTGAAACCCTGTTTATAATAAGTCATACAAATAATATTTATATTAATAATTATTAATGATACAAAGTAGTTTTTTAACCTACAACAACTATTTGATTAGAAATTTTAATATTTGTTTAAAATATTTTGAAAAATTTAATAATACATTCTTGTTGCTATTTTTCTAGACCATACAATGTCCTGTATCATCTACTAATGTTTCAACCGAGACATCTGTTATCACTACTGTTGCATCTGCTGCTATATCTCAATCTGAAGGAACAATATTATCTAATAGCAATACATCTTTAATTAAAACATTATTAGCTACCAAGGTATGCGATCCAAAATTGAATGTGCCTTCTTCTGCGACCATTAAACTTAGTAATAACGAGTCTTGCACATTATATGCTTCTTCTCAAAATTGCAATTCGACAGTGATTACTGAGGTAAGTGTTCAATAATACGAACCAGTTAAAAGAACATATTAAAAATAATGATTCCCGTGCTAAATCATAAAAGATTACGGGAAAATTTAAATTTGAATTTCTTGGGTATAGTGCTTTTCTTTAAATGTTGGATATAGATGTTTAATGAAATAATATCATTCTGTGAACTGAAGGTGGAAGTAAGGTTTGTAGGCATGGATGAACTAATTATATGAAATTAATGCCTCGTTTTACAACTAAATTTGTTTATACAAGTAGATAATAAATAACAATGTATAATTAATTAGTTCAAATAATATTCATTGACTAACATAGATAAAATAATATTGATTATTGAGCTTCTCTTTTTTTATTTTATATTACTATTTTTAACAATAACAATTTTTACATCTTTAAACAAGTTCTTAAATTAGTAGTGTTTTTGTTGTATTGAATTCCTTTTTTTACTAACATATTTCATATTATAAACATGATATAGAATGTTTAATATTTCTAATTAAATATTATCAACAGGTACTATGTATAATTTTTATCACTGATTTCTATATCTTTTTATTTTATATTCAAAGAAATGGATACTTTTTTTTTATATACATTCTTAAATTCCCTATTTTTTTCTTACTGTATTTTTCATAAATAATTATTTCTCATACAAACTTATAGAAAGATATTAATCATCTTCATTTCATTATTTAAAAATGTTAAATTTTGGTGAATAGGTAACACAACGTCAGCAACAACAAAAAATATTACAACAACAAAATAATTCTACTTCATTGGTTTCTACATCATCCATAATAATACCTAAACAAGTTGGGAGAATCAATGGTGTTAGAACTACATCTGCAGATGTAAGTTAACATTTATTTCTCTGTGAATAATAATAATTTTCGTTTTTATTATTTTATTTTTAGGAGGTATGCAAAAATGATAATATCACTGTGATAAAATCCGAACTGCAGCCATCTGTAATAACAACGATTTCTGCATCAAATAATAAAATTCTTGTCAATAGCTTGAATAAACTAAATGACAAAGGTATATGAATAAATTATTTTATCTTTAATAATACATATTTGTATATTCATTTTTGTTTTCTAGTAGATCAAAATGAAGTAGAGCCGAAAAAAGCAAATCTTTTAAATGGAACTCCAGAAGTATCTGAAATGAATGATGTAACCTCTAAAAGTGTTATGTTATCGGGGTTGCTAGATAAAGAAATTGAGAAAAAAGATACACCATTTTTATTTGAATCAATACAAGTTGGGGATAATGGACTTGAATTAAATGGATCGTGTATTGAATCTAAAGACAAATTGACGACAGGTACTTGTATTAAAATTAAACAAGAATCTGAAGAAAGCAAGCTTGGACAGCAATTAGTCAAAGTAATTGTGGGAGGAAAACGAACATCTGAAGAAGATATTCCTTGTGATCAAGCCCCTAAAAAACCACATCTTAATGGTAACAGTAGTAGTAATGACGAGGAAAATATGGAGGTTGATGAAAGTAATATGAAAGCTTCTTCAACTGCCGCTAATCTATATGCTGCTTTAGCAGCTGATGTGTTAGAGGATATTGATGGTTTAGAAGAAGAATCACCAAAAACTCCTGCTGTTCCTCAACAAATTCAAGTTACTACTCAACCCACAACTCAGCAAATATTCCAAACTCCTGGTCAGATTATTGTTTCGTCTTCTAATACCCAATGGGCATCAAATAATCAAAGAGGAATTGTAACAATGGTTCATCAAGGTGGTTCTGGTGGGCCACAATATGTTTTAGCACAACCTCAGTCAGCTTTAGTACAAGGTCAAGCTCAAACTGTGCTCGTAGCCCAGACTACACCCCAAGGATCAGGAGCCAAAACAATTATAATTCTGCAGCAGCCTGCTAATAACAATCAAACTTCAAACACCATGACTTTGAGTCAGACAAACTTTGTTCAATCCTCATCTCCAGCCAATCAATCTAAAGTGATTGTACAGAGGATTCCAACACCTCCAACTATTAAACAACCTAATACTGTGGTTTCTAGACCTGTAACACCTGCTGCTGTTGTGACATCAAATGCTAATAAACAGCAAGTGAAAGTCATTAAAACTGTACCTCATGTTGTATCTGCATCCATGCCTACACCGTCCATTCAAACTAGGATACGCACTACAACTCCAATGAAAGTTACTGGAGAATTAAACCATATTCAAGGTCAATTTTTATGTGAATGGAGAGGGTGCATGCGTAACTTCAAATCTGCCAATGAGGTTTACATGCACGCTTGTGAATCTCATTGTCCTTCAAACGGAGTTCAAGAAATGCAGTGTTTATGGGAACGGTGTGACGCTATGAAACGCAAGCGATTTTCATTAATGACCCACTTGTTTGACAGACATTGTAATCCTGATGTAAGTGTATCACTATTATTTTTAAATGATAATCTTATAATTTCTAAAAAACATAAAATAAATTATGTTTTTTGAAGGTATTGAGAATGATGGCAGTTCGAAGGAGGCAGCTTTCTCAGAGTGGTCGTAGTGAAATACCACCCCCAGCACCTCCTGCACCTCATCCTGGTTATGCACCTAATGCTGCATTTAATGCCATCAAAAGACATGCATTAGAATTTGTTAATCCCAAAGAATTACAGGTAAAATAATCCATAAATTATTATTTTTTCAAACTGACATAATTTAGAAAAAAAAAAAATACAAATTTAAATAAATGCCAATAGTTAGGTGCTATGAAAGTTATACAAATGGGGAAAATCATTTTTTTAATGTATACTTAATAAATAAAAAAGATTATAGGAAATTAATATACTAATGTACTTTATGTATTCTTGAAACATAGCAAAGACTAGTGAGTGCAGCTGGCAATCATCAATCGACTGGCAATGTCGATCAGGTAAATAAATTGTTTTGAATGTGTGTTTTCAGATTTTGGTTGTATGATAGTAATAGTAAATTATTACTATTAATTTATATTGATATTGCATGTTTCAAGAGTGTTAATTATTTAGTGCTATTGATCCTATAGTTTATCTAATAGTTTATGCTTGTGAAGTTAATTATTAAAAGTTCTTTTAATATTATTAAATATAAAATGTTATTATTATTATTTTTAAACTAGTTGTTACATTTTATCTTCAATCCAACTGTATTTAATATCAGATGAATAATTTATGACTTGTATTTTGATTTTTAATAATATAATACATACTGCTCAAAATGTTACTTATATGTTATTTTCATTTAAAATTTACACTGAAGTAATTATAACATAATTATTATTTTTTTCAGTTTTCCTTTCATAAAGCTACTGTTATACTATTAACATTTTGATTTCAGTTCAATAGGGGACTAATCCCATTCTATACGATTCCACAATTCTTTACTTTCATTGTTGATTTTAAAAATATGTATAATTTAGTGACTATTTTGTGTTTTGGATAGTGCTGAAACAATCCAAGCAGGGCTCTCTAATAGCTAATGCTTGTATTCGGGTTGAGTGAGTTAATTACTAAGAGTTAAAATAAATTAGCACAGTTTATCAAAAACCATATAAAAAGTGTGTTATAACTAAAATTATTATTATTATTGCTTTATGCTGCATTTCTTATACTTAACATAACTTAAAAAAAAATATGCGAAAGTATAGTGCTTCGTATAAAATATATTATGTATATTCTTTATTATATATGTATATATTATTATTATACAAGTATAATCTTGGTGGTCTAAAATTATTGTCAGACAATTACTTCCATATTTAAATATAAGTCAGCCGTATCTAAAATGCATGCTTGGTATTTATTTTGTGGGATTAAAATAACTATTAAAAAAAATTATAAATTTTTTACATGCTCATATCATTTTTATAGTATTAAAATTTGTTTCAAGGTTATTTATACGAATGACAAAAAATATAAATAATATTATACTCGTTAAGTTTAAACTAATATGTTATTATAAGGTAAGAACTCAAATAAATAAAAATTTAAAAAAAAAGCCTCACAAAAAAAATATATTAATTCAAACAAAAATACATATATTATACGTAATTAAATTGTTATTACTATTATTAATGTAAGTAATATTTTATGTTAAGGTAAATTTTGAATATATTTTCTATTTTTAATACTTTATAAGAGGGGCAAGGTGTTTGATAAATATTTTTTGGGATGTTGGTATTCCATACTTTTTGTATCAAACTGTTGTGGTCATAGTTTATAATCTATTTAATTTTATGTACCTACCTTTATTTGAATAAGTATATCTTATGGTGAAATTTTTTTAAGATTTATTTAAATTCTTACATTTATAGTTAATTACTATAAAAATAATATGAGCATCTAAAAGAATGTATAACCTTTTTATAAATGTACTTTAATAATTTATATCTTAAATCAATTTTTCTCTATAGTTATTTTAATCATACAAAATAAATACCACAAGTCTCTTTAAGATGTAAATCATGACTAATATTTAAACACTGAAGCAATTGTCTGACTACAAATTTTAGAAACTAGTGTAAATGTACATTAACTAGTAAACTAGTCATGTATTTCAAAATAATTTCTAGACTATACTTTACTCATATTAATTTTCGAGTTATTGCCGAGAAATGAGTATAATATTATTTAATCTTTATACACCATTATAAATGGCCAGTCATTTTCTGTTGATATTAAATATTATAAGATTGAAAAACTTGATTAGATTTAAAATAGCAAACATTCAAACAAGACTATAATACTCTTACCAAATGTTTACATTAGGCCTTAATAGGTTAATGTTGTTTCTCAAATATGGAAAATATGTTGCTTTGTCCTTTATTGAACTGAAGGTTTTAAATAGGGTTACATGTTTTTAAACTGTTATAATTACTACTTTGATAATAATTAAATAATATTTACATGTATTCTAGAAAACAAAGATTTAAATCTCTGTCAGGAGAAGAATAATGATATTTTCATAATGATTGTATTGACAGTTTAATAGTGATAATGATAACATTACTTAAATATATTTAGAGGGTGGACTAATTTGGATAGTAAACACATTAATATTTTATAGTTCTTTTCAAAAATGAGAAGCTTTTCCTAAATCCTTGAATTTATTTACACACACATACACACAAACACACACAAACTTGTATATATATACAGGTTGTCCCACAAAGATATACTCATTGTATTATCTCCTAAGAAAATAAAGATAATCATTAATCATATTTTGATTTTTCATTCAATTTTTGTTTTCATAAAAAATAAAAATAAATTTTATTATTTTAAAAAATACAGAAAAATGTACCTATGCAAGAGGATGCAATCACATTCGCTAATTGATTATTATTGTAGCTAATTGATTGTACACTCAAGGAACTTTAAAAAATCTAATGAAAATAAATATAAAACTTAAAACAATTTCAGAAGAATAAACTCAATATTAGGTTATCTTAAAATTTTTCAAATATTTATAAGGAAAAGTTATTTTTTTAAATTTTTTATTAAAATATACAAAATTAATTGAAATATAAATATTTGCAGTCTTTATCCTTGCGAGTAGCAGAATTTAATTATCTTTATTATCTTTGGAGATATTACAATAGTATATCTTTATAGAACACTGTGTATATTTATACAAAACTGCACATAAGTATTTAGATAAAGTATATAAATATCTCTTTAAATAAAGTATTCTGATTTTTTGGTGAAAAGTAAATACACTTATTTTTGTAATTTGTTTTGCTTATTATTTTGTCATCAGCTGTAACAATTTATCTTTTTTCATATATTTTATTTATAAAGTTGTATAATTAAATATTTACTATATAATAATGTTTTTATATATACAATTATAAATTTAAATATTAAAAAATATCGATGAATAATTATTTCAGATTCGGATCGTAGCGAGGGATCTATTGTTTATTGGTTTTATTATGATGTGTTTTTTTTTTTTGTTTTTCTGTTTGTACAATTTTTCTACCAGGAATGATGTAATGCTCGTAGTATCTTTTCTAAAAGGTAATTTTTTCTAATTGGTGTATTGAGGAGGTAATTTTTTTAATTTTCAAGAGGTTTTTAAAGTAATTAAAATACATAAAAAATAAAATTATAGGAAATACCAGAAATATTGCTCCAATCAAAAAATGACAATCAGATTGATTTTTTTCCTTTTAATATAGAGCTACCAACAGAAGAAACTATTTTTATAATAATTGGGGAAAAGACAAAAAAATACAATTTTTTTCACGTTACTACGTAATCATTTCATTATTTTAAATTTGTATAGCATTTGTACATGTTTTATATCATAAATAAAGCTCACTTGAATTTTAATCTACTCCGTAAATAATTAATTTTTTTGTAAAAGGTTTAAAACATTTAAGGTACTTTTGAGCTATTTATAGCCATTTTAATTTTAAGTTTTTATATATTTTTATTTGGTAAGTACTATGTTGATAAAATTGTTAGACTAAATAAATATACTTGAAAATTTCACAAGAGGTTAATTATAAGTCATATTTAGGGTCAAAAATTGCAATGTAGTTTTTTTTTTTTTTTATAAGAGTTAATATAAAATTTTGAAAAAAATAGTATATAGTATGGTCTTTCAAAACATGTATAACCGAACTTCGTTCCGAATCGTTTTTTGTTAGCAATGGTTTAGTTTTAGATATAAATTAAATACTTATGTATTTCACCTTTTCAACTACCCACTTATAACAGTGGCCGCACCCATCCCTAGTATCAGCTCGTTTGTTTTGTTTGATTTATTTATTGAGTTTTTAGATAGTTAGCAACAGTAATATTTTGTAATGGTTTTTATAATTTATAAAAATATATGACAGTAGCTAACCTTAAATTATAAGGTACTTACTTATTTTACATGAAGTATCAGTATTTAAAACCTATTTATATTTTGTAATATTCCTTTATAAACCATAGCATCTAGTTAAATGTTGTTAAAATCCTAATTTTGGTTATTTTTTTTACATTTCATTATTGTATAGGATGACAATGAAGGTCCAGTGACCAAGAGCATACGTCTTACATCTGCACTGATTTTACGGAACCTAGTCATTTATTCTTCAACTGGAAGATGGTAAGTAGCAAAATATTGATCTTGAATTTTACATATTAACTAAATTATATTAATTTTAGGCATCTGAAACGCTATGAAGCGCACCTATCAAACATTGCACTGAGTAATGTCGAATCCTCAAGAACAATTTCACAGCTTTTATTTGATTTGTGCCATTCCAGCTGACCACAAACTGAAGATTAAGTTAACATTGTAATTTATGTATATATATATATAAACGTGATGAACTAAACCGTTTAGTGTAACACCAATAATGTACTATCAAAATGTTGTACATAAAATTGTTAATAATTTGACCACCCTTAATAATAACCACCTATTGGCTTAAATGTCTTCCAGTAAAACAAACATAAATAGTAGTACTTAAAGTGACAATTTAATTGGACTGATTTTGTTCTTCTACTTAAACTGTTACATAAAATTTGTGTTAAAATTTAGTTCACTAAAAATTTTGTTTGTCCAAGTACAAGAATTTTCTTGTAAATTATTTTGTAAATAAATATTTGTTTTAGAGTGATTTTATTTAAGTGTAAGTTTAAAAAAAAAAAAAACCCATTTATATTAAATAAATTATCAGTATGCATTTAATATTTAACTTCTAAGCGAACAATTATTGTTTTCCTAGATTTTTTTATTATTATTATTATTATTTATAATTTATAGTTGCAAACCAGTTGCGTGAATATTGTACATAAATACTTAGATGTTACCTGAGTTTTATACGATTTTTTCAATTAATAAAATGCTGTATACATTTTTTTAGTTTTTATTTTTAATGTATTATTTTATACATGATAATGCACACTTATTAATTGCAGTAATTTTTTTTATTTTACTCTAAGTATTAATTTATTATTTTCGTCATTTTTGTTACGTATATTAAAAAGCATTTGTGCAATAATGGATATATATAAAAAAAAAAATATCAATACTAATGCAATTAGTATTGTCATTGGTCTCCAAAAAAGCATAATAAAAATCTCATATTATTTACAAATACATTGTTTTATTTATTTTTAATTTTAATTATGCATTAAATATTTTTTAAAAACTACTTAACTACTAATTTAAATAAAAATTGTATATACGTTTTTTTAAATTTAGAAGTCAATTATAATATAAATGATGTTTTTTCTCTTCATTTTAAAGACAGTGTGTTATATTTAATTATTTTGATAAAAATAATTTATTTAAATTTAAATTCTTGATGAAAAATAGAATGTAAGTTAGACAATAAAAACTATATGAATAAAAAAAATTTATTGAAAACTATTTAATAAATATCGTGCAGCTATTTCTTTTTTAAATTTTGTGAATAATGATAAATTTTCTGCATATTGAATTTCTCGATAATTTGATTTTTTTTTTTGTGATGCAAAATTATGTTGGAACGTAAATATATTTGCAAGTACTTCAAATTGGTATTTAGCTGCAAACATTTCATACACCTGATAATAATGCATACAATTATTAAAAATTACTAATTAATTTTTTTTTTTTTTTTTAGTTTGTGTAGAAAACGAACCTGTGAATTTCTTGTGTAACCATAGCCGATGAATCGTTCATCATAACTCGGAACATTGTTCAATGATATATAAAATGGCTCGTAATACAATTGATACTTGGGTACTTTGTGACTTATATGTAAAGTGTTATATTTTTTCGAGTTTTTTTCGAACCTAAAAAAAAATGTTGAATAAAACTTTATTAGATATACTAAAATAAATATCATTAAATTATAGCAAAAAACATTTTCAATAAAACTATACTTTGAAAAAAATATCTACACTAAAGTATAGAAGTATATTTATCCATACACATATAATGAAAAAAATAAGAAAAACAAACAAAATTACAACTACTTGTATTTTGAATTTCAATGAGACAGACAATCAGATAGGTATTATTTTGGGTTAAATAAACCACCAGTACCAGTCTACTTTTACATACATTATAAAATTTGTTGGCATCTGGTTTAATTTAAAAATTTCCACATGAAAATATCTTGCAAGCCCAGCAGACTTCAATTTAATTAACTCAGAAACATTTTTTGGTTGAGCAGCTGATTTATGAATTTCATAGGTCGGCAACACATATACACATTTTAAACATTTTGGTCTCTCAGATAAAAAATTATTTAACAATATTGCTGAATTAACACTAGGAATAATATCAATGTCAACCACTAATGAATAGTGAGTTTGACAATTATAACGTGCTAAATTTCTCAGATGGTTTTGAGGATAAGGCATTCGGATTCTCCATCGTTTTAATGTTTCAGGTAATTGATCCAATAAATTTGATAAAACAGTATTTGGATCATGGTGACATGATAAAAGATCTGTTGTGAATGCTGATTGTGAAGATTTGGGAAATTGATTTGCTGGTAAGGCAAGATGAAATGTGACCATTTGATGAACTGATTGATAACAGCGTCGTAGAAACCGTACAAAATCTATAATTTAATGGCTTTTAATACTTGAATAAATGTATTCAATTTAATATTTGCTATTGAAATATAAACCTACCTTGTAAATAATATAACTCTTCACCAGCAACATAAACTGCAATTGATATTGGACCATTCCAATTTTTTGCCATGTCTACAATAGATGATAATCTGTCTACAGAACATTGTGTAGCTAAACACACCATTCCACTTTGTTTTTGCTCTGCTATCATTACATTGTCATATGTTTTAACCATACGCCTACTATCCCATCGGCCACTAGACAGTTGAAGATGGAAATATGAAGTATTTGATTTCTCGTTAATACAATCTGTTTTAGTTAAGGAACTTGCGTTCAGCAGTTTCAGAGTGAGATATATGTTATATAATAATAACAAAAAAAGAACATGATGTACAAAAGTGGAATAGCGATTTATACCCTAAAATAAAATAGGTATAATTAATAACAATTTTATAATTCTACAAAATAGTTTATTAAACAATTTTAACTTACAAATAATTTAATAAGACACATTTTAAACTATAATATATTAGAATTTAAATTTTTTAGTCCATTGAATCGCTTTGTATATATTTGTATTCATCATTAATCGTACAATTGATATATTTTTCTTATACCACTCAAAGTTATAAGTCAAATGTGTTTTCCAATTTCTGTCAAGAAAATCTTTGTAAAATTCAGACATTTGATCAGCATTAGCTGTTGGAATGCCCTTATCCGCTAAACATTTTTTGTAAGCATCTCTTTCTTTGACAAATCTTAAATTATGACTACTCCAAAATTCATGATTCCATTTAGCAACTTCAATTCGTTTAAGTCTCAATTTACGTTCAACTAGAGATTCATGTTTTGGTTTATGATATTTAATTGGTCTCAAATTTGACACTGGATCTGGTGGACCAACTGAATCTACATTGTTCATTGTCCTATAAAAAAAAAAATACACAAATAATTTTAATGAACAAAAGTCAAGAATTGATTTAAATAATTTACCTTATACTTTAAACACATTTATAAACCAGAAAATTCAACAACTGAAAATAATTTTGTTTGCAGAATACAATTAAATAGGTAACTAAATATAAAATTAAGTACAGAATAAAATGTGATTAGCAATATAGGTAACTATAAAGAACTACCCATTTAGTTTTCTATATTTTCTTTATCTATGGTTTTTTCTATTTGATAATTGATAGTGCGTGACCTTTATAAATTTGATAAGAGAATTTATATTTATTATTATTTAAATTAATAGTAATTAAAAATATATTATTTTATTTGTGTTAAATATTAGAACTCCTATTCACATCACAGTCATAGGTTTTAGTGAATAGTTTAATACTTTTGTATATTCTTTAATAAAAATTTGTTACTAATAATAATTTCTGTTATTGGTGAAGTACATTTCAATTACAATTCAAACTTCTTAATATGCTTATAGATATAACAGATATAATTGTGTGAGATACTTTATTAATGTATAATATTCTGGTAAAAAATATGAATGAAAAACATAGTATAAATTTATTATTCCAGTATTTCATCACACATATATTAATAAGAATAAGTTAATATAATATCTGATATTCTGATAATAATCTTTATATCTTTTGTTTGGTGTATATTATTTTTCTGTTCAGTTTACTTTTTGGATTTTAATTTGTAATTCTTATCTTCGTATCTTCTAATTCGTTTATTTTCTGGACAATTTCAAACTACTTTTTCGTCGAATACAAATTTAAACAATTTTTATAATAACTATAAAAAAAAAATCGTATTTCGGATTATAACCTCTTTGGAACAATTATCATACCGCATGTGTAAACTGTTTTGTAATATGGAAATGGAACCCACTGTTAGTATTTTTTTTCCGCCACGATTATTTATTTATTTGCGTTAAGTTTGTTTTCCTCACATTTCATTGTTTTATCTAAGTACTGAGTTCCAAAATCTGAACTGAACTAAATGATAAAATTGTAATTAGTGTTTTGTTTAATGATATTTAACACATTTAAAATAATTTTTCATAAAATTTAAATGTATTATTTAATAAATTAAACATTGAACATTAATATGCCCTCATATTAGACGATATAAATTTAATCAAAATTAATAACTTCTATTAATATCTACTTAGAAATGGACAAGTACGAAAATTGGGGAACAACTGAAAAGACAGAATTGTATGTATTTTATTTTGAAAAATATTGAAAATAGTATTAATATTTGTATGATTATTTTGATTATAATTTGTGACTCTTTTAGTTTGGCAAAGTGTCATGAATTGGTAAATAGTTCTAAATCAGAGTATTCATTGACAATTACGAATAGTGGTAACCCTACTGGTAAGTTAATCAACACAATTATTACATTTTTAATTTTTAAACGCCTTATTTTGAAAATAAATAGTTTACACTACCTAGTTATTCTATTTTATATCATTAAACAAATAGTATTTGTAATTCAGTAATTTTAAATAATTGTTTTCAGATTTGGCAAAAGCCATACTTTCATTATTAGTAGCATGTATTAAAGGAAAAATAAAAAATAACATAGGCTTATCAATTTTAAGTGATTTAGTAAGTATATTATAATTATTATTGGTAATAAGTATTTAAATTTAATTTCAACATGTAAACAAGGTTATTTATTAATTGTAAACATAGTTTTAAGTTTTATTTAGTTTCTTTTATTGTAACACAAAATTTTAAAACTTTAAAATATTCATCTTTTGTTAATGTATTATAAACAAATATATATCAATTTTAAAGTATTGGTAACTGTTATTATCTTTTGTAATTGCATACCTAATTTTTGTAATTTTTAATAATTCCTAGGCTGATAAATCTGAACAATCTCACTAACAGTTTTTAAATAATACTAATACTAAATTATTTTTTTAAATATTATGGGATAAAATTTAAAAATAAAACTATTTTTGACAAAATTTCCAAAAATTAAAATACATATACAATTTAAATTTATTACTTTATAATTTAACATTTAAGTTTAATATTTTAATGTTAGTGTAATTTAATAAATTCTTGAATAGAAGTTATATTATTAAATAAAAGAACTTATCTGCCGGTAGAAAAAGTATGATACATGGAATTAATTAATTAAAACTGTATGCAACAATAAATCATTGCTAACATAACAATTGTTATAATTTAAATTATGCTAAAAAAATATTTACCACTAAATACAAATTAAAATGTAAAAAAGGTAAAATTATTTATCCCCTTACACATCAGATTATTTTTAACCAAATTATAAAAAAATAATGAAATTATGATTTCTGTAAACTTGTCCGGTTATTAGGAAAAAAAAAGAAAAACGCTAATTTTTGAACAGAACAAAAATTTCTTTGATAAAATATGATATATTTAAAATTTCACTATAATTTTTGGTAGAAAAAAAAAATCAAAAATAATACTTCTATTGTTGTTGATTCGTTCCTATTTCCTATGAGTTTTCCCTATTATAAAAACTGCCATGAAAATCACAAAATAAAATCAATACATCAACTACTAATTTGGTATTAAAAATAATACTTTACTTAAATATCTGAGTAATATTCTGGTAGAAAAGTTGTTTACAGACACAAAAAAAAATCAAAAAAATTACACATAATTACCAATACATTTCTTGCTGGCCTCAGAATCTAAACTGATATAAATTACTTTTTAATGTTGTATTTAATTTTTGGTATAAATATTTTTTAGTGTTCAAATGTAGAAATAGTGTCTGTCGTAATGGATGTCTTTAACTATTTGGATACTGAAACAGCTCTTACAGATGCAGAATCAGAAAGGGAACAGTTTGGCATTTTTGTTAGAGGATCACAAAAGGTTATCCAATATTAAATAGTATACTTTAACTTTAACAACTAATATATAAATGTATATTTTTATTTTTTAGTTATTGACAGACAAACTACTGAAAGAACGTTTAGAAATTGACTCATTAAAAGACATAAAATTGTTAAATAATATTTTTTCTACAAAATTTATTAAAATAAAAACTAAACTTTTGTAAGTTGTTGAATCGTTTAATAATTATTTGAGCTTGTACTAATATTAATTCATAATTAATTTTTTTAGCTATAAACAACGAAAGTATAACTTGTTTCGTGAAGAATCTGAAGGTTATTCTAAATTAATAACAGAATTGAATTCTGATAATATGGATCCAAAAATAATGTTGGAGATTATTAAGTCATTAATTGGATGTTTCAACTTGGATCCAAATCGTGTTTTAGATATAATTTTAGATTCTTTTGAACATCATACAGATAATAAAGCTCACAAATTTTTTATCCCATTACTACGTGATTATATGCCTGAATCACAAAGACTGACTGAAGTATTGGCATTTAAACTACGTCAAGTGAATGATTTAACTCGATCATCTTATAGATTGATCGCTTTATTAATTCAGTACAATTTAATTGGATTGGATAGTATTTATCCTTGGGTAAATTAAGTTACAATTAGAATTAACAATTATTAAAATGAAATTGTCATATTTTAATTTATTTTAGTTAAATCCTGATGATAATGTTATAAAAACAAATTGGGAAAAAGATATGAAGAGTGGACAAGATTATTTGAGAAAAGCTTCAACTATAATATCTAAAACACCAGAATCTGAATCAACTGAAGATAAAATTGAACCTAAAGTATGTTATTTATATTCTTTAATTATATGTTTTTAACTTTGGTAATACATTTTAGCTAGAAGAAAATCAAAAGTTTTGTTTATGTGAAGCAATGTTGGAAATAGGTGATTGGAATACTGCTCAAATATTAATTAAACGATTTCCAGAATACTATGCTGTTGAGTATGCTCCTATTGGTGATGCACTTTGTGGCCTTATTAATCAGGTTATTAAACCTGTTTATAATCAGTAAGTTCAAATTAAATTTTTCGAAATATTTATTTGGCGTTTATGTTATTTTTGTATTTAATATTTGTTATAGAATATTTAATCTTCATTCAAAATCTGTAAAAAATTCAACTGACGTTCAAAAAAATTCACTTTCTCTAAAGCCCGTATTAACATTAGAGGAATTTCATAATGTAGTTTTACCAATGTTGATCACATTAGGACCTGGACTACACCGAGATCCTGTTCTAATGTTTAAAGTTGTTAGAATAGTGAGAAAAGCATTAACTAATGTATGTGTTTTTTAATTAAATATATCTTTGATTTTAATTTAATTTTTATAATTTACATATATTTTGTAAATAATTTATTTATTAATATTATTTATACACAATTTAGGAAGGAATTAAAAATAAAGATTATATTCCATCTGAAACGGGTTTTTATTATGATACTTTATCTTTGTTGGATCGTGTATTATTACCCACATTATCATTAGCAGAAGGAAGTAGCATTTCAGAACATTTATGGACTTTATTACAACTTTATCCTTATCACTGCAGGTATATATGAAATTTAAAAATATTTTTTCTCAATAAAGTGTTTTGATAAAACTAAACTAACTTTTACTTTGTTTTTAATTTATTTGTGTTTTATAGATATGCACTATACAATAGTTGGAAAAATGATACACATAAATATCATCCAAAATTGTTAACAAAAAGAGTTGATGTACTGAAAAAGGCTAGATCAGTAATGAAACGACTCTGTAAAGATAACACAAAACCATCCAGTCGTGTTATTGGAAAAATATCACATTATGCACCTGGATATTTATTTGATTATGTAAATTTTCCTACTATTATATAAATATTTTATTTTTATTTTTAATAATATAGAGTTGATAATAGGTTTTTTTATTGTTATATTTTTTTAGATACTTGGACAAATACAAGTGTTTGACAATTTGGCTAGCATTGTGGTTGAGTGTTTAAAGTACATGACAAGTTTATCGTTTGATGTTCTTGGATATTGTATTGTAGAAACATTAGGTAAGAGTGGCCAAGACCGAGTAAAACATGATGGTACTTCTATTTCAGTGTGGCTACAAAGTACAGCTTCATTTTGTGGTGCCATATTTAAAAAACATCCTATAGAGCTTACAGGAATTCTTCAATATGTAGCCAATCAATTGAAAACAGAAAACAGGTTAAAACAAATGTCTTAATCTAATAGTTATTTATTAATTAACATATTATGTATTTTTATATTTCTATAGTTTGGATCTTCTTATACTTAAAGAAATTGTATTGAGAATGGCTGGTGTTGAGGTCATGGAACAAATAACTCCTGACCAAATCGAAGCCATGTCAGGTGGTGATTATCTTAAAACTGAAGTAAGAAAATATAAATTATTTATATATTGTAATATAATATTATATATATTAAGAATTTGAAGAGTGACATCAATGTCAAAGAATATAGATATGGCAATTGATGTGTACGAAGATATGGGTATGGGAAATCGGGTCAAGTGAAAGTTTAGAATATAGATGCCCTATCCCAAGTAGTTGGAATGAAGAATATAATGTTCATCTTTATTTAAACATATGCAAGTTAATATTAACTTTAATTATTTTAGGCTGGGTATTACAATCAGATTAGAAATACAAAGAAGTCTTCTATTAGACTAAAAGAATCATTATTAGATAATAATTTGGCTGTTGCGTTATGTTTATTAATTGCTCAACAAAGACATAGTGTTATTTACAAAGAGCACGAATCAATTCATATTAAACTTGCTGGACAACTCTATGACCAAGTATTTTGACTTATTAAACAAAATATTTATAATGTTTTGTTTTGTATTAATAGTAATTTTGTTTCTTCATTTTTAGTGCCAAGACACATTGGTACAATATGGTACATTTTTGGGAGCTACATTTTCCATGGAAGAATATATCAACCACTTGCCATCTGTACATGATTTACTCGATCAACATCATGTTCATATGGATGTAGCATTCTTTTTAGCTAGGCCAATGTTTAATCATTCCATTAATGTATGTATTTCTTTATCTTTTAATTAAGCAAGTTAATAATTATTTGTTTTTTAGACTCGTTTTGATGTATTACGTAAATCAGATCCTAATGCGAAAAAATCATTACCAGTGAGACAAACTAAATATGCAGAAGCTCACAAAGAAGTTATGTCATCTATTGTAAAATCTGTTGTGCCACTTCATCCTGAAAAAGTTTGGGAAGATGTATCTCCAGGATTTTTAGTTACATTTTGGTCATTAACTTTATATGACTTGTGTGTTCCAAATGAAGCTTACAAACGTGAAATAAATAAACTTAAAGCACAGTCGGCAGCCATAGGTGATTCAAAACAAGCAGTAAGTTATAACTCAAAATGTTGGTAATGTTTGTTAGTTGTTTTGATTTTAGTTAATTGTTTATATACATGCACAGCGTGTAGAAATATCTGATACTTAAAAAAACACTATATTAAATTACTTTTTATTTTTATTATTATTAATATTATTAATTAATATTCCTCTGCGCTATCATTTAAATTTTATGGTTTCCTTCTTTTTTTTTAAGGAAATTTAATTTAAAAATGAAAAAAAAATTTCACAATTTTTTGGAAATTTTGTGAATAATTTTCTTTAGAGCACATTTCACCTGCATCTACTGTCTCAGTCTAACTATTGGGCAACATACAATAACAATACTTGCGCAAAATAAATTAAACTAGCTTAAATTTGATTATAGAGTAAAAGTACCTATTATGTAATTTATAAAGAACAATAATATGGAGGGAATGTCATGGGTTTTTGTTTAATTATGAACTATTAAACAATTTGCAGTTATTTAAAAAAGAAAAAATGTATAGAATTTTGTATCTTTTATATCGAGTTTTAATTTTGAATAATACAAAAACCTTATGACCTCCAAAATTGTGTTCTCTATAAATTTCATAATAGGTACTTTTACTTTATGATTAAAATTTGGTTTTACTTTTATTCTGTGTAAGCATTATTTTTGCATGTTACCCGGTAGTGGGATCGAGATAATAAATGTGGGATATAATGTCCTATAAAATATTATTAACTTGTTAAACATTATTTAATATTAAATCAAAGAATTAAAAATCTTGTCATTTGGTATGCTTTAACTACTGATTAAATATTATTCACATTTTCAGAAGTTCAAATAAAGAATTAGAAAATAAATGTCTAAAAATCTCTTTTATAATACAATTTTTTTTTTTTAAGTAGTCGAATGTTTATTAATTTTTTTTTTTAATTCCTAGTAAAAAACAACAACATTTCTGTTGTATCTTATAAGCATACTATATTGTCTCTGTTTTAAGTCTTTTCTTTATGTTAGCTTGAACATTTTTTTTCATTTTCTTAACATAATTAATTTTTAAGGTTTTTTGGTTGGTATCACAGCATCATAGCTATTTATATTGTAGGTTACCAATGCTTGAATCTAATATAAATGATAATTAATAAATACTTAATAACAATGATTATGTAGGTACTGTTATGATTTTATGACTGTTATCAATAACATGCATTTTTTGACTGTTGATAATTTTTACATTTCACTATAGTTAAAAAATTTTAACATTTTCTATTTTATTGCATGTGTCATGGAGCCAAGTTTGACAAAAAACACTTTATACCTGTTATTACTGCAAATGAAAAGTGTTGTTAGTGTATCCAGAATGTACAATCTTGTTATTAATTTTTCAAATTTGTTATAAAGTGAAATGTTTATTTTTTAAATATGAATTGAGCAACTGAATATGATCTAAAATTAAAATGTATGGGGACCTTCATGTTAAATAAAATATATTTTTCAATTTTAATTTATAAATGGTTGTGGATTATGGTCTAGTATACAATGTTATTAGTAATAACTAATAACTACTCATAAAAAGTAATTAGTGTAAAATTGTGGGAATGACAAACAATAAAAATAACAAAAATGGAAAAATGTTTACACATTCAACGAATAAACATTACTAAAGTAAAAATGTAACATTTATAATAATAAATAAAAATGTGCTACATTTATTACCAAGATATATTTATTTGTATTTTTTAATTTCCTATATTATGATGTTTAATAGAATAATATTAAAAAAGGGTAAATGGTAATATAAGTACATAGTTTTAAAAGTAATTACCAAAGTCAAATATACTAGATATAACTATATAATATAATGGGATTTATTTGATAAGAATTTATAACATTTTCATAATTTTCAACTTTTTGAAAATTTACATCATATTGTATAATTATATTATTTATGTTAAATGAATATTTTCAGAATCTTACAATTTTAGTTTAGTTTTAATTTTGTACATGTATATAAACATGAATATTTTGTTTTATAGACAGCAAAAGAAGTAATAATTGTCTACATTTTTATTTTTACAGAGTACTAAAGTTAAAAAAGAACAAGAACGTTTAGGAATAACAATAGCTAAATTAAATGACGAAAAAAAGAAACAACAAGAGCACGTTGAAAAAATTTTCTTCATGTTAAATCAGGTAAAAGAAATATTTTCAAGAACTGAATTGTTTTATAAGTAATTCATATGAAATAAATAAATCAATTTTTAGGAAAAGGATTCATGGTTTTTGTCACGATCAGCTAAAGCAGCGAAAAATGAAACTATTACTCAATTTTTACAGTTGTGTCTGTTTCCACGATGCATTTTCACTCATACAGATGCTATGTATTGTGCTAAATTTGTTCAGACATTACATTCATTGAAAACTGCTAATTTTTCTACACTTTTATGTTATGATAGAGTATGTTTATTTTGAATTTTTTTGACAATATAGATACTTAAAATCAATGGTTTTAATTTGGGGTGGGGGTAGAAGCGCCTTCCTAAGGAGGCGTGAACATTTTTTTAAAAAACCCACAGAACATACGCATTTATTTATATCAATATATTATACACCAATCTTAGGGGTTAGTGGGCCTGATTTCATACAATAGCTTAAAAGAGGGCTTGGATCCCAAGAGGACAAGAACTCTTGCTTTGAATCAAGTATAAATAACTGATTTTTAAAAAAATTTTTCAGTTATTTTGTGATATAACTTATTCAGTTACACTCTGTACAGAAAATGAAGCTCATCGTTATGGTATATTTCTAAATGAAATGTTAAAAAATGTAACTCGTTGGCATTCAACTCAAGATATATTTGAAAAAGAATGTGCTACTTATCCTGGATTTGTTACTAAATGTAAGAATAGTGATCAATTTGTTCAGTCTAATAATGACCATGTAGGATATGAAAACTTTCGACATGTTTGTCATAAGTGGCACTACAAGATCACCAAAGTATGTTTATTTAAAATTTACAAAATTATATGAAAACTTAAATACTTCTATGAAATTTTAAGGCCATGATGGTTTGTTTGGAGTCAAAGGATTATGTTCAAATTCGTAATTCATTGATCATTCTCATTAAAATTGTAAATCATTTTCCTGTTCTGGCAAAATTAGCTTCGTTGATTGAAAAGAAGGTAGAAAAGGTAAGAGAAGATGAAAAAGATAAACGGCAAGATCTTTATACCTTAGCAACATCTTATTGTGGGCTCCTCAAAGGTAGAGCTAGTCAGTTTCTTAAAGACTCTGATTTCCATCAAGTTAATGAAAAGGTGAATTATTTTTTATAAGATTAAAATAATTGGTAGTTTATGAATAAGCATTTTTGTTTCTGTAGGTAAGTCAAATAAAAAATAATGTTGATAATAAGTCTGGTGTTACAAAAAATAATCAAACTATTAAGAAAAAAGAAGAAGATAATATAATTGAAGCAAAAACCCCTCCACCACTACCTATTATTAAAGCTATCAATGGAATATCATCTGCAGGTAAAATTATCATTAATTATAACTATGATTGACATTTAATTTATAATTTTTATATTTCAATTATTTTAGAATGGGTTGAAGCTGAAAAAAAAGTTGTTGATAATAAGATTAAATCAGATAAACGAAATATGAAAATTTTAAATTCACAGTCTGATAAAGTCAAGTGAGCATTAATATATTACTTTAATTATTAAATTTATATTTTTAATATTTCAATAATAATTTTAGTGATAAAAGAGATATAGTACAAGAGAATATAACTGAATTATTAAAAGAAGACAAATATGATGAGCCGAATGAGAAGAAGAGAGAAAAACGACCAAGAGATGATAATATTGATAGAGAAAAAGATTCGTATGTAAGTTTCTTTCAATATTTTTATTGTTAAAATTTTCATAATTTTCTTTTTAAACTTTATAATCATGAATACTATCAATTTTTTTTAAATTAGATTGAATTATCGAAAAATCATCAATCAGGGAAAGATGTAATTATTAGTGGTTCAGTGGTCAATCATATAAGTAAAAGTCAGGTGCCGATAAATATAACAGAGAAATCTAATAATACTGATGTGGAAGTAGCAAGTAATGGTTCTTACACCGCAGCTGAAAAAGGTATAATAAGATAGGCCTAGAAATACATTTTTTTTTTTTTTTTTTTTTTTAATTAAAATTCATGGAAAATGTAATTTTATTTATTGCTCTTCTGTACAATTTTAAAATGGTAATTACTCCTAATTGAACCCATGATAAATACATAATACAAATGTGTTAATTTTTTCTGAACTCTTTAAATTTATTTACAGATATAAAACGAAAAAAATTGGATACCAGTCCAGTTACGAAGGTAAGAATTGACGTACGGAGCCTTCATATCAAAACATAATCACAATTCCATTTCTCCTGATACTCGCAAAACAAATAATAAGTAGTCTCATCTCTCAATCAAAGTGCTCAAGCAGCCTAAGTTTATGGTCTGTTGTCGCCTGAAATGATGTTTCCTCAATAATTTGTTACTACAATTACTGAAATTTTTGAATATATTGAAATCTGATTCGTTCAAACACAATGGAACATGAGTAGCTGTTGTAGCTGAACGCCTTCCTCGACAAGGACCGAAGAGCAAACTCTACTGTTTTTTTATTTACAATTTATCATCCGTGTTAGTAAATAAAAATATTGTTATTCAATCCCTTCAAAAAAAAAAAAAGTAATGTTTTAGTTGTTTTCGTGTTTTTGGAGAAAAAAAAGAAATTGTTATCTTTTATAAATTTCAGTAATATGGTATGGTATACATGTTGTTATTTTTTCTTTTGCATTTTTGTTATCCTTTTAACTCACAGCAGCCACTGAAGAATAATTTTGATGTCAAAACCGAAATAAATGGATCAACAATGTTAGAGAAAAAAGACAAGAAAATTAAAAAATCCCAGTTAGCTGATTCTCCAACATCAAAAGAAACTCGTAAAGATCGCAAAATCAGTCGGAAACGCGTATGTACTATTATTTAACCAAAACTAAGGAGGAAGTACAAATTGTGTGAAATTTAAAAAACATATTATTTTTCAGCACGAACGACGAGAAGATACTACACCTGAATTAAAGAGACGTAAAGAAGATGAAAAACGTATGTTTATATAATATAAACTGAATTTTATAAAAATTAAAATGTTATTACTTTTAGATACCAAAACTGATATTCGCCATGATGAGATTACAATTGATAAACATAGATCTAGTAGAGTAAGTATAAAACTAAGATTATTGATTATAATTTAGTACATTTGATTAATCATAAGATTTGTATTTACAGGAAAAATCTCCACACCCTAAAGAATGGTCTGAACGGACCGAATCACGTCATAAAAGATATCCTTTATAGAATTTTTTGTTTTAAGTTATGTTATTAAAATTGTGTTTTTAGTTATATTTATCATTGTAATTTATTGGAAAAAAAAAAAACAAAAAAAGGTAAAATAAATTTAATTATTTGGTGGGTATAGAAAAAGTAATATGAAATAAAATAATAGAAGATTATCGTATAGATTTAAATAACATTTGTATATTATAAAGATGATTGGTCAATTTGAGACAGTTTACTTTATTTAAATATAACAGGATTCAAATCGAAATCTGTCTTTTTCTGTTTAAGGTTTTCATTCTATTAATTTTTTTGGTTTAAAAAATCCGTTTGTACTTATGTTTTCTTTTTTTACCTTAAGAAAATCAGTTTATTTTATTTTATTTTTTAAAATTATAATTTAATTAAACTATTGCAGTTTTAACATAATATATAATCTAATCACTGATATTTAACAAATGAATACACTTATATTATTCATTTTACTACATACACTATTAAACTAATAACAATGTTCTCACAAAGAAAGTAAAAATTGTTTCTGAGAAAAACTTTGTATGTAAGGTCAATGGCGAAAAGAGGTAATGATAAAATATGTTGTTTATGTTAAAACCATAGATGTTTAATGTTAATTTGCAAAACCAAGGTTACAAATTACATAATGAATTTAATATCAATGATATATTTCTCGAATAAATTATTCTTAACAGCTACTATACGCATAGAATGAATGATAAAAGGAAATAATCATTTTGTTTCACCGAAGTCAACACATCTATGAATTTTGTCACATAATAATTGTAATTTGAATACTATTTTTTTTTTATTGTATTATATCATTTTTTTTCTAAACAAATGCATTATTTTTTTATAATTGTAATATGTATTATATAGATTAAATTAATTTAATTTAAAATGATTTCTTTTAACAAAAGATTAAACTAAGTTTAGAAATAAAAAAGTAATAGAAGTTGCTCAAATATCATTATAGTATGTCCTATAATCTTTTGTGAAAATTTGGTTTTATTTTTTAATTTAACTATAACGTAAGTATTAGATGTAAATTTATAATTATAATTTTTTAAATGATAAAAAAAAATGTATTAGCATACATAATGATTAAGCGCATTATTATATTTTTTTCAAACCCTATTAAGATAATAAGAGCACCCATAGAAATGTAATAATATTTTAGTTTGTTAAATATTGGAGTCATAATTTTCAATTATAATAATAAATATTTTTCATATTCTTTGTCTTTTTATTTCTAAGCATTTAAATCACTTCTAACCACTAAAATACTATTTCTACTAGTCTGTATTTTTACATCCACTTGGTATTAAACCATATTCCTACTAGATCTTTATGGACCTATGCATTTTATAACTGTCAAATAATATTGTTAACTTTATTGGTTTTAATGGAAAATTGAAGAATCGGAAACAGAAAACTAGTTGGTTACATAAGAATACTTGAATGGTAAAAGTTTGTTATTGTATATAGGTATAAAGATATTGCTCTAGTCAATAAGTCCATGAAAATACTATAAAACATGTTGAGTAAGTGCTTATTAATATTACATTTTAATTATTAAAAACTGTTATATGCAAACAATTTAATATCATGTTGTTGCAAGGATATAAATATTAATGTGTACCGTATTTGTTAAATTACCCTGTTTTCTTTCTATAATAGCACAATCTGGAGCGGATCTCATATATGATAACTAGAGAGGGGGATAATTTTAAAAATGCATATGAAGACACATTTATTAATATTTTATTTGACTATTGGTTGTGGGTTGAAGCTGATCAAAATTATTTACTGGGGTGAGGCCATTAAAAAAAATATTTCTCTGGCTGCTTTTTCAAGATAGTCTTAACAGATAAATAATCACCTTAATTCAATTAAAAAATTTCATTATGAATTAATAGATAGACAATTTGTATAATTAGATACATATAAATTAAATAAAATGAAAAATACTTAATAGCCATATACTGGGGTATATGTCTGCAAAATTTATTTGAATTTTATAAAATAAATTGAAAACCTTACTATGTTATTAATTTAATTAATTTTGTTAAAATAATACAACTTGTGACAGTTTCCAATTTTTAAATGCTAATTTTAAAACTGTTAACTGGAAGTTTATTTTGGTATTAAAAGGTTATTATTGTTTTTTTGGTTACTGACCTTGTATATTTGGTATTTTTTTTTATTTTTCATATTATTTTTATTTGGTTGGTACCTATGTATTCTGCGGATAAAATTGTTAGACTTGAACAGAAATGCTTGAAAATTTAATAGAAAGTTCATTAAAAGTACTTAGTTATAGAAAAAAATTCACTGTTATCTTGGTACTTAATTAGTATATTTTTTGTATAAGATGTTTAGTATGAATTTTCGACGAAAATCATAAATATTACGGCCTTTTAAAACATATATAACCGAACTTTGATCCGAATCGTTTTTCATTAACAATGATTTATTTCGTTAACTATATGAAAATATATGTACATATAAGAAATACCTATGTTGCTTATAAATAAAATAACTTTATGTATCCTACATAACCAGTTTTCCATCTACAACTATGTTGCACCCGTACCCAGTATCAGTTTTTTTTCTATTTGTTTCGTAAAAAATCATGCTTTAAAACATGATGTATTTTCGTGTCAATTAGGTATCTTATTCCTGTTGAAAGATTTTTTATAATATTTATAGGTATTACTAGTGGCGTACGCATGGGTAGGGTTATAATGTTTAACCCTCCCCTCCATCTCATGGGAAAATTAACGAAAATAATTCTTTTATTTTAAATTTTATTTTTTTTTTTTAAATGTAATTTAGTATGAAATATTCGTAGAGGCTTAACAATTTGTTAACTGCAGAAAACTTATACTTAGTTTTTATAGACGTGGTAAAACTTTCAGAACATTTGAACGATTTTAAGCTATTTAGACATTTAAATTTTGCTAGTTTTTTATGAAATTTGTATTTGGTTGTTACTCTGTAGATAAATTATTAGACAATAGAAATGCTCAAACATTTAATGAAAGTTCATTGTAAGTCGTACTTGAAGGTCGACAAAAAAAATTTTGTTTAATGAAGTATTTTTTTTTCACACAAGTTTTAAAATCAAATTTTGACGGAAATCGTAAACATTATAGACTTCCGAAACATGTACCCTATAACCCATAGAGACCATAGAGTAACATTACTCTATGCTATAACCGAACTTCGCTCCGAATCGTTGTTCGTTATCAGTGGTTTATCGCTGGTTACACTGGTTACAGGTATCAATTAAATAACTTTGGACGTAGCTCATTCGGCTTTCGTTTTTCCTAAATGGCTCCCATTTTCCAAAAAAGGGAAATTTCCAAACGGCTCCGGCTTTTTATAGCGCAAATTTTAAAATACACAAAATGTGCCGCATCCATATCGTAGGTATATATCCGGTTAAATCGTATAAACCAAATTGATGCAATTCGATAAACTAGATAAAATTTGTTTAACAACAATCCATGTAGGCATATAATGTATGATACGTAACTATCCGAACTTCGGTAAAATCCGAATTGCAATAATTTTAATACATTCAATAGAACTTGTTATCGTTTAAAAGTAAGACATGACACGAATGTTTTTTGCATCGCATCTGTACTTTGTTACGAGAAATGTACGACGCGTAGTACCTACCGGAAACCAGGGCCGTTTGGAAGTTTGTCTACTCGTGCAACCTTTTTCGACGGGAGCCGTGTGGGAAAAAACAAACTATGGACGGGAGCCGACCATTACTTTGTGTATCCCACCTTTCCCACTACTCACTACACTAGTGGCCGCTACCGTTCCCAGTATCGGCTCTTTTTTTATTTTCATTTTCGTATATTAATACATCATAGGTATTCATGTACACCTTTGAAGTATTTCGTTTAAGATCTTTAATCATTATGTAATAAAAGCTCTCGGATGGTTTAAAACGAAGAAAATAATTATCAATTCAATATTTTCAACATTTTTTTTTTTTTCATTGATAAACAAAAACATTTTTAGTAATTGAAAAAAGAATTGTTGGCAAAAAAAAGATTTACTTTTTTTTTTTTCTATAAGATTTATGTTGAGAATATACCTAATGTTGAAAAACGGAGTTCAAAGAATGTTTTCCTAGATTAACTATAGAAAAAAAAAAAAAAAAATGCGATTTGGTCGATTTTACTGAACAGATAATTACATTTTATGAATAATAAAAAGATTATTCTTTGTCACACGGTGGCCTCATTACCGATAAATAATAATATTGGGATTTTTGACTGCATATCTGGCTTTCCATCGTCGCGGTAGGTGCCTACCTACCACAGAATAGATTAAATCATTCGAGTCCTGCACGCCCGAGACTAAGATTGCGCCACGAACAGTCAGCTCATGCTGCTTCCGTGCGTGGCGCTCAGTCCTTCCACTCCACGGTGGAGGTATTCTGTGCCGCAAGGATCAGGATGAGAGATCAAGGAGGCTAGGGCGAGGGCAAACCGTTGTCCGGCCGTCTGACACCAATGTCCACGCCGCCTAAGACCATCAGCCATCGGCGCAAAGTCATTTATAAGTTAGGCTTAAGTTATCATATTGCAAGGGGATGATGTGGGTTACAGCGATCGTCCCACACCTTTAGTATTAATACTAAAGTACCTATACTTAAATATAATGCGAGCCTGTACAGCGAAGGAGAAAACGGGACTTTAAACGATGGCAGCTGCTGCGAATAAGTAGGTGTTGTGAAAAAAGACCCTACACTGCTGAAAAAAAAAAATCATTCAAATCCTAGCTATTATCACGTGAATATAAAACCGTTATCAGTCAAGAGCCATATCAATAGTCTATGCAACATGTACCTATCATCAAAATAATAATTAATAAATCTTACGTTTTTTAACGTTTAATACACACACATATTTTGAACACCGATCAAAATACTATGAGATTGTACGATAATAATATAGTATAATTTTTTAAATTATCTGTTATTGTTTTGTTTAAAATTATTTTTTTATCTGAAAAACCTTGGTATTATTATAGGTACTTGTGAAATTGTTTTATTTCTAAGTTTTTATGTCGGTTTCTATTTTCTAAAAGAAAATAATTATTTATAAAATATACACATATTGGTTAACCAGTTTTGTTTGTATTGATTGAGATCGATTTTTAAAATTGTTCAATATGTCTGATGCCTGGCAAGACATTCAAGCTATCAAAAGTAAACGAAATTCCCTGCGGGAAAGACTTCAGAAACGAAAAATCGAAAGGCAGATAATTTTAAACAAGACGGCTGATAAAATTATTTCTAGTAAGCATATGGACATTTAAAGCATTAATATATGCATAGTATTAATAATTTAAAATTTTAATTGTGTAGGGGAATCGTTACTGCTACCAAGTACGAGTAATATTGAAAATGAATTAGATTTTGATTGGAGCAAAGTAGGTGGTGAACGAGTGTTACTTGAAACACTGGTTGATATGTCAGTAAATCTTCCAATAACATCTTATCAATTAGTATCTGCTCTTTTAAAAAAACATCCCACTTTAAATACTTTCATATCTCATTCAATTGTTGTTAATTTGTTGTACAAATTTGCTGCACAAAATCTTATAAGGTACGTATATAAAATACCAATTGCCTTTAATAATTTTAAACATATTTAATGACAAAATTGGTTAAGTTTTAAGAGCATAACAATAAATGGACAGCAAGGGTTACAAATCTTAACAGCTGAACATGTTAAACTTATTGCAATGATTAATGATTTATCATCAGAGATTGAATCCAGTGCAATTTTGGAAAAATCCCGTCTGCTGATTGAAGAAAAAATCAAACGACTTGAATGTAATTAAATAATTTTGTCATATTGGAATGTTATTAATGTAAATATTTTAGATGAAGACATTGATGAATTTCAACTAAATGAAAACGCAGGAATACTTACAACACATTTTAAAAATACTGATGAATCAGATACTGACATAATGGTAAATAATTTAATTCCAAGGAGAATGTGATTTATCAAATAATAATTGTTATACATTCATATTATTTTAGTCTCTTATTTCAATGCCTTCAATCAGACAAAAAGAAATCAATAAAGTTAGTGAAGAAATAATGGAACTGATTAACAAACCAACGGTTAAAGAAATATCTCTTGCAGAAAAATTCCAATCCAAAGGAGGTAAGCAATTTTTTGATTGTGTTATTGTAAGAATATTAAAGTTTCTAATTTTTTATTATAGGAACACATGTTATGCAATTTTGTCCTCATGGTACACGAGCTGACTGCATGGAGGGACATGTTTGTAATAAACTTCATTTTAAAAAAATTATCCAAAAACATACTGACGAAGCTTTAGGTGATTGTTCTTTTTTAAACACTTGTTTCCACATGGATTCTTGTAAGTAAGTGTTGAAACATTTTATTTTGTTGTTATACAACATATTAATAAAAATACACATGTGTACTTATTAATGTATTCAGCTATACTGATTATTTTATAATAACTATTTTGGATAAATTGACGATTTATTCTTAATATAGTCTAATTTTTTTTTCTGTTTATAAAGTATTGCAATTGTATAATAATAACTAATACTTAAAAAAAATATATATATTTATAGCCTTTTTTAAATTATGGCCATTGATTAAAACAATTTCTTTGTAAAATCAACTTTAGGATAGTGGTTAAAAAAAAGAAAGTGGATACCGGGGATAGGAGTCACTGTTATAGGTGAAGTTGGAAAGGTATAATAAATAAAGTTATTTAGTTTATATTTGTAAATAACGATAAGCCATTGCTATCGAAAAATGAATTAGAGCGAAGTTTGGATATACATTTTTTGAAAGGCCGTAATATTTACAATTCTTGTCAAAATTTTATATTATAAAAAAAATACTACATTAAATTTTAATATGGAAAGATTTAGAAAGAATATTGTCATATAATTTAAGTTTTTACAATAAAATGGGGTTTGTTATAAAATGATTTCTACTTTTATATAAATTAATCTTAAAATAATTTTTGAATGTTGTTTTTGAAAATTATTACTTACTAATTCTAATTATTTTTTATTAGATATGTTCACTATGAAGTTGATGGTGAAACTAGCAAAATGCATTTAATGGATGCCCTAAATAGTTTTCCATCAAAAAAAAGACTAGCTAGCAAATCTACATTACTACCGTGTCAATGGATTCAGTGTGATTTAAGGTACATGGATTTCACATTTTTAGGTGAGTAAGTAAAAACTCTGTCAAAAATGATTAGAAGGCTACAATTTGCATGCACTAGTAGCATAGTTTTATCTTAAGTAAAAACTATCAGATAAGGTGCCTGTAATGCCTGTAATCTAAGTTTTCTTAACTAATTGGAAACATATATATATTTAAATTTGAGTTAGAACATATTATGTAAAATTATTAATGATTTCTGGGTTGCCTTAGCTACTAGACGCTACTAATACTATTTTGTTCAATATCATTTTTTGATTGTAACTATATGATGTTGTTTTTGGTTTATAAATTAAATTACCCTATAACTTATACCTTTAAAACCTTCCATTTAGTGCAAATTAGATTTGTCTTTTTAGTAATTCATTTAAAAGTAAATAAATTGCTTGTGGTATTGGGAAAATGTACTGTTGGGATAATTGACTTTAAGAGAACTTTTAAGACAAGGGACATTGGGAAAACTGTCTCTCTATCATTACTCTTACACAATACACTTTTGTCCATAGTAATATGGTGTGATATTGAATAAAGTTTAAACCCCTTAAATTAATTCTAAACTCCAACACTATTTTTTTTGTTTTTCAAGAATATAACCAAAGCATGTAATATAAATATATATAAACATTAAGCAATTAAGTACCAGTATTTGTACAAATAAAATTTATAATTTAGTTTTTTGTATTGCATATAAATTCTAGTTATAGAAAAATTGAAGTGATGAATTTGTAGTAATTTGAACTTACTGTATAAATTAGGAAAATTTTCTATAATTATGGCTGATCCACCATGGGATATTCATATGGAACTTCCTTATGGTACATTATCTGATGATGAAATGCGACGATTGGGTGTTCCTCAGCTACAGGATGAAGGATTAATATTTTTATGGGTTACAGGCCGGTAAGTTGTCAAGTGCAATGTAATTGCATTATTATTTTAATAATGGTTTAAGAATATAGTACATTTTTTCATTAATTTCAGAAAGTTTATTGATTATTTAAAAATCGTTGAATATTTAAGAGAATGTGCTACTAGTAGACAAAAAATGGTACTGGTTTGTTATAACCCAGGAAGTGAAAACTTTATAGCTTTGCCACTTAAGTTTGTTATCGCCTCGCCATCAATATAACAATAAATACATGGTATAAATATAAAATAATTTGATGAAAATTACGTACATTAATATTCAATGGGAATTTTCAATAGAAGGAGATGTAACAAATTAAAATTGTGAATAAAGTAAAAAATTGTCTTCTCTAGTCAACTTGACAATGGGAATTGGTAATTTAAAAACCAGATTCTAAAAATATGCCAATTTCTAATCATTACATCAAGTTTTCCTCAGAAATCTGCTGAAATTTATGAGTTTCAATATTAGATTACTCATATTTGTTGTATTTTTAAGCCAATGGGGGGGGATATAACGTTTGACCTCCCCCCCCTGTGCACGCCACTGAATTGTTAGGCACCTAATAGTAATGGTATGTATTTTGGATGGGGGGGCGATAACAAACCTGAGTGGTGGGGCTATAAAGTTTTCACTTGCCACGGCGGGGCTATAACAAACCAGTACTCAAAAAATATTAAAAGAACAATCTTAATTTGTAATGTTTAAGTTTAGAAACCAACTTTAAATTTTAATCTTGTTGCTGCCATTGTAGGTATATAGTGTTATTTGCTATATTGTACATTATCTAAATTCTAGATGAAGCTAGGATATGATAGTACTGTGAAACCTGTCTTAACAGACAAAATATTAAGGCTGTAGTAAAATGATTTTTGTATTTCAACTTGTTTATACTGCAATCATGTTTAGACAATGACCGGGTGGCTGATGTGTTTGTTTTGGTCAGATCCCTGTCCTGCAATACCTAAACATTAATGCCATGCATCTGATTGGCTAACCAGTTTTTTATGGTTACAAAAACACCCGTTTATACATCTGCACATGAAATAACTATATTATAAAAGTATTAATTAATTTATAAAATTACGGTGTTGAATAAAAATTTCTAAAGTACTATTGGTTTATTAAAAAACAAATAATAATAGAATGTATACTAGGCACATATTGTATACAGTTAATGTGCATGCTGTGTAAGTAATGTTTGTATTCATTATGGAACGTGATGAGGTCGTAGTCTTGAAATAGGTGGATCTTTCTTGCGCAATCGGTCATCGTCTTAACAGGTTGCAGTGTATAACAAAATCTTTCCAAAACAGATGTGGACAACAATATTTCTTCCAGATGACATAATAATGGACAATAATTTTACAGTAAAACAAAGAAAACATGATTTATACTTCTAACCAACAACTTTTATCTTTATTTTATACATCTGAAAATGATAAAGTTTATTTCATGGTTACATAGATATTAAACATTATGAGTTAGTTGTTTTTTCTATGCAATGGCATCTTATATTCTGTAAAAATCGTTCAGTCTAAACTAAAAATGTTGAAATTATTCGGTGCATTTAATGGTTTTTATATTTGTAAACTTGCTGAAAAATTTGGGATCGGTAAAACACAAGTAGCTGAATAAATTTGTCTATAGAAACACTACAACCTTTGTACTAAAGATTGATTTTTATAACTGACACTTTTGATGGTCCTGTGAGTGTCTCTTATATATAGGTTTCACTGTGTATGACAGATATTATCTGTCTCTTTTCATTAAATTAAAAATAAATAAACAATTGAGTGATAGATAGGGTATTGCACCAATATTGTTTATTGTTTTTAATAATTCTTATTGCAATCAAATTCAATATATTTTTTTAGAGCTATGGAGCTCGGTAGAGAATGTTTAAAACAATGGGGTTACAAACGAATAGACGAGATAGTTTGGGTAAAGACTAATCAGTTACAGAGAATTATAAGGACAGGTAGAACGGGCCATTGGCTTAATCATGGCAAAGAACACTGTTTAGTAAGTCCATACATTTTGAATATTAGTTTTATAACCGATTTTATTATTCTATGTGTTGTATAATAGGTGGGCATGAAAGGCAATCCTGTAAACCTTAACTGTGGTTTGGATTGTGATGTGATTGTAGCCGAAGTACGAGATACTAGTCATAAGCCAGATGAAATATATGGAATTATTGAACGACTGTCACCAGGCACTAGAAAAATTGAGTTGTTTGGACGAACTCATAATATTCAACCCAATTGGTGAATATTTCATTATATATTACCTTATATTATTAGAGAACTTTAATCTTAATTGTTATAAATGTTTATAATCTATTTTGCTGATGCCATAGTTTATTAAATAGATTTCATTTTCTTTTTCTTTTTTTTACAGGATAACACTTGGGAACCAGGTAGAAGGTATTAGGTTAATAGATCAAGACCTTGTTGATAAATTTAGAAAAGCGTACCCATCAGGAGATTGCTTGTCAACCTTAAATAGGATTACATAAATTTGTTTTATTTTTGTTGTATATTATGTAAGGAAAAAAACCAATAATGAAATAACGCACTTAAAATGATTATACTTTCATATAATTTTTATTAGATGTTTATTAATAGTATTATAGCTTATAGGTACCTATGAGATTTATTTGATGACAACATATAATATAATAAAAGTATCAGAAATCAATCTGCCAAAATCTATATTTATTTTAAATTTCATTATATAAATAAATTATTTTTACACAATAATAATATAAAAGAATTGGCACTTGTTGTGTTTTATATTTGCTTGGGGCAAGACACATAATATAATATAAACTCGTTAGGCCAGACTTATGACTTATAAGCCTAATACTATAGCTGATCGTTTTCGATAGCACAAATATAATATAAATTAATAAATAATCTTAAAACTAAAAATTCAATACCCTAGAACCTAAGTATTAGGTAATACATTCAAATTTGATTGTTTTTCGTGCCAAGTCGCCCGATTATATAATTATATAGAAAAAAAAAAAGAAGAGAAAAAAAGTTTGGTGGTGGAGGTTTTATTATTAATATTAGCTAAACATTAGATTGAAACACGTGCACGATACGGATCTCAGGCATGTCTGTCGTACGTTTGTTGGACGAGTAACGTTACCGGTAGATACGACACGTGACCATTAATTGGGTGAGAGAAAAAAAATATAAATAATAATATAATAATATTATACCTAATATATTATTTATACGTTTACGTGTGTATGTTTTTGTTTTAATGATTTACAGGGTCAGTACAGATAGTTTTTGGGCTCTTCGGTGGGCTGTCCGCAAACGCCGTGGTACTGTTTGCCAACCAGTGATCGGGACCGGCAATTTTCCATTTCCAAGAAACAGTCGTTGCTGTACGTCTTCTGGTCAGTACCGCAAATCGGGTCGTAAAGTGGCGGGCACACACGCTGGCAACCTTTGAACTGAAACCCTGTTAGACACCTTTTTACGGGCACTACATACACGTGTTTCCTGCGAACCAAGTACGTTTATAATATAGCGAGTAAATACCGACAGTGTAGTGCCAGTGTATGACCAGTAACTGTGCGTTCGGTATTCGATATAATATACAGTGCTCGAATTAGATTTTTTGTATATTATATTATAAGAACTTTGCTGATGATCTTTTTTTTTCTGACTTATCGGCTCCCCAAAATCCTAAATGATGCTATTTTTTATGGCTTAGCAGAGCTCCCTCTACTTTAATTTTCCCAATTCGAGCCCTGGGTATATACCACAGTGACCGACGCAGTTACATGCAGCATCTTATACGTGATTGTTAAATTAGTATGTTTGCTATACTTTTTAAATCGAAGAAAACGTGTTCTAATATTATACAAGAGAAATATTTGAAAAAAGAAAAGCTTGTATGTAGCCGCTGGCAATTGGATATTATATTATAATTTGTGCTCACCCGCAGTTTTCACGTTTCATTTCGCACTCGTTCCTGTACAGCTTGTTGTCAGATCCGCACACAAACTCTTTGGTCTTATCGCATTGCTGATTGCATAGTGCCGTGGTCGGACAATGATGCGGTGGGACGACGACGACTTTTTGCCCACAAGTATTCATCTTCAGATCGCACTCGGACCTATACACAGTGTTTAAGTCGTAAAGTACGTATAAGATACTACATAATAATACTCAGTGTAAGTATTAAGGATGTGCTTGTTAGGAGTTTTAATTTTCAACCTCGACTTCACTGTCTGTTTGTAAGTAGGTATCAACATTTTTAAGAATTACCATGATTTATATACCTATTTTGATAATACGTTTTTTATTCGATTTCTCGTCATTATTAAGAGGTTACAGGATAATTTTTATTCCTGAAAAAAAGGGAGGGGAGACCATGAAACAGGGCAGATGAAGTAGACCTTGTTAATAATTTACATCCAATGAATACACATTTAATTAAATTAAGTATATAGACCTATGTAATATAATATTATTAATATCCGTGAACAGCTCTGGCAACCATAATTTTTTAGATCAATTGAAAAAAAATATATATGAAATATTATAATGACAATAAGTAGGAAAAATTTGACTCTAGTGACTGGGTTCTGTTGTTGATCGGGGTTTCATTTTTGGCCAGAATTAATATTTTTGGTTTTTTTTTTTTTTTTGATACAGTAAAAGTGCCGATAACGTACAAAATGAATAGAGTGCCTTCGTTTCACGATCGTTTATCACGAGCTGACGCGGGTGGCTATGGTATCGAGAAACAATCAATTACTGTGATAAAAAAATTCTATAATCCAAAGATTATAAAAATTTACCGCGTATCGTTTGTAAACTAGGCAGGTACCTCTATGTTGTATGGATTTACGATTTTCAAAAATAATAAACGTAATGTTTTTTTCTAATGTTATTTTACTCATCCTCTATGTCAGTCTCCGAAAATTTATACATCCCTAATGATATACGAAATACATCATTTCCGCCGATGATAATTTGCTGCTATAAATCCATATCGCTGATGTCTTCTCTTTCTTTTTCTTTCCGCCTTTCGTCCCTTTCTAAATTAAGACTTGACGTGCTTATTATTAACTTGTTGACACTAACCTGTACACGTTTCCGTCGGAAGCGCACACTGGTTCCTCTGGTTCGTTTTCACAGCTCTGCGGACACTTTTCTACAGATAAAAGCGATGAACATTTGCCCAAATGCGCCATTTGGATTCCTTTCCTGAAACGATAAGTAACGTTATGATATCGTATTATGTTTATTATCATTTTAACAGACAAGTGACGAAATCTTCGGGAACGGGGTTATAGGTATAACGAAAGATTATTTCTGATACAAGAATTTAAAAAATCCAAATAATTTCAGACTCAGATGCTCCCAAAAATGTATTTTCTATCGGATGATGGTAAGTTTACAGCAAACGTGACATTTCTGTATAAAATAACTTTGAACTTGAAATGTATTTCCGAAAAGCGAATGGGCAAAAACTCTCCTGCGTTCTTCTTCCTCCCTCTTCCCGGTACTAATTATTCTAGAAGTTATTTTAATGTGTATTTTGTTTTGAAAACTGTTTTGTCTAATTTAATCCGTAGGACTAGTTTAAGTCCAGTACCTCGTAGTTATAGGAAGTGGATGGTGAAAATACTTCCCCCCAGTGCCTTTTTTATGTTAAACAATTAATAAATCTATATTAATAGAAGTGTACATTTAAAAAAAAAATAAAGTACCATTGATAAAAACTTCTTATCTCTATGTAGGTATGGCATGAAAACACCGAGAAGTTTTTCATTAGCAAGCGTTTTTAAAACAAAAATAAAAAGGGACAGAAGATCAAAAAAAAAAAAAATTAAATCTTAATTATTTAACTCAACCTAATCTTACCTAACCTCCCAAACTTCTTTGAAACCAAATTTATTTGTCTGTAAACTAAATTTATATATAAGAAATTGCTCTTATTTGATTTTCCTTGTAAATTTCTTAATAACGGAGAAAAAGAAAAACCAATAAAAAAAGATAGGACAACTGGGATATTTACACCATATAACGGTGTTTTATATGTTCGATTTTTTTTTAACTCTGAAAAATAATGTTACATAGATCTGAAGTTTTACCGATGAGGTTTTTATATTCGCCTTTTCCAAAGTTTCAAAATATTCGACAATTTTTGAGCTATTCATAGCCATTTTACATTTTCTAGTTTTTATTAGTGTTTATTTGGTTTTATGTGGATAAAACTATTTCGGACCAGTGAAAATGTTCGGAAATTTGGTTTATTATGTGTTGCAATTAGTGGTAAAACAAAAGAAAAAAAGTTGAGCGAAATGTGTTTAGTTTTTTTTCTGATTAACGTTTAAAGTCAAAATTTTAATGAAAATTTGTATTTTAGTATAAATGCAAAAATGCCTTATCTATCAAATAACAAATAGGAGAAATAAGTTAAATTGTCCGAAAAATGAGTTGATGATCTCCGTCCCCCGGTACCAAATCGAGCTCTGGGTACAGTACGACATAAATGTAAGTATTTATGCTATAGGTTATTATTTTTATGGAATTATTTTTCGTCATGTTTTTACCTCGCTGTACGCAAAATCGGCGAACTTTTATCAAATTATTAACTATTCTAGTCTTGAGTTGATATTATTACGTGTTCTCTGATTTTAAATGGAGAAAACGTACGGTCGAGTATATTAAACGAAATAAAAACCCGTCCGTTTTGTAACCCTGCAGCGTTGTATACATTATAGCGGTCACGCCCCCCCCCCCTCGCGAGGTTTTAATGACGGATTCGCGAATAGTATTCAGTGGCGTGTAATTTTAGCACAGCGATTGTGGTGTAATAGTAGGTACCTACAGTGGCAACGGAACCTATTGGCGTGTTGTACTGAAGTCGGTTTCTCGCATTCCGTGTCGTTAAACGTTTACGGAGGTGTATTATTATAATAATATAATATGCCGATAATTGGCAATTTTTTTTTCTACGTCAGAATATTATTCGGACTAAATAACCCGCAAGAGCGAAGGAGCCGGCGGGACTGGAATCCGGAGCGGAAATTTCTTTTATTTTCCTGTTTTCAATTCGTTTGTTGGTCACGCCATCGAAAATCCGTTATGCGCGTCTATATCATTATTATTTATTAGGTAATGAAAATCCAGTAAAAATAAAAAGAGCTGCGAATACTGCTGATGGACGTGTAGATGGGAATTTGGGAAGGTAGGATACGTGGACATATTTGAATAATTATATTCGTACGCAACTACAATAGAAAACGCGAAAAACGATTCTGAGCGAATTTCGGTTAAAAATGAATTAAAATGCCGCGGTGTATACGTTTTTCGTGAAAATTTGAACTTAAAACTCTTACGAAAAACTGCGTTACGTTAAATGACCACTATGCAAAAATGACGACGAACCTCGTGTAAAATTATCAAGCATTTGTGTTCGGCCAAACAAATTTTATCCACAAAAAATTAAATGAAATATATAGGTAGTTTATAACTATAGGTATTAGAAAAAGCCGATATAAATATTCTGTAAACAATGCACGTACCTACCTATCTACAATTATTTTCAACCAAATTACAACAAAAGAATGCGAAATCGAAAATAATAAAACTGTTTATTGCCGTAAATTCGTGCGTATTTCCTAAACGGGTTTTCACAATTATTAAAAAAACCACTAGGAAAATTTAAAAAAAAAAAGTGATCTCCACCAACTAGTTCCGAAATACTAGGTAAAAAAAAGCTTTCTAATCATTTTTTAATTGGAGCAAGATTATTTGCAGAAAAGTTGTAAAATAATAGAATATTTTTAAAAACAGCACTTTCAACTGCTCTCAGAATTAATAAAAAGCAAACTTATAAATATATTATTTGACGTGGCTATGTATACTACTATAATTTACGCACAGACAAGTGGCCTGGTCCAGGTGGCATTGGTTCTTGTATGTTTGCGCGTCGTTTCCACAAATCGGATCCGCTTCGTCCGGACACTGTCCTCTGTTACATTTGTTGATCTTGGCTCTGCACTTTTCTAAATCCACTTTGGACACTTTTTTCTTGGTCTGTTGTCTGGGGGAGAAAAAAAATGAAAATATGATTACTCCGACAGTTTTCTCTAAAAATTACTACTAAAATTACCTTTAAACATTCATTAAATCATACATTATAGCCATTTAACGTTAACTTTCGTTCATTTAACAAAAATGTTTGGGATTAATAACATGTTATACATTAATATATAATTCTTATTTTATTCACGACATAATATATATTTATTCTCTATTCATTTTTTTGGTATTTTATTGTAATAATACCTAAGTCGGTAATTACTGCAGTCTACTTGTATCGTTCGTATATATCAACAGCGTTATATTTTAAAGAAATTGAAATTAAATTTTTTCTGTAATGAATTAAAAACACGATAAAAACAGAACTAACGTGTTTTTATAGTATACCTCTTTTTCCTTTTCCTTTTTAACAGCAAGCTGTTACTAGTATTATTAGCATTAGATAAAATGTATTAGACTGGAGTATAACATTATAGTTTATATTGGAACACGTCACACTGACCAGTAACATTTATACCTAATGCCAGAAAAGCTGATTTGAACATTTTTTTTTTTTAAACGATGAAACTAATTCGGTATTTATTGGAAACTAACACGTAAGCTATACAACATGTAAGAAATTCTTTAATATGCTCTAAAATTGCACGGAATTTTTAAAATATGCTTTAAAAATGTTCTTACCTATAAAATCCCAAAATATGCTCTAAATATGCCAAATACAACTGTCAATAATATAATAAACGAGGTGTGTAAATAAAGTATAATGCGATAGCGTTGCATGCTATCGGGCAACCCTAATGGCTTTCCATTTAAAAAAAATTATGGATAAACATCTAATGTGTCATCAGTACGGGTTTGAATTTCATAGAATCGCGTAGTCTGTAGTGATTAATATGTGACAACAATTTCGAGCAACGGTATGTTATTCGATTTTGTTTCAGACTTAGGCACAGTGTGAAGAAAAATGTTCAGATAATGTATACTTTCAAGGGCCCAAGTTTTTAGATGGTTTAAGGCAGTGGTTCCCAACTTTTTTTATTCTACGCCCCTTGTAAATTTTCAAAAATCCTATTAAATTAGATTAGACAATTGGAGTAGACTACTTTTTTTTTTTAGCGAGCCGTACAAATAGATTGTACAAAATAATTATTACATATTATTCATTATATAACTAAAATTAATTTATTGTTTCCAATTTTACTAATTGTAAAATGGCTTAATTGTATTAACAACAAAATTCTCGTTATTTCATTATCATTTTAATTTCCCCGTGCAGCATCTAAATTCTCTCTATATACTTTAAGGCATATTCAGAAGGCAGAGAGTCGATTAAAGACGAACCTCGTAGTGAAAGGCCTTCAACTGCAAAAAATGATGAAAACATTGTTGTCACTCATTTTCAGACGTTATCACTACGAACCAACACGTGAGTCTAGGAAGTTCTAACTCGTACTGAAGGCACATTATATGTTTATCTAAAAACCTTTTCAAACGAAAACCTATTAGTGTTTTCAGATAGTATTCTACGCTATTAGTCCCATTACTTTATTTACACACCTCGTAATCGTTGTAGATTATGAAATGTATTTTGTTATAAATTAGCTATTCTTTTGATCAATAAAAATATGCAAAAGCACAATTTAAGTATCTGTCCTAATTTTAAGCATAATAACCGTGGTAATCTGTCTGTACAAAATCGAAATTTACTCACTGACTAAACACGAAATCTCGAAAACTATCTGACCTATGGGGCTGAATTTTGGCGGTCAAAAAATGAAGGGGTTTTATAAAAAAAAAAAAATCTAGATAATTTGAAAACAATCACTAAAACTTGTTGAGGCTCGATAAATATAATATTATCTATATTTTTTTTTTAACTATTTCGTATGAGAAGCAAATAATTAAAAATGCGTGACCGTTATTGCGGGTGACTTACACTTAAAAAATGTTTTGCTTTCGTATTGCGTTAACACGCTAAAAGAGTTGCACTCGCAATTTTTTCCACGGGCAGCGCCGGGTAATTATTCGGCTAACGTCAATATATTATATTACAAATATTGTCAACTAAATAGGTATATTATACTCTAACTCGGCATACCCGCAGTTGAGCATTTTCATTTCGCACTCGCTGCGATACACGTTGCCGTCCGAGCCGCACGTCAGCCTGTCCTTTTCCTTGTCGCAGTTCACCGGACACGCGTTGGCCGAGCCCACCCGGTTGCGTTCCTGGCTCAGGCAGAACGCCATCGGCACCTCGAACACGTGCTTGCCGCAATTCTTGGACTTCATCCGGCACGCGTTGCTGTAGATGTTGCCGTCCGATCCGCAAGTGGGCTTGGACACGCGCCAACACGACTCCCGGCAGTGCCTGGTCGTCTGACAATGTTTCTTGGACGTCCTTACCACGCCCTGTCTGCGCGCCAAAAACGTATGGGAAAAAAAAAAAAAATCAGTCGGTTTTAACAGCGCGTTTTTCGAAAGGTATTTTCCCGCGGCAATAATATTTTCCTAGAAACGTTTCGCCGCGAGATTTTTTGACCTCGAAAACCTCCACGTTATTGATATTGTGTGTCACGATTTTCGCGATTTCCAGACACTGCGGCGTGACGACTGTGTGACGCCGAGCTCTGGAAATCGTGAAGGTTTAATGCGCGTGACACAATCGAATGGGGAATTTTCGAGGTTGACAAATTTTGCACGGAATTCAATTTTCAATAAAACACCACCCAAATTATATATAGAGAAACAAAAACTCTCACGTTTCCCGTAGTTTCTAAGAAAATATACCGGACGCGGAATATCTGTTCCTCGAGACCATATTGTTCGTTGCAGTACGAAAACCTATAAAACGCTCGGTTCGCGCGTGACGTCATCGAAACTTACCCGCAAGTGAAAAGTTTCATCTGGCACGTGTTCCTGTAAACGTTTCCGTCGGACCCGCAAACCGGCCCGTCCATGGGCGCCTGGTCGCAGTTCACAGGACAGTTTTCCCGGTGAGCGGATATATTGTTGCATGGTCCCAAGTGTGACATTGACGTGCCGACCCTGCGCAAGGTTAGATTGGATTGTATAAAATAAAAATAAAAACAAAAAAAGAAAGACTAATATACTTCGCACGACAGCTGTGCCACTATTAAAGGTGAGAAGTCGTGGTACGTATATAGATGGGAATTTCATGTATACCTGTACCTAACGATTAATTACTGTTAACTTGAAACGATTCTGAGCGCAGTTCGATTATACATGTTTTGAATGGCCCTCATGTTGACGATTTTCGTCAAAATTTAGTATTAAAATTCTTATGAAAAAAAAATTCTACATTATAGTCAATTTTTTACACTGAGTACGACTTATAATGAATCTTCTGTTATAGTTTCAAGTATTTGTGTTTAGCCTAACAATTTTATCCATTGAATACCTACCGACTAAAAATTACGTTAAAAATTCGCAAAATTAAAATGCATATAAACAGCTCAAAACTGTTACTACGTATAGAAAACGCAAATATAAGTTTTCTGTTTAAATCTCAAGTTTTTACGAATATTTTTAATTGAACTACAACAAAAAAAACAAAATTGAAAATAATAAAAGCATTATTTTCGTTAAGGTCCGTATAAGGAGGAATACATATCTCGCTGCGCTCAGAATCTAAAATGTTTAAAGACGAACCATGATCCGTTTAATCACGATCATAATTAAGAAACGTCCTCCTCTGGTACTGCCCATCCCCAAAGTAGACGTTTTGAACAATTTGTGTTGAAAATATTTCTGAGTGAATCCTGTTTACGTGCCCCCCGATCATTGTACAAACACGTTATGAGGGAAGATAAAAGTATTTTTTTATTTTTTCTTACAAATTTGTACGGAATATTCGTGAGACCGCGTAGTGCGTAGCGTCAATAAATAGACGATTATTATTACTGTCGGTTACTGTCGCCGCGGTCCGTAAATCGCAATAATAATAATTATACTGACCTACATATTTCCACTTGCATCATGCACCTGTTGAGGTACGTCCGGCCGTCGGTGCCGCACACCGGGTCCTGTTCTTTGGCGCAACGGTGTTCGCAATTGGATCCGTACGCCCGAAGACACAGCGTGGGGCTGTCCGCTCCGGTTATACCTGCGCGCGCGCGTATACAGAACGTGTTTAAACACAATAATGACGCCGGTTATTAACGCCCTACTGCAACAGCGCGCATCTCGGTTTTTGTCGTTTTACAGAATGATCGCGAGAACATGTCGTTCGAACGGTCGAAGTTAAACGATGATACTGCGGGCGACGATTTGACTAAGATTCGTTTGCGCCAATAACAATATGGGTTTTTTTTTTTTTGCGTCTGTTTTCGCGTGCAACCGCCGCTGATATTCGTTATGTCGATACGTAATTTCGGCGTAAACTCTTTTTGCGATCCACAGTGTCGACCGTCACGAGAGTCAATTTCCGAAAACTCCCGTTTCGTTAATACCGACCGTGTTAATCGTCTCATTTTATCAAATTTTGAGATACGTGCTGTTGCAGTACAAGTGAAATTCGCCTAGTGTAACGGTTATTTTTGTCGACAAATACGGCGAGGAGTTTTCGTATAGAGATCTCCCCGGGTGCCGAGAATATCATATTTAACCAGAGTTATTAAAAATAGAATATTGAGACCGTCTCCCCATGTAAACTTATCCAAAATTTTACAAAGAGTTTTCATGCCACCGTCTGGAAATTTAACCGAATTTCGTCCCCTCTAGGCACTAACACGCAGTGTTGTATAAAGATAATTTTTTTTATTATTTAGATAAAGATTAGAAATAATTATCTAGTTGAAGATAAAATATATGTAACAATTTAATTATTTAGATAAAGAACTTTTTGTATATTTGGTAACCACCCATCTAGATTATTCATAAAAGTTATGTGATATACATATAAATAACATATAAATTATAATTTAAAAAGATTTATCTAGATTATTTAATTGTTTATTTGTATGGCTTAAAGACAAATCAAATCAATGTTACAACAATCTAATAAGTTATAATATAGTTAATGAAATAAAATAAAATTATAAAATATGCATAACATAGATAAATCCATTTTATCTAGATAATTCAATTATTTATTTTGTATAACGGCTCAGATTACTTATTTCTCATTTATCTAGATTAGATAAAAGATTAAAATATACATATTATCTAAACAATGCATCTAGATAAAACACAACCCTGTTAATATGGTGTCCAAGTCTCTGTCACCACATTTATACACGAAGTCACGTGGATGGGGTCTTTCGCGAAAACTACCCACCGCTGTCAATCGCGACAAATCACAATCATCACAATCGTTTTTCACCTTTGCCGCAAGTCTTCTTTTTCAGCTCGCACTCGTTTGGGTATATGATACCGTCCGAACCACACACCGGTTCTTCGGAACTTCCCTGTGGACATATCCTCGGGCACGCCGAATCCCTGGCTGCCATCACGCCTGAAACAATTTGTTAATAATTTTGTAATCATATAGTACAATTAAATGATTGTTATAAATCAATTTCATTCGAGTGTGCTAATCACATGAAGACGGGAAAAAAATCTCACATTGAAATGTTGTATATACATTAAATTATTCGTAAGGTACAGAAAAAATTGAACTCAAGACTGAAAGACTTTTAAAAACTGAGAATATTAGATACAAACAATAAAAGTGGAAAATTACAGTGGACTGGATACGCTCGGCGAGGTTGAATTTCACTTATACGCATGGTAATGGAAGAAATTCCGGAAGGAAAGAGTTTTTGTAGTCTCAGTTTTTATAGTTTTACAAAATGATCGAGAAACATTGTTTAAATGATTTAATCTCATTAAATATTGGTAATGTTTAATAAGTATATTTCGCACTAATAATGTATTTTTTCTTTACAATGTGACTATTTCACGGATAATTTTAAGATATATATGTGCTGTTGCTGAATAAGTGACGATAAATATACATCTTAGACATTCCCCTCCATTTCAGGTGGGAAGATGTGGTGGTTAACGAGACGCGGAATTTCTAAATGGACGGCGAGACTTTTAAATTAAGAGCAGTTGACACGGAGAAGTGGATAATTAGGTGTATGTGACGGAATGGTCCTGGTACTCTTATAGTGGTCGATAACCCCAAGAAGATTCGAAAAGGAAGAAAGTACTTGAAAATGATGGATCACCACTGGAAATGTCTCATCAATAGGGTAACTCGTCTTACGTTATATATTTTGTATGTGGTTTAAAATATCTATTATATTGTCGTAATATATACGTTTATGGCTAAATATTGCTGTACATTAAATATGACATGCCTTTTTTGCCAAACAAAACGTATACCTACATAATAAACACTTAAAATATTTCGATTTGTATGGGTTAGGATGTGCAAACACTTAATGCATGCCATTCAGACTAAAAAATAAAGAGAAGAAAATTTCGTAAGACAAAATAAAAAATGCTAACAATTGACTTTAGCTCTTCTTCCCTGGGACCAATGATATATTGACGATGAAAATATAATATGCACGTTTCAAGCATTGCACCTGCAGTAGCAATAACGAGTAAACTTAAAAAAAAAAAACTAGTCTTAGGGACACGATCGAAAAAATTCTACTGCAGGAGTCCACTCGCTGTACACATCACACACACGCGACGGGGTCGGTCAAGTTTAAGGTTAATGTGTTGGATTTTATTTTTCATCCGTTCGTATGCAACACGTTTATCGTTCCCGGCAGCGTATTCAACGGATTTTTTTTCAATTTTTTTTTTTCATCGTACGCTGTCGTGGCCGGACGAATACGCCCCGTCACGTCAATTATTATTTTATTAAAATAAATCTTCAACCGGTATACCCGCATTGCTGCCCGTGTTCTATTATAGTCGTGCATCAATAAGCTAGTATACAATTCTTCAGGACATATCTTAATGAATATTTACTGCGTGTTCACTCCTCTTCCCTTAAAAAAATCTCCACGAGCAAATATACCAAACCTTCACCTTGACTTTCGGATTTTTTGTACATGTTCAATTTCCAAATAATACAATGTGATTATTTTAGTGGCGTACCCAGGGAAGGACAGGTTAAGGGATTTCAGATTTCACCCATTGGCCGTGTTAAATCTCAAACAGTATAAACTATTCAGCATTGAAAAATTATAATATTACTGATCAAATAATAATCTTTGCTGTAAAATTGTACTTGTATATAAAAGTAATTTGCATTTTTTATGTTTAGCTGCCCTTATTGACAAATTATGGGTACGTCACTGGATTCTTTTGTCATGAACCAGCCTTTTTTTAATTAGATTTGATTTCGGTTAATTTTTTCTGACATTATTGTTGTTTAACAAATGTATATTTTTAATATTTTTACAATTTTACCCGTGTACCATCATAAACATTAAACAAGTACATACGTATTAACTTTTGATTTCCAAATAGCAACGTAACATTTTTAAACTCCCGTTCAAAATTTTTCTAAACACATTCGATCTAATTATTATATTACGTATTAGGTGCTTAGAAAATCCGAATGCCACGGTAATTAGAGAAGAAATCCTAGTCGTTGAGATTGATATTGTTGGTATATATGTTATGATATATTTTGTGGGACCCGATATTATATTTGTTCGGTACGAAATGCAAATGATCGACCTCACTTTAATATTTTATACTAACGGTAATATTATTAAAATTTATTATTATTGTATACATTCGTACGTGTGATTTTTATACAAGCAGTGTAAAGGACTTGATTTTTGGCGGGGACCGAAATTTATGTGGATGGCAACATACTTGTATAGGATACGAAATTTGAAACCGCAGTATAACATGAAACGTATTATTAAGATGTATTATTAAGCAGGTATCATTTATAACCAATTTATTATTGTTTTTAGTATATATTTTTTTTTTCAATCTTAAATTATCGGTGTCAATGATAAATAAGTACATATTTGGGTACTGTAGAACAAAAAAAAAAAAAAAATCGCGGTCGTTATTTAAATGGGAATAAATAATTTTCGTACAGCTTGCTGGTCCGAATCCCAGTATCGTTTTATGAAATTACGGAACGTAACTATACATTTATGATTATTTATGATTATTTCGTTAATGTAAATACATATTATTGTAATTATACAATACGTTTTGTGGAGGTTGATTATTTTGTTTTGAAATTTAAATATACAAAGATAATTATAATAGGTACTATATTATTATAGTTAGTTATACAATTTTTTTCTATTTGTTCGTATTATGTTTTTATACAATTTTTTTTTTCATAACAAAGTCTGAGTGTAGCGAACGTCATATTTAACTAACATGTTTTTTTTTTTCGGAAAAAATCTTTTCGGGCATGCAGTAAAACTGCTAGGATTCTTTTTACGTCATACTTTAAAACATGTGGATTTTCCTCCCTTATATGGTGCTTTATTTGAAAAATGTTTCGAAATTCCTAATACTTTTTTTAAAATTAACTTTATGTTTTTGATTAGCCAACTGTTTAGTAAAAACCCGATGATATTTTATTTGAAATATTTATAAACATTTTCAACAGTCCAATCCCAAAGGATTTTTTTGTGGTTTTTCCTTACTTTGGATTTAGTAAGAAAGCCTCTGCAAATTATTCACACATTTAACCGTATCTACCTTTAAATATGAATAAAAAATAAATAAATAATGTTTGTTAATTTCCGGGTTGCCTTGGCTACAGGGTTAAAAGAAACGACGAATTCTATACTATAATACAATTTCAAAATTATAGTAGTCGCCTGTAGGTAAAATCTATTTATGAATAAGTCTATTTTCAAAAAAGAAAAGTAAGATAATGGGAATGGATGCAGCCAATGGTGTAGGTAAGAAGTTGGGAAGGTAAGATTTATACGGGAATTTACTGTATGTCTGTAAGTAAAGATAAACCATTGTTAACGAAAAAACGATTCTGAGCGGAGTTCAATTGATAGTGTTGCTTTGTCAACAATATATATGCCATATTATAGTAAAATAATTAAGTAGGCTATATAATTTCTTTAATAATGTTTGTTTAATGTTGTACCGATTTCCCTGGTTTTTCTACGTTTTTTCTGGTTTTCCCAGGGTTTTTTTTCCAGTTTTTCACATTTATTGAGAAAACTCCTGGGAAAATCGAAAAACGATCTTTTTAAAGTACCTCCTTAGTGAAATTTCTTTCTAGAAAAATTGCTATCATTAAAATTTGGAGCGAAATTGCTGGTAGAAACGTTATTCACAGAAAAAAAAATCGTAATATTATATTTGTTATGTTTCGTACATGTACATTTTTTTTCATGTACATTTCGTAAGTTTTTTTTTCGGTTTTTCACATTTGATGATATAACTATTGAACAATCGAAAAATGACCTCTTTAGGGTACCTTCCTACACCGATTTTCTTTTAGAAAAGTTGCTACACGTAAAAATAGGAGCAAGTTTTTTGGTAGAAAAGTTGACCACAGGAAAAAAAAAAATTGTAAAACCATAAGCTTCTTCGCTCTATTTAGAATCTAAAATGTCTATACTATTTTTGTGCCTTATATTTTTGTAGTCTAATAATTTTTAATAAAAAAAAATTACGACTTTTTTTGTTCGGGTTACTGTTTTTCTCATTTATTCTATTTCAGCGAGTGTAGTTCTTTAAATATTTTCATTTTTTCGTTTTTGTTATGATCTAACGTGCATAAAGTATTATAACTGAATTACCCTGTTTATTCTACGTTCCCAATTACCCAGATACAACATTGAACTACCCGTGAGCAGTATCCACTTTTTAAAAGTAAATGTACAGTCTATTTAAACCTATAAAAGTCCTTATATTCGTGCCTAAATAATATATTAATACGTTACGGCGGTCGACTCGATGCATATAAATTATGTACAATGATCTTCGTTATATTATTTTCCTTTCCGGTTTAGTGCACTCGATTCAGTTCACCTACTTTTTTTTTTTTAATTTAGATGTAAATATTAAAATTATTAAATTAGATTTTTTTTTGTTTAAATTCTATAAGTAGTACATTAACGAGAACGAATTGCAAATTGAAAAACATCGTGCGCATTTATCACATTTCACAAATATTATAATAATAATGTGAAAAGTGAATGCGCTGCAGCATGTAACACATTATTATTACAATAGATCATTTTATTGTATAACGTATTGGAATTCAATACATTTTATTTTACGAATGCGATACCGATGTTTACTTAGTTTTTTTTTGTCCTGGTGGTTTTATTAAAACTCTTAGATTTATATTCTCAGGTAATTTTTTATACATGTGTTTGTTAAAGGGAAACATGTATTCTTTCGTCTTGGTATTTTAAACGTACAACACATGCAATTTAAGTTTAATAGGGATAACTTTACGCTGTTAGTTTTAATATTAGGGTGCATCGTATTAACAAACTTAGAGGCAAGAATTAATCTGTGTGTTTTGCTGTTCTTTTAATTTTCAAGCGAGATATGAATGTATTTAATGTCACAATTTGAAAATTCTTATATATTGCTTAACAATTAAAATAAGAAAAAAATTGAGATAATGTGTTCATATACTTTTAAATTTGATAATAGGCCAATCCATTCAAATATTAACTCACAGCCCAACGTTGTCTCTGTTGAATTTGAATTTGCTATGTCGTACGTTTGTAAGACGGAAACAAAAAAATACACGTGTACCCTTTTAACTCCTAATATCATGTAGAATTTAATTAAATTCAAAACGGAAGGGAGTAATTCATTTTATAATATTAAACAGAATCGATATCGTGGAACACTATAAATTTAATATTTTTTTTATCACGGATTTGTATATATTATTTCGTATGAATTACATCATAGTTTTTTCGTTTTAGACTACATTGATTACGTATGGAAAATCCACGTAAAGAAAATCGATAGTAAAAATTTTATGTCGGTGTGGAGTAGAATATATTTTTCATTTTCTTATTCTTTTTCCATTGCCGTGAAAAAGATAAAGAAAATTAAAACAAAAAATGTACAGCACATTGTCGTTGTGAATACAAAATGACGTTTGAGAAATTCTCAAGATAAATTTAGGTACTTATCGAGTTAAACTATTTTGATCGTAGGATACACATTTTACTATACAAATCGATTAATTTTGAACATCGATACTTGTAAATCATCGTGTACGTGCAAATGGGATACAAGTAAATTTTGACCGTTTTCAAGTTGCATAGGTCAGTACATAAAACTTAGGTAAGAAATTGTGTGCCACATCCACTACGGTAATAGCGTTGGCAAGATATTCAAAAAACAATTGAGTAGGTATTTATGAAAAATATTGAATTTTAAATTTTAAATTGTATTATGTCTCAAGATATTGATATTCGTATATCGCCGAAATTTCATAAAACACTACACTAATGCAATGGGAGTTAGTGCAACAGTACTACGCCACTACTAGGTATTGTTTAAAAAAATATATATTTTAAAAAATTCTCTATTATTTGTTATTGATTTATATGCGTTATTATTATGTACCAAGTCTGGATTATACACTAAGTCTAGAAGCCCGGGTCTTGAAACATTGATGGTTTCGAAGATCCCATTTTTTCAAAGCGAATTCGTTATATTATTTTAACGTTTAACGTTTATTGAAATTATTATTATTTTTATTTGGCTAAAATGCTCGGTCGGTAAAAATATTTATTCAATAATTTTTTAGCCTCAGGCCAGTAGTGGATCCAGAGTTGAATTTTGGAGGGCTTCCTAAAAAAAATTATTACTAAGCAAAATAAAAAAAAGGTGATACTGGGGATGGGTGCAGCCGCTGTTATAGATAGGGATTTGAGAAGAGAGGACATATAGGGTTATTTGGTTTATAACTGTAAGCACCGATAAACCATTGTTAACTTATTTTCTGAACGGAGTAAGACTTTTGATAGAAAATTTGCTCATAGACAGAAAAAAAATACATCGCTCCGCTCCGCTTCTTTTCTTCAAAATTTTTTTATTATGCGTTAAATAATCAATTATTGTGGAAGTAAAAACTCGTGTATAGTCTATAGTCTGGGCCCCCTTCTCTGCCCTCCTTCACTGTTTGAGATCTATTAGTTTCAAAAAGAGAAGAGAATACTTTAGTTACAAGATATTTTTTTGTTTTTAATAATAACATTATTGTATGCAATGAACAAAATGACTATCATAATACAGATACCTATAATATTATATTAAACATTTTTTTAAGTGATTATTTCGTACAATCATTTCATTTTCAGCATTTTTTTTTTTTTCCAAAGTGTTACCATTTTTAAAAACCAACGAGTTATTACCGTTATTGGTAGTAAATAGTGCGAGGGACTACGCTGCCCTTTGGACTACCCGGCGCGTACTTGTTTCATTAAATAAAATTATTGACGGGCGATTATAGACTGCAGCGCGTCGTCGATTCGCCCATACATTATCATTATTGTTGTTATTTATTAAATATTTTACGGCGGGCCGAGCGTTACTTTCTACCGGCCGCGCGTCCGGCGGCGGAGTCGGGTCCGGAGGGTCACTAGCCTCGTTCTTTGTTGGCCGGCCGCGCACAATAGAAATAGAAATGTGACCGTCGCATGACGGCTCCAGTTGTCGTGGCTGACCTACTGACCGGCAGCATAATATTGTCGGCGGGACGTTCGGAAGAAATAATAATATTGATAATAATGATAGTAATCAAAAAAAAAAAAACCATTCGCCCGCGTTCATCCAAATATTACGAGTTGTAGGCGCACAATTAGTACCATTAACTCGTCATTCCCATAGTTAATATAGTCTATTAACCTATAGTCTATAACCTTCAGAACAGTGCGCGACGCGTCCGATTGCCTCGGGGAGGCGCGGTGTGAAATTTCTCGCGGCGATGGAGTTTTCTGAATAATATTCGCGTCGCGAAATCATAACTACAAAGTCGTTCGGGTACATCAATAACAATAGTTTAATACTCCGGATAGTTTATGGCCGTGATATATTAAAATGAGAATTTAACGCGGGAAAAAAATGAATGTATCGCAATTATACAACGTAGCTTTTTAATTTAATTTACTGTAATTTACGCACGGTAGCTTAGGTGCAATTTAAGTTCTTTACTTGGACGTGGCGCGCTGTGAAGTAAAGGATTTCGCATCGCACACCTCCATCAGCTTAATTTTAACAATTTTTTTTTTTTTTAGATTTTACCAGATTTTTACATCATATACTATTGATTCATTATGATTATTTTTGTGACATTCAGAACTATCCGGATGAAAAGTTTATATAAACTAAGGCTTGTCACTCCATATATTCATTCACAACAAATAAATGATATTAATAATTTTTTTTAAATAGTTAAAATAAAAAAAAAAAAAAATTTGAATGTAATATAATCCAATTCTTGCCATCTTTGGGGAGGAGTAGCTAAAGCCCCCTAGCTCCATAAATAGCGCTTATGCAATGCGTGAGAACTTTTTTCATTTTTATTACCTCTTCCTGTTCGTGTCGATATTTTTATCGTGTGGTCTGCCTAAAACCGTAGAAAAAACAAATTAATCATTTGCAATGGAGACTGTCGGGCGAATAAACTGATATCTTTATTAGGTTCATACGTATTTTGAAAAACGTAACTCCTACCGATAGAAATCAAACGGGTTTTTGAACGTTTCGACATCGCATCGATACGGTCTTCGTTGTTTCACACAAGTTTTATTAATTGCATTTTAAAAAAAAATTAAATATAAATGCAAAGTATGAGCTGTACGGATTACTGCAACAACAAGAACGCAAGTGTTAATATTATTGACAAAATGATGCAGAGAAAAATAATATGTATCATTATACATATTATTTTTCTACGGGTATATTATATTAAGTGTCAGTACCGCGAGTAAATATTATACATACTCATTTCAAAATAATATCGTGAAACGCATGAATCAGAGGATGAAACGACATAGAAATAATTATTAAATTGTACCGGTCCGATCGGAAACACTGGTAAAAAACAATCATTATTATTTGAATATATTATGCATATTGTTTTTAATAGAATATATTATGTACAATATATTGTTCTAGATTTTATTATTATTTTTTTTTTTTTTTTGTAAATTGATTCGAAAGTAAATAGAAAAGCGTTAACTATCTATATGTACATTTTTATCCACTTATTTTCACAATGGCCATTGTATGTGGCCAATAAATAATAATAATCGAAACGTTTATGCGTACGAAAGCACTCCTTTCAACAATATCGTAGTGTGCTGCAGTAGTGCAGCGTTTAATAAACATTTTAACGATGTGATAGTCAGGTGCCTATGTTATAACCACACACGACGATTATAGTCCGAAATATAGGTCGACTAAAGCTTATCGATTTGGTGGATGTTTAATTCACAATAAAGTTAACACGTCTCATGACATGTTCTTTTGCTCTAAAGTCAAAATACTTTATTTAGTTTTTCCATTACAAGAAAACTCGCATACCAGCGAACCTATTTGGATCATGTTTTTTTTTCTACTCATAAAAAGGAAGACTCTGTACTAGGTGAATTTGAGTTGAATCGTATTGATTTGAATTTAATATGATTAATATGGAATTAAATAGTTATTATTAGAGTTGGAATTTGACCAATTTTTGTCATTTTTAATTTTTTTTGTGGTCGTTGAAATAATGAACCTGTTTGTTAGGTCGTTTAGTGATAAGAACAGTGATCAAATATAGGAAAATTTGGTTGGATGATATTTATTTTCAAGCGATAAGTGGTTCCGAAAATCTTGCTCCGTTCATCAACTTAAGAAGTGATTTTTGGACACAAATTTGATCTGGTTATTGTGTTTAAATTGTTCGTAAATAAATACAGCTGATTTTAATCCAAGTTAAGTTTTGTGTTCATATTTATTTATGTTTTATATTTATTTTGTTTAGATAATTATTATTTTGAATAGTTTTCTCATTATAGTAATTCTCAGAAACTTATATGGGATACTGTTTATTATGTGTTATACGGGTACTACTTCTAATATTAAAATGAAAACGTTTGAGAATTTAAAAATTTAACATTTTGTCTACAAAATAAGTATACTTATGATTTGCATAATACTTTCATTATTGGTATATTGTTTAAGAAGTTTCATTATTATAGATTTACTTATCAATCAAAATGCGAACTACATTTTTTGGAAAATCATTGAAACTTTCACTTTTTTTTTTTCTATACAATTTTTATAGAATTTTTTATATTTTATTTTAACATTATTGGTTTACTTTGGCTTTTATTCCTTATATCTGAAATGAGAATTTCAAATAGAAACCACCATTTTTAAATAAACAAAAATAGAGAATATGTTTCTAAAAATGTTGATAAGTTTAATTCTTAAATCGGATTAACCGTGTATGAGTTATACGTTTATGGCAGTTTAAAATTCCAACCGGAGGCGTAAAAAATGGTTACATATTTATCATCTAAAAATTAATACTATGTTAATTACCATTCCCTACTTTTCCAGTCTAAATTTCAAGCTAATAGTTATAAATCATAAACGGTCAATCACGTATTAGTGTTATGTGTATATTGCATATCAAAATGTTTAGATAAATGTTCTTTATTCGTATGTTGCTATATATATAAAAAAAAAAAAAAATTAAAATACATGGAACAGGGGTGAAAAATTGAAAATAGTGTTGAAATATATTTCAAACATAATAATAGAAATAAAGAACTAGAAATCGAATTTTCTTAAAATCCTCTGAGAAAATCGCTGAATCATAATAATAAATCACTCTGTATTGTTTTAGGACAATAATGCCACGGTGGCCTAGATATCCGTACTTTGCGTGATAACATGGAATTTTTGACACTTCTGCTACCTACGCAGTAAAATGTAGCCATTTATAAAGAATCGAGCTAAATTGTAGCAATATGTCGTGCCAAGGATCAGAAGGTAAGATAATAATAATAATATTATCCGTTGATTATAAAAATTTAAAATACCATCTATATACGATATTTGCGCCGAGGACTCGTTTTCCAAACCAGTTGTTATGCAGAGGGTATATAAGCGGAGTCCCATCCAGATAACGATTTATTTTTAACCGTTAATTATTAAAATCTAACACAGTTTTTATTAAATAACCGGCACAGAATGCAGTAGTGGTTCAAAACATAAAATATGCATTATTAGTGTTTACATATATAATACATATAATACTCATTATACTCGCGTATTCGTATTAATAGTATTTTTTTAAACAATTAATATTGCATCGGAACGAATTTACGTGGATTAAATTTAAATATATATAGGTATCTATGTAGTTCTTTATTTTTTTACTTTAACGTTTTAGTGCTATTTCGAACAAGTTTATTCCGAGAGAGCGTGTTCCCGGGTTGATCATATTTGTTTTCTTTAAAAAGCGTACCTATGTATATATATTTACTTAATTTAAAAAAATAATCGATTGCGTTCATATAAAGATTAACGGATAATCGTCGATGACCATGAAATATATTTGAAATTACAATATTGTAATGACAACTGAGATTTAACGTGAATATTTTGTATTTTCCGTGCCGATACGCTAATTTATCAAATCAATATCAATCTTTATTAGTTTATTTATAAAATTTGTATAATTTTCGTAATTTTTACGAGGTCAATACACAAGTAATAAAATACTCGGCATATCTATCAATTTGATGACTCTAGAATGCTGCACATGCAAATAACTATACTGACTACATAATAATATAAACAAGTTAAGAGAACCGTGCAGAATTCCCGGTTTCTAAACGTATTTTAAACGTGAATTATAATTGTATACATTTTGAGAGAATTTGGTAACCGCATTAATACGTTTATGTGTAGAAATCTAAAGAAATTAAATATCTCTATTTGTAAATAGTTGACAGAACAGATTTATTTAAACACCCAAAAAACAGTAATTTCTATTTCCTTTGTCGCAGGCCTCGCTTAGCTCAACCTCGAACAGGATATATTATAATATAGTAATGTACTAACATTTTAAATTTGAATGGTACTGTAATAATTTCAGATACAATACATTTAACGGACGAATTCGGATTGTTTTCTTGTAGTTTTAGAAAATCCAAAAAATATTATTTATTTTTTTTTTTTTTTGTCATTCAAGCTCTTTATCGCCAAACAACTTCTTTGTGTCGCGTCGGCTTCTGTCAGAATGCTTTTTCCGGTATTCCACTTAAATTTTTTCTTACAAATCCATAACGTTGTCCGTCCATCTTCTTGGTATACTCTTAGTATTTTTCTATTTTTACAAAAGTTCCACCAGTTCACCACACATTGCCGGCCTATTTTAGATTTGTCCCTCTGCAGGACCATCAAATTTTCCTTTTTATATATTTTGTATTATAGCTGGGTGTTAGTTCTGATTTCACATTTGTGTTCGACATTATTCTAGATACTTTTCTTGGTACCATAATAAATATCTAATATACCATAATATAATAAAAAGTTAAATTGCCTATTTTTACTATATAGTTTTATAAAAACCATGGGGTTTTTTTTTAAAAATAATACTTATAATATTTATAATTATTTAAAAAATTACAATAGCGTCTAACGTTACTATAACATTTTTATATCTTTTTAAGTTTGATATATTTTTAAAAGACGGCTGTATTCAATACGATTATTTATCAATTTAAAAATATATATATATAAATCATGTAAGTAATAATAATAGTTATAAAAGCAAGATTTCGGATTTAAAAAAAAAAAAATGTATTATAAACTTCTTTTCTTTTTATTAGTTTTGCCGTAAGATCACGCCGATTTAATAATATCTACCAATGGTTTTAGAAACGATTATATTTTGTTTTATTATTATCAAGAGACGGTTTATACAATCTCGTATATAATGCACATTTAAGTGTCGTGTAAAAAATAATAACGTGTTCGGTGAAGCAAAAAATGATAAAAAAAATTATAAGACACGATATATAATTATTAATTTTATAAAACACCGACATTGCTACTTAACTATTGTGCAGTGTGACGCGTCTAATAACAATAACAATAATGGTCTCTAATGACTACTGCAGTGATTCAAAGAACAAGTTAAACTGTCATCATTCTCAAATCTCACATTATATAATTTTTTTTATATATATATATATGATATAAAATTCTTTTGTCCGGTAAATATAATATTCAGTCTGCATTGTCTTTGATCTCTTCTCGTATAGGAATATTATAAAGGAAGCGAACACACCGGATCCGTTCGGTTCAGTCATCGCGTTCAGTTGAATTGTTTAACATGTAAATAATTGTACATATAATATTAGATATGTTTATAATTATGTATCTATAAAAAATATTACCCAAGTGTTAATAACGCATCCGAAACGGATTTATTTTTTTTACGAGTTTTGCGTTGCGTAATTTATATTAATGTAAAGCTGGGCAAATTAATCGAATTTTTTTTTAAACTAATTTAAGTTAAATTGTCCTAAATAAATAAATAAGCTACGGTAAAGTTAGTTTTGAAATATATATAATGAATTTGAGTAACTCAGTTAAGTTAAAAGCAATTTTTTTAAAATCATCCTTAACTTTAGGTACAGTATAAGTACACTCATTAATGCATTTTTACTTTTATAGACTCACTATACAAAATTCTCGTGATGGGTATACTTGCATAGGTCGCGTTTCCATTTCGTTATTTGATAATAATATGCTACATAAAAATACTTAATTTTCGTTGAAAAATAATTGAAAATAAAACACAGGTACACAGTTCTTTTTTCAAACATTTCGTTAGAAATTACTTAAATTAAAATTTTTTTTTTGAAAAGAACCTAAGTATTTTCTAATATACTGTTTTTTTTTTTAACGAGTTAAGAGTTAACATAAATTTTTAATTTGTTACTTCTCAGCTTTGAATTAATGTCGATGATCATTAGCCGTTCTATAATTTTTAATAATACATATCATACTACACATATTATATTTATATTGAAATTCGATTTCACCACGTGCAGATATTACAGATGAAAATAAATTAAGTTCAATTTCTCTTTTTTTTTTCTGTTAAAACAACATAGATTGAAACGACATGAAACTAAAAATATTCTAATATTGTATAATTTAAAAGTTGTATTAGTAACGATAAATCCATTTAACAGTATTATTATAATAATAATTGCCATAATATCACACAGACGATAATATTTATATAATATACGGTCGACGACGATGACGTTTAATATTGTTGTAAATTAAAAGGGAGAAATTTATAATCTCTTAAGTGTTTTCATATTTATACGATTTAAATATTATTGTTATAAATAATGTTTAATACTCGATATAAGTATATACTATTAACTGTTTTCGTATTAACATACGTTGACGTTTTAGTGTACAATACTAAAGCTACTTATTAACGAGATTATATCCTATGAATGATGCTGATCCTTTTTTTTTTTTTGATTCCTTTTCCAGTTCAATTCCATTACTATATACCGTAAGAATTATACCTAAGTGATTTCAGGAGAGTTTTTTATTTTTTTTTTTATAACCAGCGAGTTAGTAACACAGTATATTTAGATTATAATATTATTATTAAAAAGTAAACGGACATACTTCACACGATGGGTGGGCCACTGGTTTAGGTGAGAAGTTGGAAAGGTAAAGGGGAAATTGAATATAGGTATATCTGTACGCAACGATTAATCATTGCTAACGTTAAGTGGTTCTGAGCGGAGTTCAATTAAATATGCTTCGATAGGCCGTAATATTTACAATTTGAAACTAATAAATTTCGTAAATTTTCTCGTTTTTTATACGATAGATTCAATATCGCAAGTAAATATAATACTATTGAGTACAATACAATATAACAATATTATTGAAGATCATGCGTGATGATATGACATTTGTTTTATCTTAATCATACGATGTGTTGATTTTTTTCTCAGGAAACACTTTTTTGTTTAGTAAAAGTGTTCCAAAACTTTTAAATACCGTTTAAAAAATACAAATTTTCTGCCTTATACTATTTTGATGGGTGCATTAATAGATTCCCAACAGTTTTCTGATTAAAAACCGGTGACAAAAAATTACGATGATCGATTTCGGACAATATCTATATAGCACTTAGGTATGTACATTTAAATTTATAATTATTGATTTTTTTTTTTTTGATTTCTGGATTCCCTTGATTACATGGAAAAAAACAACATTTAAACTTAATTAATTCCCCAAGTTTCACATTCAGAATATGTTCTTTTGTTGGCAATTACTCGTTATGGCTTTCTGTGTAATATTATAAACTGAATAAAAACTATATATTATTGCCTACATTACGAAATTTGCACTTGTAAATCAAGGGCCTATCCATCATAGTTGACGGTTGATGGTGATGCGAAATATGTCCATCTCTTTTTTTTACTGTACCTACCTAATCATTGAAATATGTGCGACGGTACGCCTCTCGAAAAACCGATTAGGAAAAAACCGCAAAACCCGTGTACCGTTTTTCGTGTAAACGAATAACATAAAACAATTGGGAGGACAGTTAGGTACCAATCATAATACCGACGACGGTAATAATAATAAAGCGCAGGATCACGTGAAAATTACAGTTCGACGACTTTGTTTCGTTCGATCTCTTCCCGTATCCTTTGTGACTGTATAATCCTCGTAACTATTATACGTCAGCACCCACAACGTAACACTATTATGACGTGTACTATGCTCGTTATTCGCGTGTACCGACTATACGTTGTTCTAAAACGTTTCCGGTAAACAACATAATGAGTCGTATATTTCTAAAAAAAATTACACTAATCGGTGATAAGTCGCGGTTTGCTAAAAAATATACAACGCTTAACGATTCTTTCGAAAATTTCAATATATGAAATATATGAAATAAGAGTCACCTAATATTAATACTTTTCCGCACATGCCGATGGAAATTTATTGTTCGACACTTTTCCGAAAAACTTGCTGGACCGAGACGGTAGCAATATTTGATTCTCGACAACAGAATTTAAAAAAATATCATGACGGTATTATTAATCGTGTAATGTGAGTGTAAGTGAGCGGTCATATGGAAAATACCGACTTTAATTGAATTGAATTTTAATTATATTACAGTTCGCGTGAATTTACACTAAAGTTTTTAGCGTTAACAAATCGGCGCAAAGAAACGTTGGATTTTGATGGTAATTTGTTTGCTAATAATAAAACGCCATAAACATAAAAAATAGTCAAAGATTCATTGTCATAACACAAAAATCGTCATTTATATTGTAAAGAATAGTTAATTTATTGGAACCATATACACAGTTGTTAAGCTATGAAATCGAAAATTGCCGAGAATTCGAAACCCTTAAGCATTACCTATATAGTCTGAATTATCTTCCTTGAGGGATTGTACTATCAGTATATTTAATAGTTTCCTTTTTCTCGTAAAATATTCCAATATTAGTTTGTTTGAGTTCTACATACCTTTCTAGCTGTTTATACACCTTAGTTCCTTTAGATCCTTTTCCCTCCCCCTATTTATGTTCTCGATGATTTCAGATTTGGGTCATGTATTCTGCCTCATCCATCATATCCTTTAAAATCTCCGTAAATTATTATTTTTAGTGAGCTTTCATACCTTTTAATATAATAATATGTCCTATCGTATCTCTCTTGGATTGAATCCATTTCCATCATAGTAGTCAGTTTAATTTAATTTTGTTAAAAATCTATTATTATCATTCAGTGCAATGATTTTCAGCGTTTTTGCTGGAGCGCCGCGTCTAAAAGGCATTCGGTTTACTTTTTTCAATCGAGTTCAATTAATAATATTAAAAAAAAAATCGTGCGAGAGTCGCTTTATTTATAGGTAGTCGTGGAATGGCAACTGAGTAGGTACATCGCGTGTGGCGTTACGACAGTTGCGAGCAGAACTGTAATAATGGCGGGGGGGGGGGCGATGGAGGCATTTGTCCTGGGCCGCGAACCATTTTAAAACCATGGGACGCCTGGTTCAATAAAAAACTAGACATAAAATATTAACAAGGGTAATGAATTGCCTATCTATGGCCCTTCTCTACTTCGGTCTAAATTTTAAACTGTTATAACTTATAAACGGTAAATCTGATATTAGTGTTATGCATATCAAAATTTCCAGAAAAATATTCTGTATTCAAATCTGTGTTCAAAATGGGCGGTTCCTATTTAAAAATCAAAAGTATGCACTTATATAAGGTACATGGAGTAGGGGTAAAGAATTAAAAATGGTTTTAAAATAAAGTTTATTTATTTTACAGATTATTTTATTTAACGAATAACGAATCGGCGTTGTATAATTTTAATTATATTTTAAAAGAGCGCCTGGATACATTTTAGTCGACATCACCAATGCCAACTAATCTTCTGTAATTAAATACACCCTTATACCATTTTACGCGCTTAATTTTTCAGATTCTATTAATACCGAATATGTATTTTTCGATATTTAGCGGTGTACGCCCTTTTAACAAAACACCGTAGATATACGCATTTGAAATATCGTGAAAAAACGAAACGGAATACGCCGAAAGAAAACGTCTTGAAGTATAGTAGACTGAATACGAAAAGCTGCTCCAGCCTCAGAGGCCGCGGTCGGTCACGCTGTGGCGGCGTGTGGGCGCACGCCTTTACCCGCGATGCATACGGACGGCTGCGGTATCCGGCGTGCGTAAATAAAACGCGATAACGGTACCGCAACCCGGGTTAGATTTATTATAGTCCGAGAGCGCCAATAATATAACGCCGCCGTATTATTGTTGTAAATATCGCCGTGCGCCCGTGTCGTAAACCGCCGACGCGACGTCGCCGACGACGACGGCGCGGTCCACACGAAAGTTCACTGAACCGCTCGGACGAGAATATAAACACAATAATAAAATAATAATATTAATAATGATAATGATAATAATGAGAATAATATTGCGATAATCGCCGTGGCCGCTACCGCCGCCGTTTGGTCCGCGCCGGCCGCGTAAGTTTCGCCGATGATTTCGCGCGGTTCACACGCGTTGTAATGTATAGGCATATGCATATCTAGAGACCGGATTTATATGTTCTTAAAATCCACTCAAAAAAGCACTTGAAAACGTTAAAAAAACCTTGAAAAAAATCACTTAAAAAATACATAAAAACCCAAAAATAACAGAGAGGTTTAATAATCTCCCCCCCCCCATATCTAACGGATTTAATTTATAAATACAATTTTCTAACAGCACTGAAATGATTAATAAAAAGTATTTTTTTATTTTTTATAATGTATGTACGATTTTATTTAATGGTTCTTTGATGTTTTAAAGCGCCTTTTTATGGACTATAAGGGAACATAAATCCGGTCTCTGTGTTTATCCATACAAAACGTTCACCCCGAGGACCGGGAGCCGTGTTCGGTGTTCAAGAGAGATAGGCTGATTATAAAACCTATAGCGTGAGAAAGAACAAATTTGCACTCCGAAGACGGCCGATTAATAAAACATTCCGTTCATTATCTCACACGTTTATTTTGGTTGTCAACACGTTGTTTGCATAATGTGTCGTTATCAATCATACGGGTGATCATACCTCGTCATGATCCCACCGGGTTTCTAAGTGCACCGAAAGTAAAAAAAAAAAAAACAGTATTTATTACACTTAACACGGTTGTTTTAAGAAAAAATTGTATTATCATTTTCTTCTAGAGTTGGTCTGCTAGCTAATAAGCGTTTACTACTACTCTTGTTACACCTACGCTGGTCTTCTTGCAATTGTTGTTGGCTGTAATATAATCTTAAGATCATTTATTTTTCTCGAGGGAACGCAATTACCAGCCGTGTGCGAATTGAGTATTTTGTTTTTTAAACTGTGTTAAGTGTAATCAATACTTATTATAATTTTTTAATTTGGATTCTCCGTTTCGACGACTGTATTTCCGTCTTCTGTGCGAATCATTTCGTAATCACGGTCGTATTTTGTTTTATGATTTTACGCCAGTATCGTCATCATCGTCATAAAACTGTTGTTGTCTGCAATCGAAATACAACCAATCAGGGCTCATTAAACTATTTAATATGAGGGGGAGGGGTCTCTCTAGCGACGTGCGCTATGCTTACGTGCCGGTTCGCCGCTGCACCACCCGATCCCCAAACCCGGGCCCCGGAGGGAGACGGGACAGGGGTCGGGGGACCCGGAAATAATAATACAACGAGAGCTCGGCGCGCGTATATCCGCGGTGATTCGCACGACGACGGGACGGCGGCCACGTCGTCGTTCAACTGCGACTATTTACACGGTTAACCCTCTGCGTTTCGTATTAACGTCCGACAGTCCGCGGGCCCCGCGAGCGACGCAATGACAAGGTCGAGAACCAGTCTCTGCGGACGGGCGTGGCGCGTCGCGATGGATACGGGGCACGGCGTTTTGGTCGAGGGGCCGCCGCCGCAGCCGTTGTGAATGGGAAAAAAAAAAAAAAAAAAATCGGTGTGGCGTGTCGCCGCGGAAGATCGAAAAAATATCAAAACGGAATCGGTTCGATCGACGAGATTTCCGTTCGCGCCGTTCGTTAACCGCACGAAATATTTTTTAATGCATCCGACGTGTGCGGTTTTGTACGGTTTCTTCTCGGACGGCGGCGCGCGCGTTTCGTGCAGCGGTTCTCTCGCCGCCGCCGCCGCCGCCGCAGTAACAATAATTGTTAAATGTTATTCGTCGTGCAATCGTTTCGTAACGAAATAAATAACAAAAACGATAATGACAATAGAAAAGAAAAACCCGTTTAAACACCGCGCTTATAAAACGGATTAACAAATTAAAAATATAATTTATGAAAAATGTCAACGAAAATATTGTCACGTCTATAGTATAACGTGGTACGTTTTTTACGTTACGTATTAATTCGCTGTAGGGGTTCCGTGCACGCGATTGCGGTATTTTATTTTATTGTTATTATTTTTGTATTTATTTCATATTTTGTCCGTAAGCACCCCGCGCTTCGTTGTCATTTACTTTATAGTATAGGTAACTAACATATTAGTTAAAAATATGCTATCGATCGATGGATGCCGATGGAAGTTGACAAAAACTGCGATAGATAGGAAACCAACATTTTATCCAGTCACTGTACCGAAGACAACACTTCTTTTTCAAAATGAAAATTAGACCCAGACTGAGTAAATTAATTTTTTTTTTAAAAAAATTTTAAATCGTATAAATATGAAACTCGTTAAAACGCCGAGAACATGGTTTAAAACGTTAAAATTAAAAATAAAGAAAAACATGTTCGAAAAAAAGTTCAGTCGATGAAACTGTGTTATTAAATATAATTTCTTGCAGTAAAAAATATTTTTATTGGCGTACATTTTTTTGTTTGGACTCGTTTTTGATTTATTATAGTAATTTGAAATTTGTTTAGTTACTAATTACTACTACTAGTTACCTACATAAGTATTATATGTAAACATAAATTTTGTGATTTTGTAATTTGATTAATTGGTTATTGAATTTCTCGAGTCATCGCGTTGCGATACGTATTATAATATTATGTACAGTTAAATATTATTGCTAACACGCCAGGAATGATTTTATTTTTTGCAGTACATGCATTCTCTAGCTGTACATGTATTTCCATCAATATTTTTTATGTTTTTTTTTTCTTTAATTTTTGACGATCGTTCTCTGTTAGCATTATAAGTGTTCAACAATTGGATTTGTGTTTTGATGTTATTAGGTACTGAGTGTAACACAAGAGTGTTATTAGTTTTACAAAGATGTATTTTTTTGTCACAGAAAACACTTTTACTATTTCCATTTTTTCTCAAATTCGTTTATGCTATATGTACTTCAAAAGAAGTTGATTTTTGGTTTGATGGTACTTTTTTTGAAAAATATTCCGTAATAATTCTCAACACTTTCCAAAAAATTGATTTTTTAATTTAAAATATTTTTCCGTCGGTAAAAATGCTTCGATTTTTTACCCAGTACCTTAAAGTATGCGAAATTTTCTGCTCGTGGATTTTATTGTGATAAGCTGATATGATTTTTCTCCTACAGATACCGATTTATAAAACTGATATTCGTTCCGATTTATTTTAAAATTGATATTCGAAATCGAAAACTATAAGCTGACATCGAATTTAACCGATTGATCTGTCGAAAACTCGATTTTTAAAACGCTTTTTTCATATCTCAGAGACGTTCTTTTCCTCGAAAATATCTGGTTAAATATCGAGTTTTTTTAAAAAAAGAACCCTATACACGAGACCGGCTCTTGTCGATACTTGTATAGTACTATTAGTGTTTTATTTGAAACCATTTATTGATATCGTCACCCCATGTGCTTCCGCGAGGCAATTAATACAATTTATTATTATTATTTTCACGTCCGTTCGGTTTTATTTCGAGTGATACATCGATCGATGTACCGCAGATCAATCGGCGGGGTCATGGCAGCCCGTACTCTTCGGCCAATGAATTAATCTTCTCGATTTATCTGAATAAGTTGTTTTTTTTATTATTATTATTCCTTTTGTCCGGCGCAAGTTTCCTCTGCGGTTGAAATAAAACGCGGCTGCACTATATGGCGCACACGTCACTGCAGGTACCCAAACCAGTTTCCTATTAGCCGCTCGCGATGCATTCCATTATATTCGCGAAGATTTTTTTCCTCTCGTCTCTCCTCTCCGTGTATCAATTTCCTAATCGGATTTATGTAACATTATGCCCTCTCGAACTTGTAACGCGAACTAGGCGCTCGCGCGCATGCGTACGCGATCGTGTACACATTTTATTATTATTACCGCCGTCGTCGTCATTGAAATACATACGCACGTATGTTACTCTGCGAGTAACAAACCGCGCGCGCGCGTGTGGCACTGACGTCGGACCTTTCGCCCGTTATCACGCGTATTATTATTATTATTATACACGTCCGTGTAAGTACGAGTTGTAAGTATAATAATAAAATAATAATAATAATATGTGATACGAGTGCGCGCCCCTCGTCGTATTTTGTCGTTTCAATGGGCGCCGCCTACGCGGTCGTACACACCGACCCGCTGCCGCTGTTGCGCGTGTATCGGCCAGTCGGATCTGTACACCCTACAATAATAATACCTGTGTGTAATCTGTCTCGTAGAGTTTCATGCGATTCGAACAACGAGAAAACACACACGGAATCGCGTTCGGCTTGCTGCAATACACAACTCGATTACATTATCATAATGTATGCACGTATACTACAATATAGTCTACAGTTATATGCATAATAGCAACGGGCACGGCCAAACGGAACATTTGTATTCTCCGGACTGTTCGAAAATTAGAATAATATTCGTTCGACCGTTTGAAAATGTAAAATCGCATTATCTCGGTTCCGTTTGTTTAACGATATTGTCAACTATAAGGATTAGTTTACATTTCAAGGAGAGTTGTTTCAATCAGGCGCGGATCCAGGGCAAAGATCCGGGGGGAGAGCCAACTATCTTTTACAACACAAATACAATTAAAATATAATGTAGTTATATTATTTCATCGTATACATCAGTGATTGGAATATAGTAATATCAGGATCTATAGAATTATAAAAAAAAAAAAACAGGAAAAATAATATGTCTGGCGGAGGGGGCCTGGGCCTCTAGACTCCCACCCTGGATTCGTCTTTGTTTTCAATAATGCGCGGAAAGATATTCGAATAGTTTATATTCGGCCAATCGGTTATTAATAGACGATGCAATGGGTGCCCGCAGGAAATTTATCAGGGAGGGGCATAATTAAATCAAACAACAAGTACAGAAAAAATTATATCTGAAATTTTGAAGTCCGGGGAGGGTGTCCATAGTCGATGCCATCGTATTAAACGTTATACTTAGGTAATATTTGATAAATTTCGAGTTAGCGATGAATTTATTGATTGGCACCACGATGCGATTTTCTACCTGTTAACTTTTCTATGTCAGCAATTTTGTTCATATGTGAGTATAGTGTCTATTCTTCAAGTGAATTTCGTCTAAAGTTGATGCATTGAGGAGGTTCCTTTTTGGTTTTTCTTAAATAATTTCTCGATAATAATAATTGGGGAAAAACGTAGGAAAACGACGAAATAATATTTTCGATTATTTTTTAATTTGGTTAAAAATAATCGTAGAAACTGAAGATTGGAAATTTATAAAGCACTATGGTGACTTTTGAACTGTTTATACAGCATCCACATGAAATTTTCAAGTTCTTTTAGTTTTTATGTGAATAAAATCGATTTTTTTTTTGTTGATTTTTTAGAGCGTTTAATACGCGCGCATGAATGGGTATAATAAGTATTTATACGTGATCGTATAACATAATATTATAAGTATCATGTATAAAATATTTTATGGCACTTGTTAAAACACTTATTATACATAATATACGAGTACGTAAGTACGAAAACTAGCAATAATAAACCGTGATTGCTGCTGCGTATAAATACCGAAGTTTCGTCTTAAGAGATAATGCACACATAAGTATATAGGTGCACCTAATGAGGAATTTACGGTAATATTGTCGGCGTTAACGGTATTCGGGTTTTAATTATATAGTTAATTTTCCTCGTTTTCGGATTTACTTTTGCAATATAGCGATCGAATGAACGTATAGGTGTCTATCCATATAATGGCGTGTACGAGTACGATTGGCGGTCCGGTTCGACCAGTATATTATTATTATTTTAACTGTGAAGTCCAGTTTGATATACGAATAGTATAATACCCGCATAGATAGCAGATATCAATTCGGTATAGTATGTAAATATTAGGTTGCGGATAATAAAGATAGACGGATCTTTATTACCCGTCGGAGAATAATAATATACCGAAAAATATAATAAAATTATATTCCGAAATAATACTCGGTTTCCGAGGTTTGCTCTTATGCACCTAAAAAATCTATCGACGATACTATATTTTCCAACAATTTTTTATTTTATTTTTCAATATATATATATTATCGGTACACGCGTCATCGGTCTTCGGGAAACTAACAAAGAAAATATTATCACGAATTAAATATAAATCATCGTATTGGGTATATATTATATTATATTGCAGAGTTGACAGACGGACAAAGTTTTTAGCATACAAATTGTTAACGCATTCTTATGGCGATTTATTATTGTACACATATATACGTATATAATAGTGGCACACCATTTGGATCGGGAAATCTCGTTGGACTGGACAAACGTGTAATTTTTTTTTTTCGAAATTCCAAAAAAAAAAATATATATTTATATACGATCTGTCATCCATCGACTTATTTGTATCTTGTTCGATCTCGCCGACCAGCTTAACGTTGACAGGTGTACATTTTCGTTAAATATATATTATTATTATTATTATTTGATATGAACTGTGTAATTTATTATAAGTTCTTACTTATTGCGATAAAGTCGTACACTAAAAATTAGATATTTTTTTTCTCAGTTAATTTTTCAAGTTATATTAATAGTTATTATTAGTTTTTGTTTTTAGGCGTATATGATTCGTTTACGCTGCAGAGGTATTTTTCATATCAGACGCGCATTATCAATCGTGAGACGATGTTTATTTTTTAACTATAATCGTATTTGTAAAACCCATATTTATATACGTATAGATTAAGTTGGTAAATTTTTCAGGCATAATTTTAAATCGAACAATTCGCCTATAAAAACCGATTAGGTAATTTGCATGTGGTCTTTTGTAATTTTGATGAGATACAAATCGTTTATTATTATGTATTATTTTACAGAGATAAAAACAACATAATGTGTACGAGGTGATTCAATATTTATGGGGTAACTATTGAAAAAAAAAAATATATGAAAAACTTCGTTACGCGAATTTTTCTATGGAGGTCAAAATATTATATAGGCTCATTCGGGACGGATTGTAACTCGAAACTATCCCTTCCCCTTGGCTGTACGCCGCTGTATCTTGTACGATATATATTTATATTATAATCGTTATTTTGTTTATTTTATACTTATTATCAGTGTAAACCGCAGTCATGAGCAATTAAAAAACAAATTATAATAGAGAGTATGAAATGCAGTTATTTAGGTATACATTTTAGTATCCGTGCGCGTATATGAGTTTTTTATTTTACAATGATAGGTTTTTTTTTTTTTGTTCGTTTGCACTTTTTAGGGTGCAGTATTAAACACGATCACGAATTTTAGTTTAACCCTTCAGTATAGATATTATTTGGTATTCTTCGGATTTTGTTTAGTTCGTTATGCTAATAATCGCGTAAAATTAATATTATGCAAAGAGTAAAAATTGTTCCCAATTTTAATTTCGACATACTCGTGCACGACGAGTCGCTTGTTTTTATTTTTTTATACATATTAATATCAGTTCACACAAATACACAAACTCACTAATAATAATATTGTATACAAAATCGTGTACGGACATTTCAAAGAAATCCCGAAGAACGGATTGCTTCTAATACATAACCATTCAACGGGCGTTTACATGGCGATAATACAATTTTTAAAGTATAAATCGACTTTTGAATTCTGCGACACACCCTAAATTAAATTCGAAAACCCAATAGCAAATTATACATGATTTACCCGCGTAAACCTAATTGTTATAGCGATTATCGTAATGATATTAGATAATAGACGAAAAACGAATGCTTACCGTGGTCGAGTATACATTGGCACAGACACCAGCAGACGGCAAGATACCCGGCAAATCCGAGACTCTTCATCGTTTTGCAGGCTATCGGTCGCGTCGTTCGGATAACTTTACGAAATTTGGTAAATACGTTGAGACGGTTGTTCGCGTACTGTATGTTTACTACCGATTATTGCACATCACACTGTACCGTGGTATATTATGATATAAGTATTTAGTAGGTAATTGGCAAAACCAGAAAAAAAAAAAAACTATTTAAAATTAATAGTTACGATCAAAGTTTCGTATGTGTGTACCGGGGGAGAGAGAGAGAGATAGAGAGATATGAAAAAACCGTAATGATATTTTTATGATGTGTAACGTGTGTTATTTCGTATAGAGTCGACGGTGACGAGATATTCGCGCGCCGGTCGATGTCCGCCGAAGAGTGTGTGCACGACGAGACTGCGGACTGTGCGTGTGTGGACTACGAGGACGACGACGACGACGACGAGCACCTGGAGCAGGGCCACAACCTACTGACTCCGTTCTACAAAATACGGGCGGCAATGAACTATTACACGCGAGAAAAACGCGTATAACGTACGCAGTACTCGGGAAATAAAAATGCACAACAGGAGAAAGGCTCCGTGATAATATATATACACGCGTATAGTCGCGTCTGGTCGGAGGGAAAAGTGATCCGGGGAAGGGGAACGGATATGATGCGCCGCGGCGGCGGCGGAGATATGAGGAGCAGTCTTCATTATCATTTCTCTCTCGGCCGCCGGTATTTCCTTTTTACTTCCTATTTGTCTTTCTCCGCGAGGCCACGGCTGCCGCGTATATCATATACACACCTATACATACCTCTACCGTGGTATAACGATAATAATAATAATAATATTACGATATTTGTCATTATCATTATCACGGACGCTTACACGCCGCGCGTAAAATATTCCGGCGTGTGCCGCGCGCCCAGTACTGAGCGCGACTAGAAAATTGTATTTGCGGGCGGGCTAAGTTCGAGTCTAAATTTGATGACGGCGATCCTACACACCACACTTCCACACACCAGTGGCTGATTTACGGAGGCGGGGGTCTGGACACCGATACAATTCCCCTGAAATGTCGTCCAAAAAAGAGACATCTGTTACTTAGATACCTTTAAAATACATATGATTTTTCAGGACCTCTCCCAGAAAAATGTTGATAGTCCGCTACTGCTCACTCTTCCTCGTCGTAATTAATCAACACACGTTTGTTATAGTACTATTATATAATTATGTTTTGCGTTCATTGAAAAATCCCGGGGCGAGTTCGTCCCGAAAAATAATATCTATCGCGTTAGTCTTTTATACCGCTGCAGTAAATCGATTTACGCATTTTAATATAAATTAAAGGGTAGTTCATATTTCCAAAGGGGTTCAGCATCCACCTTTTGAATTCACAACCGTGGAATCAAACATTTCATAAAATATCGGTCGTCAGTACTTATTATTAGCCTGTAGGGGAAGAACATTTATAAATTCTATTTTTTTTTTCATCTTACGGTGCACTAACGCGTCAAGGGGCGTCATATTTGAAGGATTCGGGTTATAATTTTATTTGGTAGCCCCATTTTTTGTCAATGTGTTTTTGGCCCGCATAAAATGTTATTTAATTGCACAGTCGTCGATTAAATGTAGAAAAAAAAAATACAAAACAGACATATTTCTCTACATAGTATTTGAATACCTATTAAAATGTAAAGTGAAAATATGAGCTAACGAAGCAATCGAATATTTTTTTCTTTTCCGTAAAATAAACAAGGTATATAAATGGCCTGATGGAAGAAAAAATTGGCCGATACAAATGTTTTGCATCCCTATTGAAAAACTGAAATTACCTCTCCTCCCTTGAACGCGTCATGATGTTTTTTACAGCTAGGTATATGAAGTTATAAAAGCCGGATATACTTATTCGCATCATGAACACTTTGGTCATTGCTGTAGAGGGAAATGTTTGAAGGTAGGTATAGGCATGCATATATGATAGTAGTTTAGTTAACGATAAACCACTGCATTCGAAAAAAGATTCTGAGCGGAGCTTGGTAAACTGTCATGAATTTTATGGCGAGATCGTATACTACATAATATTTGAATCTTGTTTATTTCCTCTTGTATAGCCTGTTTTTAGAAAACCCGTCAGGAATCTAGAAAATTTCAACTATGCAAAATCGTACGTTTTGTGGTAATATGTTTATGCCATATTATAATACACCTGTTTTATTTCCTCACATCATTTTTTTTCTTTTTAAGTGCCTCGTGGAATTTTACGTAAACGAAAACCGACCACCTTTACTACATATCATTGCCGACTGACCGCGAAAAGAAAATATAAGTACATTATTAACACATTATGTCCGGTGCATAAATTACGAATATCTCGTTATTTTCTTTTCAACATTTTATTATAATTATTATTTATTGATTTTTCGTTTCCCGTTTTGGACATTGATTTGAAACGCGGTTTAATTATTACATGCAGGTACTGCAGGTCATGAGATATTTCAATTTTGACAGATACAGTGAGTATATTGTACACATTCAATAATATTATTGGATTCACTTTTAAGTGAATTTACTACTATTTTAAGTTCTAAGTTTAGTAAAGAATGTATTGATTTTACAAAGATGTTTATTTTTAGATTCTTTTTATACTGTGTACAAAAATTCTACCAAAAATCTTGCACCAATATGTATGTGTGGCACCATTTCTGATTGAAAATATTGTATAGATGGTACTTTAAAGATATTGATTTTTGATTTTCAGAGTGATTTTCATAATATCTGAGGAAACCCGGGATAAAACGTGAAAAAAACGGAAATGTACAAAAATAATGCTTTGTATTTATTTTCAATTTTGCTATTTGTTGTAATTCAGTTTAAAATGTTCATAGAGATTTAAAATTTAGACAGAAAACTTATATTTGTCTTTTCTAGATATGGTACAACTTTCAAACCATTTGAACTACTTTTGAGCTTTTTAAAAAAATTTAATTTTTTTGTTGAAATTCAGTTAAAAATATTAGTATGCACTTTATGAACTTAAAATTTGGAGAAAAAACTTATATTTACCTTTTATAGACGTGGTAAAATTTGTTGACAATTTTACTTATTTTTGAAACATTTAAATTTTGCAAGTTTTGTACGTCATTTTTTTCAGTAGGTACTCAGTGGATAAAATTGTTAGACTAAACAGAAATGCTTGAAAATTGAACAAGAGATTAATTATAAGTCGTGCATTGTGGTCAAAACAAAAATAATTGAATATAATATACCTAGTATATTTTTTTATACAAATTTTAATATCACATTTTGACATAAATTTTGAAAATTTATGTGGAACAAATCTTGTTACTGGTCCATACAAATTATTTCAATTTCAATTTATTTTACTAGTTATGATATGACATAAATATTGTTGGAAAAACAATACTATTAACCGAGCTCCGCTCAGAATCGTTTTTAGCAATGATTAATCTTTGCTTACAGATATACATTAATATATAATATATCCTACCTTTCCAACTTATCATTTACAACAATGGTCCACCCATCGTCTGAAGTTTGTTCGTCTTTTTGTACTTATGCTATTATTTTGTCTTAACTTTAAATTCGATATAATTATAATAGGCAACTACAAAAACTGAAAAAAAATAATTTACATAGATTACAATTGGGGTAACGTTATATATTTAATTTTGTATAAATATATTATAACAAACTTAAATAGAAAAACAATTAGAGAAACTACGGTTGACCCGAGAGAAACAACTGCGTGAGGACAACTATTGGAATATCTATACGCATTCAATTATAGTTGATACTGTTTTCTAGAATATATCTAGTGGACTTCAAATCCTAGATAATACAATTATAATTTTTTAGTTTTCAAATAATAATTTAAATTATTAATTGTAATTATCAATTAATCTTTTCGCCTTAAGTTTAATTTTTAACTTTTTATACAATGATTTGATTTCGATCTGTAATTTTGATTTTAAATTTGGTTTTCGGTATAGTTCACTTAAACATAATGTCCACGGATTGATTGTATTAAATACCAATGATAAAACAAATACAATTATATTGTACCAACAAATTATCAGAAATTAAATTGAAATCTTATTACGAAATGTATTCGATATACTTTATTATTATTATATGATTCAAGTACTTTGGTAACAAACGGTTTAGTATAAAATAACTCTTGTTTTCCGCCGTGATACGATTTGAGCAATAATATTTTTGGATCTCCAAACATTATGCAAATTGGTTTATCTCTGGCTAACATCACCATTCCAAATCATTGACCTAGACCAACCAAATCGTATATTATATAAAAGCTGCGATCCGTCTGTAACACTTTTTTTTTAAATTACAAAACCCTTATCAGTTATTTATAGTTATCTTTTATCATATTTTCATTATTTTCTTTATAGCATACTATTATTAGTATATTCTATTATCCCAGTGTTACGCTGTGGTATTTAGTTGTAGGTTTAGGGGTTGATGGCAGGGGTGAAGGGCAGTGAAGGATTGAAAGTAGTCACACAATGGGAGTTGGGGTGAAAATAACAGCGGTGCTATACGTGATATTAATATTAATAAGTTATAAGATGTGATGTGTTAAATATAATATAAAATTTATGATAAAAACGTGAAATATCGTAAATGGATCCGTGCTTTTAAATTCATACAGTCATTAGCTGTCAGAGTGAACACATTAATATTATTTTAGATTCTGAGTGGAGCGAAGAAGTTTATGGTTTTACAGAGATGTTTGTTTTTTTTTCTGTAGACAACTTTTCTACCAGAAATCTTGCTCCGATTTTTAAGTGTAACATCTTTTCTGAAAATCAGACTGGGAAGGTATTCTAAGGAGGTAATTTTTTGATTTCCTCTAGGAGTTTTCTCAATAAATGGAAAAACCGAGAAAATAGGTACAATATTAAACAAATATTATTCAAGAAAATATATATTTTCTAAGTAATTGTTTTACTATAGTATGACACATATATTGTTGACAAAGCAACACTATCAACCGAACTTCACTCAGAATCGTTTTTTCGTTAGCAACGGTTTATCGTTGCTTACAGATGTTCCTATATAAAATTTCCCTTCTACGACCTTCCCAACTTTTTACCTACAACAATGGCGCACCCACGTGCGAAGTTACCTGGCTTTTTAATACTGTTTATACATTAATATTTTGTCACTGAAGCGAAGCATATGACATATAAGTCCTGATCTCTTATCATTAATAAGCTATCACTATTTCTTATCCCTTATTAGTTGTATGATCGATCTTTTTCTTGAATATTAAATGAGCGAAGTTTCATCAAAATCGGAATAAAACTGTTACATAGTCTAGCGGGCTGATAGACATACAGTTACAGACAAAATTTAAATTTTATTTATACGATTGATATTAAATTTGACGTATTATTTATTTTTTATAAACATAAAATTAGTACTTTTAAACTATATCAGCATTGCACGCGAATCTAATTTATTGTAATTGTAATAATAAATATGGAAAAACGTTGACAGTTGGTGTTGACGACCGCATGTTAATAATACAATTCTGTAAGTTGATGAAAATATTATTTATGTATTCCAAATTTTATGCAATATAAATGATGTAACCGAAAACAAGTTTGTTTATAATGTATTAATGTATGCCAACATTTTGTATTCATAATGTATATGAATAAAATATGTCTATATTTTTGAATAATGTTATTTTCGTATCCATACCAAACAATAATTCGTATATACAAATCGTTCTCGATTTTAAATGCATTATTTGAATATCGTAATATTGAAGAACTAAAATATATTTTCGGATGATTATACGGTTTAACGTACGAAAACAAAAATATCGTAAGCAAATGAAATATAATACTGCATATTGTTAAATAAATAAAATGTCATTCTTATGCGTTGTTTTTTCCGTGAATAATTTATGCGTATATTAATACTTATTACATTTTTTTTTCAGTAATCAAACGTGAAAGCTTAGTACAAAAAAGAAAAAAATATTCGGGTCAAAACAAATCGAATTATTATTAACATGATCGTTAAGACTGCTATCTCTTTCACACAGACTAGATGTAAATATTTATAAATTAAGAATGAGCTTTCTCTAAATGGACTATTATTATTATTTCACCTAAACAGTGATAATATAATAATAACCTATAATAAAAAAAATATAGGCATATGTATAATATACACGAGTATATAATATATAATTAATAATAACTATGCTGAGTAAAAGACAAATTATTATATAAATACGAATACGCGGTTATCTCGAAATTCCGAATCAAATATGTTTTCTGATTGATTTCATATATGATTTTTAAATTTATTATTTTTATTTTGAAAAATATACTTTTTATTTTATATATAGGGGCAATGAACTATAATACATTGCAATAATATTAGTAATGGGCACAACCGTATATAGTTAGGTACTATCGAACTATTCGATATAGTTGATCGCATTTGAACTATTCGATCAGTTACGCGCCCAGGAATTTTCAATGGGAGGGTATGCTGCAAATATCAATCATATAAATTAATCGTAGAACCTTCCTCTTTACTCAAATCGACTATGGGAATTTATAGGCCGGATCCAGAAAAAAATATAAATAATAAATAAAAATATTCTGTCTATGAATCAAAATTTTCCGTGCAATTGGGTTGAATTATATATAAATTTCAATTTTAAATAAATACTAAATAAATACTTATAGATGTTGTAGTTATTAAAAAAACCCTTAAGGGAGATATGAGTTCTCAACCTTCATCCCGGTACACTCATATCCGGCTATAGAAAAACCTTTTCGAATAATTTTTATTCGGTTTTGGGAAAATTTATCGAAACATTTTTTCCGTATTTCGAATACTTCATCAAAACTATTAATCGTATGAAATATTTGAAATTACTTATCATTAAACTAAATTTATATTTTTTTTATTTTTAGTAAACTTTTTTATTCTTATATACTTGTAAATATACATAATAAATTAAAAAAATGAAAGTTTAAGTATACAAATATAATTGATATATTATTAAATTGTTACAAAAACAATTGAAAATAAATAACGGATTTCAAAATTTGTATAAATTTATTATAGATATATACTTAAATAAATATTTTGTTCAATATATTAATCTTAATATTATTCTTTGATTTTATTTGATACAGATCGATTAAATCAGGTGAAAAAACAAACTTATCAACAACAATGTAAAAAGAAAAAAAAAATAAACAATAGTAATACACATGCAATATATAGCTATCATATTTTATTAAGAACAGGAAACAAAACGAGAATAACTATAAAATATACATAAGGTACACGAATTGTTTTGTTTTGTTTTTTTTACATGCGAATAGGTTTACGTGAACCCACGACAGATTCAAAACGAATTCTCACGATTTATTATAGTACAGGTAATATACTGACGTATATACGGCGGTAGTATGAAAATTACATACTTTCCCTGTGACACATTTGATTTTCGAAGTACATTTTCTATATAGGTATATACGTACATAATATTGTTGATTAAAATGTATGTCAACAATTATTTATTATTAAGATGATGATGATCATCTTATTTGTGTTCATAAAAAACGTATAGGTTGTATCTACTATATAAATAATCAACTGTAAATATACGTAACACTATTATAGTATACTTGTATAATATATAAGTATACGCATTTATTATCCGCAGTAAAAAAAAAAAAAAAAAAAAATGAATTTTCGCTTAGTCGTAAATACATTTTACGGTTGGAAACAATTCAAAATTGTCAACATTACAGGTACCCACGGAGATTTACGGAGATAATTTCGAGGTTCATTAACTTGGAATCGTCATCGCGTTAACGGTAAGATAATAATATTATGTTTTACTGACGTTAAATTGCCGTTTTTTTTTTTTAACATTTATCTCTTCGGTTACTGAACTTTATTATTATAGGATTCTGCAGACGTTGCATGTTTTACATTCGAATTTGTTTTTATTATAATACTAGTATACGCTCCAATTCGTTGTTTAAGTAAACTCCGTCAACGTTTTAGTTTATAATAGGTACGCAATGATGATTTTCTATGATAAAACAATTTTTATACAATTTTTCGCTTACAGTTTTAGTCTCGGTAGAAAAATTGTACAAAATAATCTAACACCATTAGATGTTAATATTTTCAATTACTATAGTATCGCTCAAACCGTACAGAAAAATAACTTTATTATTATTATGACCTAAATAACTTTAAGTTCAATTATGTTGGGGGTGGGAGGTGGGGAGGATGGTCGTCAACTTCCTGTTCCTGTTTTAATAACGCTGAAAATTAATTTAGCTGATAAAGTGAGTTAAAACATAATGTTTCAGTTGAATATTATTTTCCGTAGTATGTTAATAATAATATTGATGATACTATTTCGATCTAGGGTACCTATAGGTAAATTATACATTAATCTGACCTAACACATCTCTACGGAAGCGAAATCGTTTAAAAACCGACATCCAAGCAACGTAAAACAAAAATGGCTATGATGACATTCATCGCCATCATATATACTATGTAGGAGTATAATAAAAGGGGTTCTTCTCTCGGAAAATTTTCTCGTGAGAGCGATTTCCATAAACAGACGTTTCACCGCACCAAGGAATACGAGTAATGCGAATAGTACCGTATAACATCGAATCTGATAAGTTGTTGCTTAATTTATGATTGAAATATATTTAGCGTGTTTGACGAAAAGTCAGTGGTTATAGTGAATGTATTAACTATATAATTTTATAGGTTTTTCAAAGGGAAGTATAATTATGGTTTCCGACCATGTCCAACGGCGGCACGGGTAAATAAACGATGAATTATCTGCTTGTCAAAATATTTAATCACGTAATGTATCGGTTTGGATATTGCCGCGGTAAACATAAAGAGGTAAGAGTTCAGTCCGAACAGAATTCAAATTTTATATGGCTCACGATAACACTACCTACCGAATATTACATTAGAGATTAACGAACTGCGATAAATCACCTTATAGTTTCAGTAACCGCCGCCGGGTGTTCAATTCCGCCACGAGAATCCCTATCGCTATATTTACATTATTCGAATATTGCAAACAACCATTGATTATTACAGTTAGGTATATTGTAATTGTTATACCTAGGTAAATATTATTATAATATGATATTATCGTGTTATACGGTCATGCCTAGAATTTTTTTAAAGCGAAAGAAATTACCCGAAAAATGCGACGGAGTCGTTTCGATGTTTTTCCTCCGGGCGTGTAAGCTTTTAGGATGACCGATTTTAACATTTCGCCAGAGCGTATACGTCTTAATAAATTGTTATTACAATACTATATTCTCTCATTTTCTTTTAAAATAATAATAATAATAATAATAATAATAATAATAATTTCAACTTGTTTATTCGTATAAAAACTAATATACTTTTCATATTGCTACCGATTGAGAGAATTAAAAGCGTATCATATAATCAATTAAAATAACCAGCTGAAACAACTTCACTGTTATTTTGAAAAAAAGGAAAAATTTGAGTTAATTCCAAAATAAAAAAAAAACATAATACGTTTAACAGGTACATTATCTTTAACTGTCAAATCATTTTTCATTATATCGGTTTAACGGACACCTTTTCGCGATATAATTCTTTTATATTTTTATTTTTTCCAGTCATATATCAAATTATCTACTATATTGAATTTAAATAAGCGGATATCTACGGGGTTTTTCACATTTACATAATGGTACAACATTATTTCGGCTGACCTGCGATTGGGATTATTTTAATAGTACAAATTGAAAACGCACACCATGACACCCTCCTAACGGAAAACCCCTGAAAAAAAGTGCCATGTATAATAATTCGCTAAAAGGCAAAAGAAATAATTCCCGTGTACGACTTATTATTATTTCCCCCCCCCACCGTTTAATCGACATCGGTGGGGAATCTGTGTTAATATTACTTCCCCGCTTCTGCCAAATAGTAAGGTGCCTAAATCGTTTCGACCCGATCGTTATTCCAAATGAGTAGATTCTCATTAACTAATGTCCTATATTTATTATAATCTCGACGTA